CCTTTCTCTAACCTTAGAGGTTCGCGTAATTAGTAAGTACCTATATCTAATGTAGCGCTCCCTCGTAGTAGTGTCGCTACTACTTAAAAGCCTTAACGATAGCTATTAACTCTTAGTCGTGCGTTTTATACTAAGTTTCCGCATTAGTAAGCTTATAAGACTAGTATGCGATTAGGTGCTACCTTGTTACGCCGTCTATCTCTAGCTTCTATAAGAGAATTTCTACTATAGCGAAGGTCGACGCGTTAGTCTCGATCCTAAGCGGCGCCTTTAGGTCGTAGTAAGCTAAGATTAGAGCTATTATAAACGCTTCTTTTAGCGTATAGAACGCCTACGCTACGTCTACGTTTATCTTAAAGTTTCCTCCCTTCTTACTATTCTAGCTACCCTTAAGTATGCTTATTAACGGGTACGCTATCTTAGAATAGTGTTTAATAAACTAGTAGTAGAAGTTAGCGAAACCTAAGAAGACCTAAACGTCGTAGAACGACTTTAGTTCTTCCTAGTCTTAGATTATCTTAACCCTCGACTCGTCTATACTAACACCTTTAGTACTAACGATATAGCCTAGGAACTTAACTCTATTAGTAAAGAATTTATACTTCTTCGGATTAGCGAAGAGGGCATACTTCTATAGGCGCTTATATACGAGCCGTAGGTAGTGCTTATACTCTTCTCTTAACTTACTAAAGATAAGGATATTATCTAAGTATACTACGTAATAGGTATCTATAAGACCTAATAGCGCTTTATTAATGTACGCTTAGAACGTTACTAGTACATTAGTAAGGCTAAATAGCATTATAAGATATTTGAAATGGCCGTATCTTATCTAGAACGCTGTTTTCTACTTATCCTCCTTCTTAATAGGGATGCGATAGTACGCATCCTTTAAGTACATTTTTAAGAACACCTAGGAGCCTGCTAGGCGGTCTAGTGTCTCGCTAATTAGCAGTAAAGGACATCTATTCTTAACCGTAGCGTCGTTTAGGCCCTAGTAGTCTACGTATAGGCGTAGCGTACTGTCCTTCTTTAGAACGAAAAGGATTAGTATACCTATAGGGCTCTTACTTCTTTAGATCTATCCCTTTTTAAGGGCATTATCTAGATATACGTAGAGCGTATCTAACTCGGTATAAGAGAGGTTATATAGTAGTTAAAAGGGTAGCTACTTTCCCTACTCTAGGTTAATCGTATGCTCTACGCCGATAGGGAATAGTTAGTGTACTGCGTCCTTATAGTCGAATATAGAAGCGAAGTTAGATAGCTCTAGAGGGATCTACCCCTCGCTATCTACCTACGGTGCGCTTACGTACGTAATAGTAAAGACTACTAGTTCCTTTTAGAGGAACTTCTTAAACCTCTTAATCGAGTCTACCTTAATAGTGTCCTTTATAACGCTGTAGCGCTACTTATCGCCTCCTTCCTAGGTCTCTAACCCTTGTTTCTTAATCTAAGGTTTACTAAGGATAACTAGGGGTCCTTATATTACGAGAGCGTAGAATATACTAGATATAGTTCGTACTATACTAGTAGAGTCGACGATACAAAGTCGTAGCTTATGCGCTCTATAATAGTAATCTGCTCTAATCCCTATATAACTACTAGGAGTAGGGAGCTTAGCTCCTTCTATAGGTGTTAAGGAGTATTAAACTATAAACGATTAAGAGACTACGTTAATGTCTACTCTACTATCTAATAGCATATTAAGCTAGACATTACGTTTCTCTATTTCGTAGGCGCCTCTTAGTATTAGCGCTAGATATAACTTAATTTCTTTATCTAACTATTAACTAGAGTCTTACTAATAGTCTTCNTTATAAGAGTATAAAGGTATATAGTAACGTATAAAGTCCTACTAGTAATATAGTTACTAATAGTAAAGACTAATCGATGCCCTAAGTATTAGTGTCTTTAAGAGTAAAGATATACTTATATATACTAAGCCTCGCTTAGAGGCTTAGGCTTCGTCGTAGAGGCTACCCTAGCCTCTCTAGTAACACTAACCGTAGAGGGCCTAGCGGTAGCGGTAGCTCTACTTAAGGCTCTACGAGTCCTATTACTATTAATAATGTTACTCTTATCTAGTTTATTAAAGCAAACTATCCTATAAGTGCTTATACGCGTAGATCGCGAGCTTAAGGGCGTAGAGGGTATTTTAATACCCTTACTATAGCAAGGGCTATCTTAAGCTAGTAAATTAGGTAGAGTTAATATAGGCGACGACATTAGAGGAATAGAAGAAGGTAGTTACGCTAGAGGGCCTTGCTATATAGTGTTATATAGCTAACAATGCTAAAAAAACAGGTCATTATTACCCTAGTAACTAGCTCGGGTAACGGAAATCCTACCTAACTTACACGCGAGAATAAGCCCGTTATAAGACCGAACTAAACGTTACCTCCGACACGCCTAAGACAAAGGTTCGTAGTATATAGGTTCAATCCTTGTCTAGTCTATATACACTGTCGCATTACAACTCGCGTTCGCCTCATTAGTACTACTTGATCGATCATCATCATCATCATCATCATCATCATGTCTGCACCAAAATCACTCCTCGCCCGTTACCGTCAGTTGGCACCTAATGCCAGCGTTCGGGTCTCCCCTCTATGTCTTGGAGCGATGACCTTTGGCGACGGTGCCGGCAGAGCTCTTCATGGCAAAACTACTCTCGAAGAGTCGACAGCCATTCTCGATGCTTTCTACAAAGCTGGTGGCAACTTCATCGATACTGCCAACGGGTAAGAGAGCTCCAGAGCGAGTTGTCTGCGACATGAGCCAACTGTTGCTTCCGTTCCATTGCCTAGAATTATGGAGGCTGATGTTTCTACGCTTGTAGGTACCAAAACGGCGAGTCCGAGAGGCGATTGGGCCAGTGGATGGTCGACAACGACAACCGCGACGAGATGGTCATCGCCACCAAGTTCACCGGCGGATACATGCGGGGTGAGCCCAACAGAATTCAAGCCAACTTCTCGGGCAACGGTACGAAGAGCATGAAAATGTCCCTCGAAGCTAGTTTGAAAAAGTTACAGACGAGCTATGTCGACATCCTGTACCTGCATGATTGGGACTCATCGGCCAAGATCGTGGAAGTCATGCACAGCCTCAACGATCTGGTGGTCGCCGGTAAAGTCTTGTACTTGGGAGTCTCGGACACCCCAGCCTGGATTGTTTCAAAGGCAAACCAGTACGCCCGTGATCATGGCCTGAGGCCTTTCGTGCTGTACCAAGGTCTATGGAACGCAGGAGTCCGCGACTTTGAGCGCGAAATCATCCCCATGGCTCGCGAGGAAGGAATGGGTCTCGCTCCTTGGGGCCCGGTCGGTGAGGGAAGGTTTAAGACAAAGGATGTTCTGGCCAAGATGGAGCAAGGCACGCGTGGCCTTCCCATCACACAAAAAGATCGGGACGTCTCGGCTGTGCTCGAGAAGGTTGCAGAACGCAAGGGCAACACCCTTTACCAGATCGCTGTGGCATACCTAATGCACAAGACAACCTATGTGTTCCCGATTATCGGTTCCACGAAGGCGGAGCATCTATCCAGCAACATCGAGGCACTAGCAATAGAGTTGAGCCCCGAGGATATCCACGAGATTGAGCAGGCTTACCCCTTCAACCATGGCTTTCCACACGAATTCCTGTCTGGATCGCATTTCGAGGGTGAGAAGGTGGAATCGAGGCAGGTCCATGGGCCTGAGGATGTTGCTTTGACAAAGTGGTCTGGTGTAACTATCGATTGGGTTATGGGAAGCAAGCCCATTCTTCCAAGCAATATGAAGTAGACAAATATAGAAAATGCAGAAGGAATCCACGGGTTGCCCGTTATCACTGGCTTTCTTGCAAACTTCATTATCGAATTGGCGAGGCGATTCTATCCAGCTGGCGGATATGGATATCCTCGACACACTTATCCGCATGGTTTTCCGTCCATCCTTCCGTTCTGCAACCACGCAGATGACCCAAATACCAAGGAAAACGCTTGGCTCACCCCGTGAAATATGGTATGGACAAGACTTGATCTGCAGTAGGGCAAGATGTACCCCATGTCTCTGACCCCGCACCCCACATCTTGGTCGAACAAGCCTTGCATATCCGGCGGCGCTATCTCGATATAAAAGGACCATATCTACGACGGTCCTCAAGTTGCAGAGACTCTGGAACGATTGAGACATAACAGCGTACCACTCTTGACTCGCTCACTACAGCCATGTCGTTCAGGAACTCACTTGAGAAGAAGAAGTTGGACGATGAGGCGATGCACATCGAATCCGCTCCAGTGGTGACTGAGATTGAGTCTTTCCGCGTACTGGGCCTTGATCCCGACGATGCAGAGTTTTTCACAAACTACTCAGAGGCAGACCGCAAGAAGACGTTCCGTAAAGTGAGAAGCCATTGCACGACGTTCTTTTGATCAGCATAGCTAACATCGCGTTCAGGTGGATCTTCGTCTGGTTCCTATGCTCTCTGTGTTGTACTTGATGGCTCACATCGACCGCGCGAACATCGGAAATGCAAAGATCGAAGGCATGATTGAAGACCTTGGTATGACTGGCGTGCAGTATAACATCGTCTTATCAATCTGTGAGTTACAAACTCCAGGATACTCAACCTCCGTTCTTCTGAACTGATGTGCGATGTCAGTCTTCATTCCTTACGTCCTCTGCGAAGTTCCTAGCAACATTCTTCTTAAGAAGTTCAAGCGTCCTTCGTACTATCTGGGAACCCTCGTCACGAGCTGGGGAATCATCATGACTTGTACCGGCCTTGTCAGGAACTTTGCTGGTCTGATGGTTGTGAGAATATTGTTGGGCATTTTCGAGTAAGAACACCAAGTCAGTGCACAGCGATGGAACATCATACTGACCATCCTCTAGAGCTGGATTCTTCCCGGCCGCCATCTATCTCTGCTCCTACTGGTACATGCCTAAGAACTTGGCCACCCGTATCTCCTACTTCTATTGTATGAGTGCTTTGTCTGGCGCCTTCTCCGGCCTACTAGCAGCTGGTATCGCTCAAATGGATGGTACAGGCGGCTACGAGGGTTGGCGCTGGATCTTCATTCTTGAAGGTTTGGTGACAGTCTGTGTCGGCATCGGATGCTTCTTCCTTCTCATTGATACGCCTGCTCTTTCATCTCGCTGGCTCAGACCCGAAGAGATACGCTTCCTCGAGCTGTCAATGTTCATCAAGCAAGGTGGATCATTCCAGGCAGAAACCAGTGTCAAGATGAGAGATCTCAAGATGGTGCTTAAAAATTGGAGAGTATATGTACAGGCCTACTTCCTGTTCTGCCAATCCGCCCTTTCCTATGGTGAGTCTTATCGTTCATCAAACTTATGAGTCTATGCTGACTTGACCACCAAACAGGCATCAAGTTCACCCTACCTACCATTACGAAATCTATGGGCTTCACCACAACAGTCGCACAACTCCTCTCCGCACCCCCATATGTCGCCGCCGCAATCTCCGCTGTTTGTTTTGCAAAAGTCTCTGATCGCTTCTATCGCCGCATGCCATTCGTCGTCACCCCTATGGCTATCGTCGTAATCGCCTACTCAGTGATCATCTCCCTCAACGGCGCCCTCGCAGAAAAGAAGGGCGTCGCCTACTTCGCCGTCGTCCTAGCCGTCATAGGCATCTATCCCATCCAAGCTGCTGCGGCCTCCTGGAATGCCAATAACCTTGCCCCATCCTCTCGTCGTGTCATCGGTATCGCTTTGAACAACGGCGTGGGCAATATCGGCGGTATCATTGGCAGCTTCATGTATCTTGAATCTGAGAAGCCGAAGTATTATACTGGCTTTGGACTTAGTTTGGCCTTTGGAGCTTCTGGGTTGATCGTTGCACTGTTCCTTGAATGGAGTTATATTTATGCTAACAAGCAGAAGGCGAAGATTGCGGAGGAGGCGAAGACGAAGTATTCAGATGAAGAATTGTTCGACATGGGAGATAGCTCTCCACTGTTCAAGCATGTGCTTTGAGGATTGGGTGTTGTTTAGGTCCTTGATACGAAGTTATGAAAGGGCGCTCCGGGCTTGATACTTGTTTGATTTGTAGCCAGTGTCGAATATAAGGTGGCATGTCCAGTATTCCCCATCAGGTTCCAGAGCATTTCCTAGGTTACTGTGGGATGATTGATTGAGGAGAATGAATAGGATGGTGTTTTCGCAGATCGTCTCCTCTTTCTGCTCGCACTCATACCTCCAGCTCCATACTGGATCGTGGAACAAGAAGCCAGCTGCCGTCTGCAGACGCGTTTGACGCGTATTGTTGTATTTCCCGCAAGAGAATCAGACATCCAGAATGTGTCGAGGTCGGAGAGCTTGTCGCGAAGCCCGAAGCCAGTGAAGGTGCTTTTCCGCTTTTCCGCAACTCAACGAGGTCGGAACATCTCGGACCGAAGTTGACGCGAATGTTTCGCTCAGAATCATCTTTCGTTCGGCCGAGTATGCTCTTGCTAATGACAATGTCAACAGTGCAATAGTGGTTTGAGGATCTCCTGCGAATCATTCAGAGTGCAACAGACCAAATCGTCTTTGCGAAGTCCCTGTACATGCAAAGACTGTTCTGCGGCAGACTGAAGACGTGGAAATCGCGAAAACAATCATCCAACCTCTCGAACTACTAGAGACAGCCATGCGCTCAAGTGCAACCTGATTTTCCATGAAATCTAGGCTTCCCTGAGCTCCTTCAACCTTTGGACAGACCCTACACATTTGGACTGTACGAGGCAGCTGGATTTGTGAGCACAAAAGCATTCCAGGGTTGCCCTGCTTACGGTCGACATGGTAGGAATACCGCGGATTCTCAACACTCAGATGTGTCTTGTAGGAGCAAGCCTACAAGAGCTATCAAAAGACTTCAAGTTCGATAATCTTCTGCAACCACTTGAAGTCAACGGCATCCTTTGTTCTTAGAAAGCTCAATGCTGTGTTAAGTCGAAAGAGGCATGGCAGGTCTTGCAAACTTGACCTTGCACCCTTGAACACCCGCAAGAGAGCAGTTCCATCCATCCTCAATCGCAACACACACGCAGCACTTGCAAACATAACAGTGACGTTCTTCTCGTACCCCGTACATCGGACAGCAAAATGATACAAAAGCCGTTATACGTGTCCAGCCACGCAGCAATTCTGGCAGTGAAATAATGGCAGCCTATATCTCGGGTCGCCCATCATCCCGAGTCCGCAACCCTATCGTCATATTGATGTTGGAAGAGCGTCAGGCACAGTCAGGAGATACTGTTATGACCCGTTCACATTGTAGGTTAGGTTAGCGTAGAGGGGCAGAACGGGGACCCCTTCTGGATTACCCCGCCAAACGTCATGATTTGAGCTGCGCCCCACCACGATGGAAGCTCCTTCCATGACAGCTACCAAACGTTCAGAGGCGTAAGTAGCTTATATACAGCTCCGTAAGACCCTCGACTTTATCTTTGCAAATCATCACTCTACTCTCAACTTCAATTCAAACTAAAAACAACTCAACCACACATCCATCAATATGCAGAACGAACGCGGCCAAGGTGTTTCCCACGCCACTGACTCTTCCGTCCCCGGCAAGATCCAAGAGAAGGTAACCCATCGCTCACCAGTTCTTCTCATTCCCCTCTCTATCTTCTTGACTAACTTCTCTTTTTCTTTATAGGCTCCCGCCAAGCTCGAGCACGAACTCCCTGACTCCGTCCACGACACCGGCTCAAACAAGCAAACCGGCAAAGTCAGCCACGCCGTCGGTGACAGCAAGGTCCCTCAGGCCCTGCAAGAGGCTCTTCCCGAGAAGGTCGAGCGTGCCGTTCCCAACGCCATCCACGACACTGGTTCCAAGAAGTAGAGTGATCAGATGGACAAAAAACATAACGGAGAGAAGGTATGCGTTATGACACGGCAACAATTTATTAGATGAGATTCTATGAACATCACGAAAGCTGTTAGAAACAACTTAGATCACATGCGGATGCCATTGTGATCGCGTGATCGCTTGTCTACTCATGTCTCCAAAGTCTTGATCATGTTTCAAAATCGACCGTCTTACAAGGTTGTATAGCTTAGCGTATGCATGGTGCCCAATGTGACCAAACAGTGTGGCCAAGTACAGTACACAGCCGTGTACAAGCCCCATGAATTTCTGGATTTACGGGATATGTGTCACAACTGGCTACCACCGCTGTTCGAGAGATGGCCTGCCTGGTAGAAAGCAACTATTGAGTAGCATTGCTCGCATGGACTTGGGTCTCAAGGTAAGCAATGACCTCGGGATAGTTCCTACGGCCCTCACCCGGACCTTTTCCATTAGCGCAATCAAGGGGTGTTCGGCCGAGTTTGTCAACAGCTCGCAAGTTAGAGTCAGCTTTCACAAGCAATCTCACGATAGCGAGGTGACCACTCTCTGCTGCTTGGTGTAGTGCAGTGACTCCAAATTCGTCCTGGACGTTCACATCCACTCCGCGGGCTAGACAGTCTCGCACAGGACCTACAAAGCCGTTGTTGGCAACATGATGCAGGATAGTCGTGCGGTTCGAGTCGTAAGGATCCTTGAGAAGTTTGATCGAGGCATATGGCAAGAAATTCTCCACGTGGTCAGCTTCATCCGAAATCAAGCACGGAAATAGGTCTTCATCAGTTAATGTTGCCCCTTTTTCGAAAAGTAGTTGCATCACTTCCTTATGACCGTTATCGATCGCGTCATGCAACGGGGTATGGTTCCAGGAATCTTTCATGTTGATGTCGAATCCCCAATTCAACAGGAGTTGAACTATGCTCAGGTGCCCATTCGAAGCAGCTTCACCAAGGAGAGTATGAACTTCGCAATCCAACATCATCACATCAATACCTTTGGCGAGTACTGACCGGATAATATCTTCGCGACCTGCCGCGACTGCTTCGCACAGAGCGTGTTTGTCTTTAGGGTCGAGGTCGTAGTCCATAGAAAGCTGTACGTGACCTTCCAGAAGCTTCACTCTGCCTAGGTATTCATTCGGAGCTGCTGCTGCGAGGACGCAATTGTTGGACTCGCAAATCTCCATGTCGATACAGGCCCTTTTGGCTAAAAGTAGCTGTAGGATGTCTTCGTGACCTGGCAGGGTCGCTTCGCACAGAGCATGAGAAGTTACAGGGTTGGCTCCACTATCAATGAGAAGTTCCACCATGTTCAAGAACCCTGCACTGCAAGCTACAGTAAGAGGATCCCTATATTGACCACCTGCCACATTCGGATCTGCACCAGCAGCTAGAAGTAGCCTTACCATATCTTCAGAGCCTGAGGCAGCGGCCGCTTGTAGTGGACTGTACGTCGTTTGAGTGTGGACGTCTGGTTTTGCACCATTGTCTAGTAGGAGTTTCAAGACATCTCTATGCCCGTGTATTATTGACATGTGCAAGGCAGATCCATTCACAGGAAATCGCGCATCCAGATCTGCACCGTAATCGATGAGCTGCTGGACTATGGCAGGATTTCCAGAGAAACAGGCCATCGCAAGGCCATTGCCCATCTTCCCACTATGAGTATTGACATCTGCACCGTGCTCGAGCAGAAGCTGAACCACTGCCTCATTTTGAGAGTATATGGCGGCTTGTAGAGCATGACCGAATTTGCCACAAGACATGTTGACTTCAGCCCCGTGCTGGATGAGGATTTGCGCTACCTTGAGTTGGCCACGAGCTGACGCTGCCTGTAAAGCAGTCCCATATTGTCCACCTGTGGAATTCACATCTGCGCCCCGATTGAGAATCGAATGCACGCGTTTGTCGTCGCCTTGCCAGGATGCTATGACTAGGGGTGCGTCTGATGCATATGCTTCATAATGTCTGACGTCAATGACGACCTGCCAACTTTCCGGTTGCTGCTCGTGTGGACTGCTGAGAATTGAACACCCAACATTTGGGTCGCTAAGATACTGAATCAACTTGGAATAGGAGTCTTCTGCTTCAGGTTTTGCATCCATCTTACCCTTTCTCGCCATCTCGAGGGGTGTTAAACCGTTGGCATCGACAATGTCCGGGTTAACTCCTGCTTCGACAAGTAATTGGACGATGACAGGCCGACCGCGTTCTGCTGCAACATGTAGAGCACTCGTCTCGCCTGAACTGTGCATCCTCCAGTGGGACCCGGCGTTGAGCAGCTCTTTGACTATTTCGACATGGTCTTCTTCTATGGCAGTCGTCAAAGCGATGTGCCCGCAGTCGGCCAACGGGGCGTTCACATCGGCCCCTCGCTCGATCAACATCTTCACGATGGTTGTTTGTCCATGGTATGTTGCCGTATTTAAGGCGTGTTGCAACGGACCGCCACGCATATTAACATCAGCGCCTCTAGCTAAGAGCAGATCGACCACATCGTCGTTTCCATTCGCCGCAGCTAGTTGGAGCGCAGAGCCCTTCAATCCCTGAGAGTTGACATCGACGCCATGGTCTAGAAGAAATCGTACAACTTGTACCCGTCCGAACCGTGATGCCGTTTGCAAAGCGTTGCCGTGTGGTCCCTGAGCGTCTACAGCACCTGTGCCTAGTAGAAATTCGACGACGTGCTCGTGTCCATTCATAGCGGCCAAATGGAGAATGTCGCCGTGATCAGGATCCCTGATATTTGTTTTAGCTCCAGCAGCCAATAGCAGCTTCACCAAACGCTGATGTCCCTTGAAACAGGCTACCTGGAGGACAGTGCAGCGGCCACATTGCGTGTTCGGGTCGGCTCCGTTAGCTAAAAGCAGTTCCGCGATGCTGGGGTCCTCTCTGTGACAGGCATGAAAGATTGGTCTGCCTCCAGTGTTCGGATCAGCGCCGTGGTCCAAGAGAAGCTTTACAATTTTCACGTGGCCTTGAACACAGGCCCGCGAAAGAGCATTGCCGTGTGGGCCGTCAGCATTCACGTCAACTTTGTGAGCCAAAAGCAGCTGCACGACGCGCTCATACCCCCAGCACGAAGCCGCTTGTAGTACATTGCCGTGAGGTCCGCCCTGTGTGTTGACATCAACGCCGTTCGATAGAAGCGCAGATACCAGCTGCTCGTTCCCACGTGCCGCTGCTCTCAATAGGTCATTCTCGGGAGATTCTGGGATGATTAAGGCGCCATGCTCTCGTAGCATCTGTACAACGTGAGTGTGTCCAGACGCGATCGCTGCGTCTAGTGCAGTGCATCCTGGTTCATTGTCTGCATTGATGTTAACGCCACTTTCAATCAGTAGCTCTACTATCTTGCAATGCCCGGCAGCAGAAGCGAGTTTGAGAGCACGACCCTCGGGTCCTTGAGCGTTGACATCAGCTCCTCTTGCCAGTAGCTGCTGGACAATCTGCTCGTGACCTTTGGAACAAGCCATCTGCAGTACTGTTTTCCAAGATCCATTGATTCCGAGCTTTGAATTGGCATCCGCACCGTTTTCAAGCAACAGCCGCGTTATGTAGCCATCGTTCAAGGATGCAGCTATCCATATTGGAGGTTCGTATCCATTGCGTACATTCGGGTTAGCCCCAATAGCTAGGAGTAAGCTTGCCTCGTCTTCGTGTCTTTGTCTGACCGCCAGTTGCAGAGCATTGCCGCCGGGGAGCAGTGCATTGATATCTGCGTCGTGTTTTATGAGTAGCTGCATGATAGCTTTGTAGTGCCCATGTTTAGCGGACAGTGCGGCTTGTAAGGCGTTGTAACGAGGTCCTCCCTGAAGATTTGGATTGGCGCCATTGGCCAACAGTAGCTGTACAACATTTTTGTCCACCCTCCAAGCTGCAGCCTGTAGAGAGTTGCCAAGATGATCATCGTGTGCGTTTATATCCGCGCCTCTGCGAAGCAATAGACGTATGACGCTATCGCGTGATTCCGCAGAAGCAGCTTGTAAGGCGGTGTTGTGCGGACCTCCTCGAAGATTGATGTTTGCCCCATGATCAAGCAGAGTCTGAACAACACGCTCATATCCTTGGTGTGAAGCAGCTTGCAAAGCATTACCGAATGGACCATTGACGTCATCAACTGTCGCTCCAAACCGGAGCAATAATGCCGTGATTTCTGAATGACCGTGCATCGCAGCTGCCTGTAGTGGACTTCCATAGGGTCGGCTTTGAAGATTGACGTCCGCCCCGTTGACCAATAAGGAGTGCACAATCGCCTGAAAGCCCTGGCTAGATGCGGCTTGTAGTGCGGTGCCATACCTTCCGCCTTGTCTGTCAACTTCAGCCCCTCCTTCCAGCAGGACTGCCGCGGTCTTGCGATGTCCGTGTGCAGAGGCCGCTTGTAAAGCATTGCCAAATTGACCGCCTTCGGCATTGATCTTGGCATCTTGATCAAGCAGCAGCCGTACAATAGATTCATGGCCATGAGATGAAGCGGCTTGCAGTGCAGTAGCATAGAGTCCTGCCTGTGCGTTGACATCAGCACCTTCCTTTAGAAGTATTTTTACGACATCCTCATGGCCTCGGAATGACGCCGCTTGCAATGCGCTGCCATATTTCCCTTCGCTTGAGCTGGGATTGAAGCCTTGCTTTATCAGATCGTAGATCGAGTATTCTAAGCCTTCCATGGCAGCAAAATAGAGCTGATCGACTGGATGCGCAGGTGATTCTTCTCTTTTGTTCATTTGATTATCAGGATTGAAGAAGCGACAGCAGGTAGCAAATGCTTCTTTCTGATGCAACAAGAAATCGACAATTCGAGATTGAAGAACTGCGCTGAAGGTTGCAGCGCTCCTTGCGTTGGCAGTCCAGGAGGTGGCGGCGAATTCAGCGAACGGAAATGTAATTTTAAGCTGGAGCAATGGGAGATCTTGGTCTAGGTTCAGGACGCATAGATAGCTTAGACAAATCTCCGTGATCGACATCCTGGAAGCAAGCTCATCCGACACCGCCTGGAAAGAGGATCGCAAGTGGTCCGAAAGAAGATATTCTTTAACCGAGAAGTGAGCAAGCTGAATGAAGCAACCTTCTTCCGAAAGTGACCCGGAATCGGTGTTGCTACTTCTAGCAATTGTGATGAGGCTTGGACAGATTTGCAATACCTCTCTTGGGGCGGGGAGCCTATCTATGGGATCAAAGCCAGGTACTTCGTATGGATGTGTTGCAATAGCATCAACAATTTCGGCGAGGGTGATTGGTCGTTCAGACCATAATAGAAGTCTCAGGATCGCCGTTGCTTTCTCCATGTACTCGTGCGGTATCCTGTCCAGAATTCGGCCGTATGTCTCTTCGAGGGTTTTTGGAAGCGAATTGAGGGCTTTTTGAAGATCACGATAGTCCAAGCGAGTTGCCAGTGCATCAAGTTGACAAGCCACCCAGCGAAACCTGTTGGCCGGTCAGTCAGGTCTGTCGGCCTAGAAGTGCTTTCATTCTGGAACTTACATTCCGTCTGCCTGCTCCATTAGTTTGGTCTCCACTTCACTCATCACTTTCGGTTGATTTCGCCATCGTCCAAGACTAGAGTCATGCTCAATGCGATGCCGGACATATCCACGGATATCTTTGTCCACGTCATTGCTCTGGATACCAATCCAGTTTATTGATTGAGTCCAGCGCAACAAGTTCGATTCGATATCTGCTTCCCGCCGGGAAGTGATTAAGATACGAAAACAGTCAGTTCTGGCAAGGGTTTCTACCCATTCGAGCACATCTCGTCGGGTTGTTGATTCATCAACTGCGTCCAGGATCAAAGTTACCTTGTCAAATGTACTCAACATGGTGCCGAGCACAGATCTGAGGTCATCAGTCTTCGGCTGGCGGCTCCCGTCCCTGTGCGAAGCCCATAATTGATCGATGACGGGCGCAGCATCAGGCAGGTACAAACGTGCTTGCGTTATACAATGACGAAGAACAGAATCAAGAGTCTGTTTTTCCTTGTCCTTGAAGTCGAAGAAGAAATAGAGAAGCATTTGGGTTGAAGCCAGCTTAGAAGGCGTTATCATCATTTTGTCCAGGACGCGGGCGTATTTGAACTGTTCGAGGGTCTCGATGATCGTAGAAGTCAAGACAGTCTTTCCAGAGCCAGGAATTCCATGGAGCCACAGGAACGAGCTTGGCTGCTTTTGCCACTTCCTGAAAGCTTTGCTCTGTATGAACCACCGCCCCGTTCCTTTGTGACGATCTTTTAGTGCAACATTAAAGTTTGTTGATGGATCTGGGGCCGAAAGCCATCGTAAGATCTTCTGATGTCCATCATTAGCATATATCTTGGCAGTCGTTGCACCGATCATTTTGACAGTCGAATGTGTCTCAATGAGGTCGTGCGAGACTACATCAACTCGTGTGAGTAAGTTTTGAATGTGTTTCTCTGGAAAAGACCCACTACTAACGGCCTTGTAAAATTTCCACCGCGCTTTGCGTTTGCTTGACATCGTCGTGCAAAACGTACCCGAGAAGCTCTTTGGCATATGCAGCGGCTGTCGCGGCAGCGTAGCGTTGCCATCGGTCGTTCTTGTGGGAATCCGCATAGTCACAAATACCACGAATGACGATACAAGGAAAACTGTTCATGATTCCGGCCGCTTCCATCTCGAGACAAATACATGTCTGGTTGGCCTCCCAAACTGCATCCCTGAACTTCGCGTCTTTGATCAGTGTGTTACTAGATGCGATTGTTCCGTAGAAGATCTCAGGCTCGGATGACTCTCGCTTGTCTCGGATGACTTCAAGATTGCACTCTTTGCAGGTCGACCTTCCGGTGATGTGTTCCGAGGTTGAATCGAAGAGTTTGTCGTTGATCTCTCCCTGATATCCGTAGCTTGACCGACCCGGCTTTGCCTTTGCCATCTGAGGGTCGTTTTTGAGCATCTCGGCCAATATTTCGGGGACCTTTGAAGGTTTCCTCTCATGTCGAGCCTGAATCTTGGCAAGTGCTTTAAGAAGAGCCTCGGGCGGCATGCTGAGCATTCCCTTGCGCTCAAAATGCCCGCCGGCGACTGCCTTTCCCAAGTCAAATTGCACAACGCCACCATACTGCTCACTTGGTTGGCTAACAACAATATCGCCTAGGCGAATGTCACACCCATCTTCGGGTCTTGCGAAGGCCGCCCCAATACCGACCAGTAAGCCAAATTTGATGTTCGGGAACGAAGAGAGCATCTGCGAGGCCGTGGTGGCCGCGGAAACTGTACCATACACTCCAGCAGCCAAAGAAGCGAGCACAACATTGTGCTCTCCAATTCGGCCCCACGTGTATGCATTCTTGTCGCTTTGATTCTGTACAAAGTTTAGTGGCTTCTCGTGCTCCTCGTCAAGCATAGCTTCTGCCGCAGCCAGTTCAAGTGGGAGTACGGCCAACCATCCCACAGTGTAAAGATCGTAGCTCTCGAGAGTCGGCAATGTAGACATTGTAGCATTCGGGTTTTCGGCAATGCGAACAACGATGTTAGTTATTTAGAGATCTGCGCCGGTTAGCGGGTTTTCTGGAGTAATCAATCAAAGTAGACGGAGGATGATAACGTGAGACGGGGTAAAGGAGCAAAAGGAAGGAAAAGTCCACGAAATCCTGGAAGGAGTATGTGGCCCCAGGCTGAGGCACTTCTTTGCATAAGCGCTTGCCTTCGCAACATATCTAAAGTGATTCATGCAGCTGACTTGATAAGCACACGGCTTGCCCGAGCGTGGCGCCAATGCGATTTGGCGATAAGGCTACGTACGGCGTAACCTCCGAGCGCGTGCAGACTGACGACGAATAGGTATTTTCGAAAGGGATGGTTGGCTGCCGTCATCATACCCTGTTAGTCAGGATGTCGCAGATGTCGAGGATGAAAGCGTTGCTTGGGCGAATATTCGGACGGTGGGCGCTTCGAGCCCAGAGCCCGACTGTCACGCCGATGGTCAATGATGCCCGGATGATTTTTCAGTTCCGATTTCGCATCTCCTGGAGTGGTGATCCGGGGTGGCGAAGTTCATCAAGGGGCGCCATCAGTGTAAACAGATGCTACCATTTCTGCCGAACCTGAGGATGTTCACTGGAAGTTTTCCTCGGGCATGCCGTAGCGAAGGAAGGCGCCTCCAGTGTTTCGGTAACGCGGAAATGACGCGTCATTGACAGATAAGATAAGATCTACGGAATCTCGCGAGGCTGGTGACCTTGGCTTCAAGCTCATCCATGCATCAACAAATCTAAGAGATCTAATGATCGTAAAAAAAAAAAGCGAAAAAACTAAAGAGAAAAATCATCGAATTCATCGACTTTTATTACTTTATAAGCTAGAGTAGTGTCTCCTAGTAATTCCCTCAGATTTCTAGTAAAGCGCTATAGTATAGGGTTAAGATACTAGCTCTAAGAGGCTAAGGAGGCGTAAGAGGTAGAGGTATAGTAGGAAAGGGGAGGTTCGAATCGCTATTATAGGGTAGTAAGGATAGGTAGGATAAGGAGGATATAGTTATAAGGGATAAGGAACATATAGAAAAAAGAAAAAGAGATAGTAGATAGAGTAGCGTAAAAGATAGCCCTTAGAGATGCGACGTACATATTAATATAGACTCTAACTCGACGTTAGTAGAAGCGATACTAAGGAAGAGATCCTTACCTATAGCTATAAGAATAGCGACTAGAAGCGTAGAAAAAGAAGGGAGGAATACTAGCTACTAAACTAAGGGTAGCCCTATACCTAGTAGTAGTAGAAATAGCAATAATATAAGAGAGGTTATAATAAATAACATTATATAATAGCTATTAGATATATAAAGAATAGCTAGAGAAAGAGAATAGAAAGAATAGGAGGAAAAAGATAGGTATAGAGAGGAGATTAGATAACTATAGACAACTATTATAACGCTAGTCCTAGACATTAAGAGCCTATAAGAGGTAGCCCTAAACTAGGGCTCCCTCTAGTTATCGTCTCTATAGATAGAAATAACTGATTCCTACGTAAGTGTTATAGCTTAGGGAGTATAACTATTAAGCTAGGAAGTAGAGAGAACGCTAGTTAGGTCGCCTAGAATATTAGTGTCGTTTGACCTTTTAGAGTAGTTAAGCCTACTATAGTTACCCCTAGTATCTATAGGAACGTCGATTAGAAGCGTAATAAAAAAGTCTAAAAATGTATAAGAAGTAGATATAGTATTAGATATAAAAAACCTTAAGATAAATAGATATACTAGAATATAGCTTAGAATAAGAACTAAGAATCGAATTATCGCTACGATTAGATCTAACGAAGGGCTAGACATAGTCGTCCTTAACTAGTTTATAATTAGATATACAAATAAGGACGTCTACCTAGCGTACTTTAAGATTAATAAGGAAGTAGAGAAAGTAGTAAGAGCTTACGTAGACGAGTAGATACCTATATTCCTCGAAGGGGTAAGGCTTATCGAGTCTACCTAGTACCTAATTAAGGTAGATTTTATCCTAAAAATAGAAGCTATAGACTACTAGACTAGAGTAGTTAGTTAAGAAACGCGAGATACCTTTATAGAGGAAAACGAAGTAGAAGTTAAGATAATAAGATAGCTAGGTAGACTAAAGGAGTACGCTACCTATACATCTATAGTAGCTAAGCTAGTAATAAAAGAATAGGTAAAGAGACTACTCTAGAGATAAGTAGATAGCGAAGAAGTACAACTATTTAGCTATATAGTTATAGTCTTAACGTTCTACGACAATAGAGGACTAAGAGCCTATTATAACTACTACTAGTTTAGACATATATAGAAGGAATGTAAGAACACTACTAGATGCTTATAGTGCGTATAAGAAGGACATAATAGCTATAATGTAGGGGAGCCGAAGTATAGTAACTATAGAGGAAGTTACCTAGTAGGCTATAAGAAATGCCTAGAGTATAGGAAATAATAAGAAAGAGAGATTAACCTACGTCGCTATAATTAGTATACTAAACATTCTTTAAGCAAATTTGTATAGGAGCTTAGGAGTTTAGAATACTTTATATAACAACCCAAACATCTAGACTTTAATGCTATTCTTATATAAGAACTATACTATTAGGAAATTATAGGAAACCTTTAGATTACTAGAGCTGGACCTAACTTTAAAGTTATAAAACTAAAAACACTATAAAGAGAAAACTAGATATAGAGGATTTAATCGTATATATAGATTAACTAGAATAACAAATATACGTAACTTATAATAAATAGTAACGACATTACGGCAATCGTTATAAAACATAGGACCCGTAGCATATTATTAGTATCTATATATATCCTGTATATAGGCAATAGGTAAGAAGTTAACATATAAGAATTATATACCCGATTATAAGAGGTCTAGGAAGTAATTATAAGAGAGGGAGACTATAACGTAGAGTTAGAAGTCTTTATCGTAGGAGACTTTAACTAGCATAATACGATATAGGGAGGAAACAAGGTAGTATTAGGGATAAGATAAGGTAAAGGTAGTAGGATACTAGATTTCATTAAGGAAAATAACCTATAGCTACTTACATAAAGAGGAGTACTAATATAGGAACGTAATAGGTCGACATTAACGATTAACCTAACTATAGTTAGTAAAAGACTATTCGAGGACTAAGACGTCTATTAACTCCTTAAGAATGAATATAGCTTAGACTATAGGGCGATTTATATAGCTATAAACATAGGAGACACTATAGAGGACCTAATAACTCTACGATACCTATTATAGAAAGTAGACTAGAAAGCGATACGAGATAAGATAAGCTAATATCTTACTAATAACCTATTCCTAATAGATAATCTTAAAGTAATATAAGGCTACATTTAGGAAGTTACTTAGATAGCAATAGAATAGTATTACTTAAAGGCAAAACTATTAAAACATATAAAGAGATAGTAGTTAAATAAGTTAACCTATATAAGAAAAGAGTATACAAGGACTCGTAACCTAGTAAGATTAAGAAGGAGATAAGGCTAGTAAGATAACTACCTTAAGATCGTAGTAAAGCTAGTAAGGTATAACTTTTACTACGCGATTAAGAAACGTAAAAAGGAACATTAGATAGAGTTCCTTAGTAAATTAGCTAATATCTAGAAAGCAGCTTAATACCTTAACCTAAGTAAGAGATTAAGCTTTAGTAGGATTATATCTATTAAGGGACGAGGAGAGGAGGTTATTTAAGATAAAGCTAAAATTGCTAAGGAACTACTATATAGCTTCTTCCTAGAACTACCTATCCCCTAGAGACCTAAACATATAGGAGACACTATTATAGACTAGCTCTTTAGTAAAGTATTAATAATAGACGAGATTAAGAAGGCGCTATTCTCTATAAACCTAGATAAAGTAGTAGGAAGTAATAGCTTAACTACTAGAGTATAGAGAGAAGTCTAGCTAGTTTTGTAATAGCAAATCTATATACTCTTCTTAACCTCGCTTAGGTAAGGTAAACTACCATTATAATAGAAGGTAGTAAAGATTATTCTACTTAAGAAAGGGAATAAAGATAACTATACTCTTCCTAAGAACTATAGGCTAATATCTTTACTAGTAACGCTAGGAAAGATAATAGAAGCTATAATAGCTATATAGCTTATATACCTTACGGAGGCGTATAGACTCCTACCTAATAACTACTTTGGAGTAAGGAAGTAGAAATTAATAGTACTAGCTATTTCCTACCTTTAAGAAGCTATCTACGATACCTAGAGATATAAAAAGACCCTATTACTAGTTTTATTCGATGTTAAAGGAGCATATAATAATGTCGTAATAGGACCGCTTCTAGAGAGGATAAGATAAAGAAGAATTCTTAAAACTATAATTAGATAGGTTTAAGACTTCTACACTAATAGGAAGGTAAGCGTTATAGTTAACAGTTTTACGTCTAAGGTAGAGAACCTACCTTAATTAGGCTTACTATAGGGTTTACTACTTACCCTAATCCTATTCCTTTTCTTTAATATAGACCTAGTATAGACGGTAATTAAAGATAGAGTATCTATAGCATTTATTAATAACTATACTATATAGGTAGTTAGTAACTCTATAGAAAGAAACATAAGGATAATCTAGAGAGATATACTACTAAAACTAGAAAGATAGGAAAAGGAGAGTAGAGTAGTGTTCGAAGCTTCTAAAATAGCGTTTATCTACTTTATAAGGTATAACGATCTAATTAGAGATAGCGATATGCCTCTATGCTTTAAAGGAGACTAGATATAGCTAAGCTAGTCGATTAAAGTCCTAGGTGTAATCCTAGATTAAGGCCTTCGCTTTAAGGAACATCTAGTAGAAAAAGTAGAGAAAGCACTAAAAGTAGCATTAGCGCTTAAGAGACTATAAGGCTTAAACCTATCGACTATACGTTAGTTATTTATAGTAATAGTCGCACTAGTTATAGACTACGCGTCGCCGATCTAGTACCTTACGGTATTAGACAAAACGTTATTAGTGTTATATAGAGCCTAGAGAGTTATAGTATAAGCTATAGTAGGAGGATTTAGAACGCTAGGTCTCGATGTTACTATCTTAGAAGTAGGGATACTATCCCTACGTTAAAGACTATATAAGTAGACACTTAGGTTCTAGATCTCGATCTAGAAACTAGAAGCCTTATATATCTACGTAAAGCTTACTAAGACTAAGCCTATTAAGCGGTTTAACTTACCTCTCCGTAAAGTAGCTACGTTATTTAAGGTACTTTATGCAAATAGGGTAAATAAGATCCTAGCTATAGGGTATAAACTATAGAGTCTAAAGGCCTATATTTACATACTTAATAAGGAAGTAGCTAAACTCGTAATAGTAGAAGAACTAGAAATAATCGACTTCTATACAAACGGATCCGTCTATAATAGACGAGTAGGCGTAGGGATCTAGACATTAGTATAGGAAGCATTAAGAATAATAAGAAGAGCTAAAGAAACTAACGTCTACCTAATAGAGCTAGAAGCGATATAGATAGCCATTAAAGGAATACTATATAGGAATAATAGATTAGTAAAGATTAGGGTCTTTTCTAATAGCTAGAGTACCCTATAGAGTATCTAATCTATAAAGATTAACGACGGCATAGGCCTAGTTATAAAAATTAGGGAGAAGATCGCTAAAGCGACATTCTCTCTACATTAGGTCCTAGGTTATAAGGGAATTAGAGGTAATAAGAGGGTAAACGAGCTAGCTTAGAAGGCGATAGACGCTAACTCGGCTATGCCTAACCCTATAAACAACGTCCTAATCTTAGTAATATATGTAAGAGCAAAAGTCATGGATTTTAAGCTAAAGCATAAGGAGTTCTATAGCGTAATAATAGGTAAATATCTTTAGAAGATCGATAAGGCATTACCTAGAAAGCACACAACTAAGCTATATAACGCACTTAATAGGATAGTAGCTACTATACTAGTCTAACTAAGGACAAACATATTAAGACTAAATATGTACCTTAGTAGAATTAACATTATAGATATAGATAGGTATAAATGTAGAATAATAGAAATAGTACTATACTTCTTATTCTTATGCCTAAGATAGAAGGATAAAAGAGAGGCTATAAAAGTAGCACACAGTAGCAGATACTAGGATCTATCCTATGCGCTAGGAGGATACTTAATAGCCGAAAGAGATAGGAAGAAAGTTAATAGTAAGAAGGGTAAATAGTAGCTAGACTTAAACGTAGTTAAAGCTACTATTAAGTATGCTATTAAGATAGGAAGACTATAAAGATAAATATAAAGTAGTAAAAGGTAAGACAAACCCTATAGACTAACATAAGGTGCTCTCTATCTAACTAAAATAATATAACTGCTACCTTAATCTAACTACCTCTAAGTAGTATTAGGCTAATAAGGAAGAACACGATATAGGGAATCGCCCTTATAGAGGAGGCTTACACCCTCTAACACTTAAGGATAGGAAGTGTAGAGTTACTCTTTATAAGAGCATATTAGAGTACTAGGCGTTTACGATTAGTTTAAGGTCTAAGAGACCTTTACCCTCCTTATATAACTAAGACCGATGGTTGTAATTAGCTAGAAATCTTGTTAATTATGGATAGCTTATACCCCTTGCGGGGTAAATAGCTTGAGAAAATCAAATCAAATCAAATCAAATCAATCTAATGATCGTAAGCAAGGATGGTCACTTTGCCGGATGTTTAAGCAATTGAGAATCAATATTGCCGTTGGAAGTCACATTTGATTCGAGCGAAGAGATATAGTCATTGTGCACCTGTCTATAAAGTGTGTTATTTCATGTCTTCGTGTATTAATCGTAATAAATCGCAACATTGACCCGTACCCTGATTCTCTCAAGGTACGGCAGGTAGCACTAGACCTTACCACTCTTTGCGTAAACTCAAGGTTAGGGTCAACTTTTGTATCTCAACCTTCAACCGCCATGACTTCAAGTGCTGCTTCCTTCCTCTTGTATCCCAGAAGTATCATCTAGCCTCTTCCGCTCTTTCCTCTTGTATTCCAGAAGTCATTCATGCATAACATACTGGACCGCATCTTTCTGAGCTCATTCATCCAAAGCATCAAGGACGGCAGCTCTCTTGTCATGAGCCTTCTGCTCAATGATCTGGCTCAACATGATGTGAAACTCCTCAGGAATATTGTCGCGGTCAAGGTTGATCAAATGGTCTTCGTCCATCTCCTCCAACTTGGCCTTCCAAACTGCGGTGTAAAGCTCATCACCCCATGCTTCTCTGACCTCAGGGTCGTCAAACATCGCTCTGAGTTCTGCGTATGAATTGTGTGTAAGTTGTTCCTCAGGCTCCAGGTCTTGCTCGTGAAGGTCGTCCTCGTCGGCACTCCCGTTGTTGTTGTGGTTGAGATGAGGGTTGTTGTCGTGGTCATTTTGCGCCTTGCGGTTGGCTTCGGATATCTGGACAAGAAGCCGCTTGTAGTCGTCCAGGTCTTCAGCTCCAGCTCCGACTCTGAGGCCAACCTGAGCAGCAATGGACAGCGTCTGACGTTGAGCGAGTGTGAGCCTGGTGCAAAGGACCAAGTTTCTCAGGTCGCTTATCTTGTACTTGCCATCTGCGGACTCCATAATCTTGATCTCCTCCTTGAAATTGTCCTGCAACTCTTCGAAGTCGCGGTCTGACTTCGTGGGCTTACGGCGGAAGAGGTGGATAACAAGACGATTGCCCTCGACCACGCCATGGTAAGGATGAGGCTTCAACGAGTCCTCCTGGAAAAACAAGACCTTGTGCTGCACATTGCAGAACCGCTCGCGGAGTCCTCTCCCGTGAACGGGTAGTCTGCCTCGCAATCCTTCAACTCCAAGCTCCAAAAAAGCATAGGGCCATACCCGGTGGTCCCGGACGGGTCACAGATAGTACCGAATAACTCGCACCAGTGATGATAGGTCTGAGTGACTTCGAGATTGGCCTCTACCAGGGTAAAGGGGACGAAGTACTGGTACCTGGTGGCAGCGGCGGTGGGATTCTTGACAGGAACATTGAATCCCAGACTTTCAATGACTGACTTGTCGGATTCAGAGAGCCATGGAAGATGTTCGGCCTCTGGCACAGTGTCGAGGATTTTGTTCTGCTCTGCCGGTTCCGAAGATGAGAAGCGTGCTGGTTGGAGTATCTTGACTCTCTTGGTCGATGGCTCCAAGGTCGAATTGTTATTCTCTGGCTCAGGACGCTGGCGTTTGTTGGGCGAAGGTGTAGGTTGCAGTTGATCCATGATCGGACCGTTGTCTCCCACTAAGGAGGTGAGTGCGGAACAGAAGCGGGTTGGGTATGGGCTGAAGTCAACCTTCGAAGACGGGAACTCGAGGTCGAACTTTGAGGTCGGATGTTGAGAATCGAGGTCGAACTTTGAGGTTGGACGTTGAACCTCGAGGAATCACGTATCAGGTCGAACTTGTCTCAGCTATCAGAGTGAGATATAGAGGAGAGGAGGTGTCTAGAAGATTGATCCCTAAGTAGTTGAAGATTAGGCGAATTTGAGATGTGAAAGCGGAGGTGAACGAATCTTGACTGGGTTGCCGCGCACACTTTCGAAAAAAATCCCAATATCTTGATGGGAGCATCCTTGTGGTCATCGAGTCATTGGGGTCGTCGTCCAGTACGGAATCACGCCGTGATGTGGCATATCTCCCAAAATCGCAGTCTCGTCGTACTCGCAGTACACCAAGGGCAGAGAGCCAGATCAACATAGTTCGAATCTCCAAAAGACACGATGTTCATCAACCAGGAGCCTCAAAGAACTCTTCTTCGCTCGACTCTGAAGACTCAGTGATAGGCAATGGCGCTTGACGCTTGTTGATGGTCTTCTTCTCCTTGCGAGGCTTGTACGTCGCATAAAGTGTATCAATGACAACCCTGCTGCCAGGTGAAGCCATGGCTTTGATGTAGCATAGCTCTTTGCCCGCGACCAAGAAAGCTAACGTCAATCTGTTTCGGTGCTTATCCAAGTAGAAGGCTGATGCTTTGACGAGCTCCCAGGTGTTTGGCGAGTTCGGCGTCGTCCGTTTGAGCCATTCCTGGACGACACGATCTTCGGTGTGGATGGGCTGGATTGCCGTGTATGCTTCAAGGACACGACTAGCCTGTAGAGCATACAGCTCTTTCGTCATCTTCTCTGCGGAGTTGCCGATGGAATTGACTTTGGCCAGATCGGCGTTCATCCGTCTGAGGACATCGACAACGATTGGATCAATGTCTGCTTTTCTGTCACTGTATGGCTTGACCAAGTCCTCGTCATGGCTATCTGCATCGGCAAGCTTGACTTGGCAATCTTTGTTGAGTTGCTCGATTCGAGGGTTCACAACTTCGAACAGTAGGTAATCGATGATATGTCTGAGGTTTGGTTCCAAGCGACCATCGTTACTGTCCGCTGCAGACTGCATCCAAGACTCGTAAGCTGGTTTGTACAGGCTTCCTTTGATTCCAAGCTTCTTTCTGACAAAGTTGTTGAAAGCAGTGAGGGTGAGAGTGTACCCGTTCTTCGCGGAATCGATGACCAGATCGTGCAAGCCAGCCAAGTCTTCCACCTTCTTCGACGAGATGGAGTTCTCTTTGTACGCAAGTTTCCCATGGAGCTTGGTAGCTTTGCCCAACAAATCTTCTTGCAACTTGAATTTGAAGCTCTCAGAAAGCCATCTGTCAACGTTGTTATCACTGCCGAGGACTTCCGCCAACTTTCTCGTGTCCTTCTTGATGCCATAGTATTCCAGCTTTGGCTCGTCAAGCGGAGCAGGGGCATTCCTGAAATCGGTCGTCAATCTCTGATCCCAACAAAGCCAGAAGGTATCACCATCGTAGTCACCACCTTGCAATTTGTGAGCAAGCGGTACACATCCTTTCGAGGGAAAGACGACAATGTCGGTCAAATGGCTAAGCTCTTCTTTGTAAACAGCTTTGACCTTCTGAATATCGGAGCATCGGAGTGAGGGATGTCTTGCAACTAATACCTCACCCTTCAAATGAGACCAGACTTCTCCAGATGCTTCATCGCGGAAAGTCTCCGAGAAGGCCATGTGAATCTCACCTGGTTTCAAGCACCCTGTCGGATCCGCGACACCAAGAGCCATGGCGGATTTGCCAAGGTGAATTTTGAGCTTCGAGCGTACCGAGGCGAGCCAAAGTTTTGTGACCTGTTGGATACACATAGCAAGGTACTGGCTTGTGATTGGGTTGAAACCAGATTCGAGGAGCAAGATGGACTTCTCTACCCAGTCAGACGGGAAGTTGCCAGCCTCTCTGATGCCAAGATTGCGGTTGATCTCCTCCATGCCACTGAATTCTGAGTTCAGCCAGCGCCGCAAGCTGATTGGGTCGTTCAATGATTCCAAGAAGGCCGTAAAGTCCATTTCCAGCTGGGTCTCGATGACCTGCTGTAAGGTGTCACGAGAGACGTGCCGGTTTTGCAAGATGGGAATGAAGTCCAGATTGAGCGTTGATGGCTTTGGCGTGCTTGTATATTTGACCAACTCGAACGACCAACGATTGGGCTCACAATTGCTTGTCAAGTCTTCATCTCGCGGCGTAACTTTTCGTTGACTGTCAGTCATGTGAATCCATCTCTTCCGATGTTTCTGATCTGTCGTGTCGTAGGGTGCGCTTATCATCCAAACACCCTTGCAACCATTGATACGACCCTGGAAAGCGACAGGACGTACTCCTTTGATGCCAAGGTTCTCGCAAAGCTCCTTCGCTGCACCGACTGAGATCAATGAGCAGCCATCATTCATGACAGCCTTCTCGTCCAGAAAACCGCAACGATACTCAAACTTCATGCGGCGATCGTTGAACTCCTCACTTTCTGTGGCGCCGTCTGCGAAGGTATCCTTGATGTATTTGACCTCCTTGTGGGTGAAGTCGACCGTAGGAATGGTCTGCGAGAGGAACAGGTCTAGTCGAGCGTATGCTTTACAGAATCCTTGATGGCCGTTCTTAGCAAACGGAATAGCCCAGTTCAGCATTTCCTCAATACTGATTTTCTTCAGGCGAGGGCCGTCAACAGCAAACAATACAAGGCGGTGGCTCGGCAAATTGTCCTTGTTGTGCTTCTTCTTGATATCCTGAATGTGAAAGATACGCCATGTACGACCAAGAAACTCTTTCTCCGTGCACATCCACTCTTGGAATCGTGCCTTGAGAAGGCTTTCTTGACCCTTGAGATGAATGCCCTTGAAAGTGTGAATTTGTGGCACTTGGACATACAAGAAACGGCTGGAGCCAAACTGTCTCTGCAAGCGAGAGGCTCTCTCACACTTGAGTGGTTGTAAGGATAGGGTCAACAGTTTGTCTGCAGAAGCGCTCGAGTTGAAGTTGAGATTGGCTTTGAGGATGACATTGGCTGATTGCGATGGGTCTGTCAAAGCTTCCCAGACTGAAGTAGGCGTTCGTTGGAACTGCAAACCAGCCGGAACTTTGCTGTTCAACTCGTCCTCGTGGCTGTAGTACTGGAAGGGTCTTTCAGCAGCGGTTGCGAGACGGTAGCTGTCCCAAAGATGATGGAATGATGAATGATTGACTTCGGTAGCCACAAAAGAGCCAAAGAGGCCGTCAGAAGGCAGTGTCCGAACGAGTCTATGCTCAAGTGATTTTGCCATAGATGTGGAGTTGGTCTTCGAAGTCGGCGCCTTGAAAGCTGCAGAGTGTTCGGCTTGCAGCTGCACGTTTGCTGCGGTCGTATGGCTGTCGGTCGCTGAAAGTGGTGGGCGGGTGTTGATTGAACGTTCGAGCGAGACTTGAGGTTTGACAAGCGAATTCTCCAGCTCATTCGAGTCTGTTTGCGCATGTGAAGGTTGTTCAAAGCTAGTCATGATCTGTTCGACTTGTGACAGGTCCAGATCTCCTCCGTAGTCGGCGCTCGAGGAGTCCCATGGCTCGTCAGTCTCGTCAAACGAAGTAGCGACGGTCGTGGCGAAACTGAGGTTCTCCGCCCCAGCGACGACAGAGGCAGCGTTGGTTTGATTTGATGAAGTGAAGCTAGGATTGGACGGACTGATCTTGTATGAGAAATGATCATCAATGTGCGGCTGCTGTCGCCGCTGCTTCTGGGGGCGCACATACTGTGGAGAGTTGAAGAGATCTTGGTTCGAAAGGCGCTTGGTCCCTCTACTGACAGGCTCGGCGTCGAAGACAAAGGACTGATTGACTGGCAGCAGCTTATCCTTGGAGGGTTGATAATCAACTTCGGATGTTTTGACCTGATTCAACTTGGAGCTCTTCTTGATGGTCGGGATGAGTTTGGTCTGTGTCAATGAAAGCTTTGGTGCGGGTTTCTTGAATTCCGGCTGCAGCTGCAGCTTATCCACCTGTGGTTTATTCTTCTCCAGATATGCTGCATCTCGAGTCCGGGTATAGAAGGTTTCGAGCGCATTGGGTCCAATACTATTGTTTCGCTTGTCCCTGCGAAACTGGTTGAAGACCTCGTGCATCTCAACTCGGTTCCGGAAGAATAGAAAGCTGATATGATCAACGCACCTTTCGGCGTATCCATCTGGACGCTTGCTCGGTGAGCTCGTGCCAATACGAGGTCTCAAAGGAAGCCCGAACTCCTGAGCAATGGTTTCGATGATAATGTTGATCTCCTTGCTTGCTTGTCCTCGGGGAGTGGTCGGCGCAGGTGAGCCGCCGTTGGACCTGAAACTGACAGGGTCCAAGGCAGCCATTGCGAGGAATAATGAGAAGAATGATTTTGGAGTTTCAATGCATCGTGAAATTGTCTTTCATTGAACTCAAGACCAATAGAATGTCTGCAGCAACTCGTCGACGATGATAATGGTATGGCACAAAAGGAGGTGCCTCAGGACTGAGTGAGACAGAACTGTGTTTGGCGGTCTGTCGGTCCGTGCCGCACTTAAGCGCCCAAGTCATGTTGACCAATCACAGCCGGGATTCTCTGCTGGAGCGGTAATTTCGTCAAGGCTATCACCCTGCTCCAATTGGTTGAGCATTGATATGTCTGCAAAGAGAGAGCAAAATGATTATCCTGCACAATCAACCTCATCGAGACTTCTCCCAATCTGTCAGGAAAGAAGTTGTAAGTGGAGGAAGCCACGGTGGTTGAGGAAAAGAGATCCAAACAATCAAGCTTCAAGATGAAGATCGTGTTAACAAGGAACATCGAAATTTACACCACGAAAGCCGTGAAGCCTACAACAAAACATCAGAGCATGGCAAGAGCGCTGTATATGATCACCGACAATACCGTCATGCGATGCGACTACCACTCAACGAGTCAAGAGGTAAAAAGCACTACTCCTGAATGTGATGTCGACTGTCATGAAGTTGGTACGAGTGACATGCAGAATATTTTGATGAGTAGAGCTACTCACGCCTGGCAGTCACGACAAGTACAAAGTCATCTCGCAATGTAACAATCATTTCGCAAGGCATCCGGGCAGCCAATATGGTATGTATTTGGGCAAGGTCCATCTTCTCTACGTGAACTCAGGAACGTGGAGTTCACAAGAGGCGTCTCACCAGAGATGCCTACCTTGGGTACTGACTACAGAGGACAGGGCCGAGGCCACGTCAAGTGAGAACAGAAGCACCTTGATGGTCGGTCATCACACTGTGGGACGGAGAAGCTGGAGAAAAGTTGGATTTTGCAAAGGGGTAGAGCGTGCTTGTGTTGGCTCGTGGATATCATAAGAAAGCGCGTCATTGATAGAAGACAACCCAGCAGATATGCAACCAGCTTGCCTGTTCCTTAACGACTCTAAACCTTCATCTCGGACATACCGTGCTTCCCTATGATATGTCAGTACTCGCTTCCTTTCTCCTTTCTCTCTTCTTCGCTTACAGAATACACAATACGGGGTGTCATCCGCGCGGTAGTTAAGGAGGACGACCATGCCATCGGTGTCCATGGACTCGCCGGTGTAGAAGTCGTACTTGAATTTCTTGAAGGTGTCTGAAGATACGTAGCTCTTGACACCAGTCTCGAACTCCTTGATCTCGTCCTCAGAGGCGTCTCTGGACTTCATGTGCTCCTTGACCTTCTTGATGTACTGCTTGAGGAAGGCCATGTAAGTCTTCTTGTCGAAGAAGGTTGGCTGAAGGCGGAAAGAGTGGACAACGTCGATGGCGGTTGAGGCGGTGTCATCAGTACCCTCGTCACCACCATCCTCAGCAGAGGGGTTGGCACCGATGTCTGCAAAAGGTCTTGTTAGTGCCTGTGGCAAGGCTGTTGTCAGGAAGGAAGCTGGCGTACCGATGTTGTCGTTGCCGACGGTGATACGGGCGCAGTCGACCTCGTAGACGGCGCCGTCGACGAGCTTGAGGTCGAAAGAGTCCGAGATCATCTCGTCGCCGCTGATGACATCCTGCAAGTCGAGTCAGCGCTCAGTTCGGGATTCCATCAAGAGGGGTTGAGCTGTCAAAGGGCACGGGCGAGTCGAGTGGAGCAAGTGAGAGATGGGCACTCGGGTCGCGGGTCCTTTGCAGCAGTCGGAGAGGCGCACCTTGAAGATAAGCATATTGGCGGTGGTTGGGTGTGTATTTGGTTGGTGAAGGCAAAGGAGAAGTAGCTGGACAGGAAAAAGATTGCTGTGCGCTCGGGGGTGGGGTGCCAAGGGTGCTTTTGTTCCCTCGTTCCTTCCTTCCTTTCCGTCTTTCTGCGGAGAGAGCGAGAAAACTGGCGTCTGGCCTCTTGACGCTGCGCCCGATCGGGAAAGCGCGGCGCTTGGGCCCCCACAGCGCCTGTGCCGGCCGAATTTGCTGCCAAGACTTGGGAATGCGTTGCAAAATCTTCGACTCTTTGCTTTGCGCAGCGCTTCGCTCGTTTCTTCCCATCCATCCCGCCGCCAATCCGTGAGGTAAGTCGTCGCAGCAAGCCATGCTGTTTCACTGCAGCATTCGAGTGCCCTTCAGGTAGCCCGGACTGGCGCATCACTTCTCCTTCACCAGGACACAAGTGACACCGTCAGCCTGACATGGACGAGCTGAAGAACCCTTCTGGTCGCATTCCCACTCTGCGCATCCCGAAGGGCACTCTTTGCGCTCACGGCTCCCGAGGGCTAACACACGTCTTCGCATCAGCAGATACCTCCTACCGCCTACACCTCGCCGTTTGAGAATCTCGCCCGACAACCGCAACAATGGTCAAGACTTCCGTCCTCAACGATGCCCTCAACGCCATCAACAACGCCGAGAAGAGCGGCAAGCGCCAGGTCCTGATCCGCCCTTCGTCCAAGGTCATTGTCAAGTTCCTCTCTGTCATGCAGAAGCACGGTAAGCCTTTACTACAAGCCCACATCTCGAGCCACGTCCGAAGCAGAAAGAGGAGGATGCAGCAGCAGCATACATAGCACACAACACACCCGGGTTGATAACTAGGTGAACGGTCTCAATCACCCACGGCCTTTGCCCTTTAAGTATCCGGGAGATCAACGTCGAGGAACTTACACGGCTTCGGACTGCTCAATGATGTTTTGCTGTTTATTTTCTCCCAACAAGTCACTGATCTTTTTGTCTTCACAGGCTACATTGGCGAGTTCGAGGAGGTCGATGACCACCGCAACGGCAAGATTGTTGTCCAGCTCAACGGCCGCCTCAACAAGACCGGTGTCATCTCCCCCCGCTACAACGTCCAGCTCCGCGACATGGAGAAGTGGGTTGTCAAGCTCCTTCCCTCTCGTCAGTTCGGTTACATCGTCCTGACCACCTCGGCCGGTATCATGGACCACGAGGAGGCCCGCCGCAAGCACGTTGCCGGCAAGATCATTGGTTTCTTCTACTAGACGTCTGTCTGGAGAGGAGCTGCCACGGGTTGAGCAGGTCACGACAAAAGCACCAAAAGTTACGGCATGCGTCTTCGTTCTAGATAGCACTTTGAGCATTTCAATCAAGAGCCACGACGCTTGTCTACCATGTTCTTTTTCATCAACTCTTGTGCATTCTGTTCGTGACATTACGTGATTCATCTCTCTGCCTCTTTGAACATGTGCAGCACCTATCTACGACCTTCTGTATTTGCCATCAAGAATCTCGTGAACTCATCAAGCGGTGTGCAAACTCATGTCTTTCATGTCTTGCAGTGTTTTCTCATGCAGGCTGCCATTGAGGTCCAGCAAGCTTCATGCGGCTTCTTTGGCCTTCACCGTCAAGCAGCACTTTCTTTGTCCAAAATCGTTTGCTCAACTTTGCTTCCATGACTTTCTTCTTCTCTTCGTCTTCTGAAGATACAAAAGCTCGACCAGGCTGGCTACAAGCTGATCGATCTGCCACCAGCTACCTACTTTTCTGACTTTTCGCACGGTCGTTCCTTCTCACAAACGCCGCTGACGCAGCCGCCAAAACTTCCACTCAGCAACTCGACGACACCCTCGTGGACAACAACATCGTCTTCCAGACTTTGACTTTTCCCATCAAATAGCTGCCTTCATCATGGTTCTTGAGACCATCTACGTTACCAGACATGGCGTAAGTTTCCTTTTCATCCTTTCTCATTCACAGCCTGCGGGCCAGATGTGTCATGAACGCCCAGCGCACTTTCCTTTTCTCATCAGCACAAAGAAAGAGCAGTGCGCAAACAGACGTGAAGCGTCGTGTTTCATTTGGCAGGTGCTTTTAGTTTTTCGCCCGTCGTTGCAGAAAGAAGTCGCGGCGTTTGTGATGATATTTCCTTGCACTATCCACATCGTTCGTGCTTGAAGGAGGCATACTGACCATGATATCAGTTCCGCTCTAACTGGGTGGTTGACCCGACTACTGGAACATACACAAGCAACCTCCCCACACCTACTGGCATCGCTTCGGATCCGGCACTGGCAGCTCATGGAGTCAACCAATCCAAGGAACTGGCCGAGCACATTGCGACACTGGATCCTCCCGTGGATGTCATCTACAGCTCTCCTTTCTACCGCTGCTTGCAGACTCTGAAGCCCACAGTCGAGAAGCTCAACGGTAGCCGCTCCGAAGACAAGAAGCTGCAAGTCCATGTCGAAAACGGCGTCGGAGAGTTCTACGGTCTTGCCCGCTTCGATCACCCGTCACCTGCTACTCTGGACGTTCTTGCCAAACACTTCCCCGGTGGTCTCGCCGAGGCCTACATTCCTGTCATCCGCCCCAGCGTCAACGGCGAAAGCTTGACTTCCCTTCACGACCGCATCGCCTACGCCCTCTATCACGTCATCCAGAAGCTCGACCAAGACCCCAACGGCCCCAAGACGCTACTCATCTGCACACACGCCGCCAGCATGATCTGTATTGGTCGTGCTCTGACCGGGCGTATGCCTGAAGATCCCAGCGAGGAAGACTTCAAGTGCTTCACCTGCTCCTTGTCAAAGTTCACACGCCGCAACATGCCCGAAGCACCTGTGGAGAAGCAACACATCTGGACACTGGACGAGCCCGAGAACATACCCTTCGTCGACTGGAGAGGCAAGGGTGTCAAGGGTGGTTGGGACTGCGAAGTCAATGGTGACTGCTCGTTCCTGGACAAGGGCGAAGAGCGTGGCTGGTATGATATTTCTCCTTTGTCTTTTCCTTTTTCATCTATGCAACGTCTCACTCCCTTCTTTCCCAAACTCCCCCTCTTCTGCACCTCCCACCCCCGTCCAAGCTTTACAAGGTTTGAAAGAGGATACTATCCCCAACTAGGAACTGGTGGTTCGAGCCCGGTCTGGAGTACTTGGCCCCCAAAGTCACTGTTGCAACATACGGTGCCGGCGGTAGCCACATTGTCTAAGCTCCAAGCCCACACGTCTGGCCAGCTACCACAACGACACTCGGCATAACGCTCTGCTTTTGGCTTGCATCGAGCAATAAGTCCACCCTGCGTTCCTCACATTCTGCGCACAACTCAACATGCTTTCACGACCTCACGATAAACATGCAAAAACATGAGCAAAATGACGAAACACAACAAAAAGACACGCAAGCTTACCATTTCCCTTTCACACAACAGGGCTTTCTCCACCGACGAATCCTTCCTACGAGACCCCAACGCATACAACGACAAGATCAACGAAGGCGCAAAAGACGGAGAGGGCATTCTCAAGCCAGGGTTCAGGCTATGAGCTGCTCATTTGGGAAAAAGGTAATGGATCACAAGGCACATGGCTCAGATAGACAATTGTCTTTCATGCCTCGCTCACGGCGACGAGGCTTGCTTTTGGTTTGCAACAGGTTTGCATAGCGCGCTGCCTTTTCCGGTATGCCGCTGATTTGGGTGGGCGGATATGGTTTCTCTCTTTAATAGACTTTTCTCTCTCTTCCTCCGTCCTTCTCACGAAAGATTTTCTTCTTCTCCACTTCCCTTGACCACTTGGCATGTTCAGCATACAGCTTGTCACGTCTTCATGCAGTACATTCCCACGCACATCGAGCTTCTCGAAGCCGTCACTACCGTCGCCTCTGTCGCTGGTACCAGCGGCATGCAGCTCGACTTTGTTCTCACCCGTGGATCGAGCCCTTCAAACACCTTCGAAAGCCCTCTCTCACGTCAAAGCCTCATCACCTCGTCTTTCACAGGCAATGCAGAAGCCAACACCTCCGGCTGCCTGCTGATTCTGGCCCGCGCCTCACTGCTCAAGCCTTTACTACATCACCGCTTTGTTACTGTCGTGAAGCTTCACGCTCAGTACGTGACTGTGTCGTTGTTCACACCTACTTTGAATCACGTCGCTACGCGCACCCAACTCTGAGCTATCTCACTCGTCCCCGTCTAATCAGCTTTGAGAACATGCTGAACCTGGCTTGTCATAGCGCTACATGCTGTCACATGCTCCATGAGGCACGTTATGCTCAGTCTTGTCACTATCCCGCTCCGAGATACTGTAAGCCTTGATTGCTTGCAATTCACCCGTCCATCGGCACTCCTCACATCCGCATCAAAGTTCGTCGGCTGCCTTTGTCATTACTCGTACGGCTGAACTCCTGGCTTGATGCCAATTGTCCTGATCCTCAGTACTGGCCTGTGCCACACCAGTCGCCATCGCCATCTTTGCGTCGTCCACAGCTTCACCTCTAGGATGTCTGCCACACCTATGGAAAGTTGCAATTTTGACGCCATCTCCTCATTGTTCACCACACTTCTATATATCAAGGGACTGACACTCCACACTTCTGCCTCTCGTGGCCCTTCTTCGCATCGCTACGGCGATCGACCTCCTGACACCACAACCTGACTGTCCATCTGCCTGTCTCGCAACATCAACCACTTACTCAGTGCTCATCCCTCTTACAACACTCGTACCGCGGTGATTTTGAGCTCGAATCGACCGTCAAAGCACGCAAGCCAGGTGATTTCGACACGAACAGACACATCAAGCTCGACATCGACTACGATACCGCCAGCTCAAGTTTTTGTTATCTCTACAGCGCCCAGCAAGACATGTGATGGGCTTGATACCGGAATTGTCCCTTCTGAGAAGCTGGTGTTTTATCCGCTATATATGAGAAGATAGTGACGAGCTGTCGTGCTTGATGCTCTCGCGCCGGCTTTTCGACAGACACTATCATGGCCTCTTCTTGACATCCACCCTCCCGCAGCATGCTCCATCGATGAGTACGTCACAGACAACAGTGACCCTCGCACTCCTGGTGCTGTTCGAAGGCTTGTGAAGAAAGCTTCATTTCACTACGGCGAGGACGTCTTTGACGACCTGGATATCCATGAGGCCAAGCGTAAGCCTACGTCTAGATTCACCAGACAGCAGCTTATACGGGACATTGCCATGGCGGACCTCGAGTTCGATGCGTACCACGAGGATGTCCATCAACTTCATCCCTGCCACGGAAAGGTTGTCACGACACCTTTGCACAGCTTCTGAAGACTCGTTCGTTCGTTTCTACTCAACCAATTGGGATGAGCAAGAGTGGTACTCTCCTGCTGCGTCTCAGCACTCCAACGCTCACTTCCTCCTCCATCCTCTGCCTACCCGAAGCCAACGACCTTCACATCCTAAGCTCAGAGGTCATGCCAAATGTGTATGCCTCCTCGTTTCCGTAGCAGCCAAAATGCTGCTGCTAAGAAGCATGCTACGGGCGGCAAGCATACCAACAAGCTGCGTGGTCTGGCTGTTCGGCAATAGATGAGAACGGCAATACTTAATCGCCTCCCTCTGTACATCGGTCCACCCTCGCTGCCGAAGCTTGGCCTCGTGCTGAGCATGCTGCACCCAGCGGTACCACCCCTATCATCAAGCTCTTCCCCAGCCTCTAGCCACTAAACATTCATGTCGAGATGGACGGCCACAGTCAGGTCAGGCCACACTCCAAACTTGTTGTGGCGAGATGTTATCCATATATACAGAATTTGGTGCTCATTGCCAGCTTCTTGAAGAGGGTGGTGGTACACCTCCCGCTGCTGTCAAGCGTGCTACTTGTCATCCTACTTGCTCTCAAAAACCAGTCACAAGATGGATGCTCTGGCTAGTTGCAAGAGATGATCATGTCACCTCCCTCTACCCATGTAGTTATGTTCAGCAGCTACTTCTCGACCATACCTACGTTCTTGTGGGTAAGAGGCTTCCAAGTCGAAGTTTGAGGCCAGTTTCCTCTCGAAAGATGAAGCCACCTTATTCGGCAAACACTAATACTGTCTCTCACCTGTACCTCACAGAGGAGTGAACGGATTATTCAGTAATGGCGAAACTCTCTAGGGCGACTTCCTACACATGCTGTTGGACTTGCCCACTCCGAAACACGTCCAAGTCTGGAAGCCCTACTACCTGCGTTAAAATATGGCAGTCGAATGGAGATTTCTATCAGGTCCAGATTGCACATACGCCATCTCCTCTGATGTTTCGTCATCACTATCAGGACCTGAAACATTCCAGATGGTCGGTGCGAACGATCAGATCTTATACCATCCTCAAATGATCGACGGAGCTGGCGAGATGGATCAACTCGCACAGTGCGTCGACAAAGTCGAAAGCCATCAGTTCGAAGAAGGCCTAAATGCCCGCTTCACACAAGTCAACCTCGCTCGCCAAATCAGAGACTTTCAGACAGAGACTTTGCGATCAGAACGAGCAAAGGATATCAAGATCCTTGAACTGGCTATCACAGTCTTTAGTCTGCAGGCCAGGCTTACCGAAAAAGAGAACGAAGAGCGCACAAGACTTATCAAGATCGAGCCGCGTACTTAGGAAGAGAAGCTCGAGTCTGCTATGAAGAACCGCAGCCTTGACCAAACTGCTTCCGGAGCCATGTCACTGGATCCTCCACCCGTCGAAGTTTGCATTCGTGGAGCAGCACAAATGGAGAGACTGGCTAAGGTTCTGGCTATCACATTGCGAGTGTTCGGAACTCGTGACGCAATATGCGAAGCCCGTGATTCGCAGCGATGCTTACTCCATGAGCCCCGCCAGACTTGTGGTGGACGAGGTCAGCCATTATATACTATATCGCCGTTGTACTGCAGCTATGCAGGGGTTCTAGCCGATAGCGAAGAGCCCTTGGGATGAGAATTAGCACGATCCACTCATGGCGACTTTTTCATACATCTCACGACCGGACTGCAGAAGCATTATGGGAACTGCTTGAAGCTTGGGGATGACTCGTCATTGGTCTCTACAACAGTCGTTGGGCTTATTAGGCGTGGTATTCTGGACGTTCCACGTAGACATGTTTCACAACTTCTGCTGGACGCTGGGTTGTCCGCTCTCGAGACGTTTCATGGCCAGCTTGAACATCCCCATTAAAACAATACCTTCAAGGTCGCTAACGCCAAAGAATAACAACCACGAAAGCTGTTAAGCAGATTGCATCACTACCGCCATTCTCTTCCGCCCACGTCGCCTCGTCCCCTGTTCCATCATGTTTGACAGGCAACAGTACCAATCACCAGGATCTGTCGACGGGGTTCTTTTGGGTGAGTTCTACTTCGACGCAAGCGATTACACAAGACCTGCCGTCTTGGACCCGCTGCGTCTGGACCGCTATCTCGAGTGCATCGAAGACGTGCTGAAACCATTGGGTTTCGAAACTAGAGTCCCATTCGAGAAGTATCTCCGCGAGCTCTAGTGCTTGGTTCGTGCATTTCCATGCACGCACGCGAGGCAGGGCCGGCGTCCTGGCCAGTCAATCGGGTCGTGCCCAACTTAGGAACACCCGCCGCTGCTGCCCAGGACTCCAATCTCCCTCTTCTACGTCCGCCGAGTCAAGCGGTCCAACCCCCCCAAGAACACCAGATCCAGGCACCGGACCAAGTATCTGATCCGCAGACGAACGACAACCAGACCCAGGAAATTTAGGTCTCTGACAACGAGGTTATTGCCACCACCCCTGCCACGTTATATACACCAATCCACGAAACGTGGCCTAGCCCCGTCATTCCCTAATGAGGGCAGACAGCGGGTCGTCACATACGGAACTTACGAGATGTTCGTTATATATCAGATCCAAAAGCTCGCCAGCAAGAGCATAACTCCAGCCGAGTTCCAAAAACGCGAAAGTTGGGACTTTTACAGCCGTCGTCCTGGATGGTTCCGAGTACAAATCCCTCGCTGCCATTCACTCGAAGATTATGCAGCATTGTACGGTAAGAACGCTACGGATTGAGGACCTTCAACCAGACCAACACAGGTATGCCATCCCTGGCAAGTTTGGTGCAGGTTAAGGTGGTCATCTCAGGATATAAGCACTCACCCGACTGTTTGCGTCTGCCAGAGACAATGAAGATCCCCTTTGAGATCTTTGCGCAGGGTCTGTGTCAAAAGCGACTTTTCTCAGACAACCATGAGTTAGAGTCGCATCTCTGCGCAGAATATGGTACGCATCTAGGCGGCGACGGAGACGACAAGTACAAGGTCTTCCTATGCGAAAGCCTGGAAACTTGGTCCTCTAAACTTCCCATTAAGTCTGTTTGTCCTAGCAGACTACCACGACGCAGAAATGGCTGAAGTCGTGCTAGCCTGACCTTGGGACTGGATAACCTCTGACTATCTCTACCTCTGGCTCCAAGTTCTCCCGCATTACTGCCAGCTAAAGCTTCGTGCAGCTCATCAGGGACAAGAAAGTCGTTCCTCCTGTTAGCAGCTGGTGTCGTCTGCAAAAGACAGTCAAGGTCCACATGGGCCGACCAGCAGCAGCGCAGAAGCGTTGTTTCGATCTTGTTCTAGCCAACCTTGCTTGAACAGCAGACAGAAACACTCCACTCAAGAACCACAACGTTGTCTCCAGCCTCTCCTTCCAGGTCGACGCTGAAGAGACCAGCGAATGTGTTGTTCAAGCTTGACCTTTGCAGCGTCCCTCTCCTTCGAGTTTGTCCCTTTCCTCATTCTCATTGATATAAAGGCGCATACAACATGTCCCCGTTCCCTCCCAAGCCCCACATGTCGTTCATTCTTTCAGCCACCAAGGAAGGCGCAAGGCACACTATATAGTCTGGCCCAGATTGACCAGACTCTGGGCTCTTGAAGATGCAATCCATTCCTTCTCTTAACACAGTCAAGTTACGCCTCCAGCGAGTCTCATTCTTGGTTGTTCTCTCTCCCAGTCACTGATATCCAGCGCATTATCCGCCAAAGACTGATGACACTTGCTCAAGTGTTTCGAGGAAGACACTGGAAGTCGCACAGCGCACAGCGTAGTGGAAGAAAAGTACTTGAGCAACTCATATGTTGCTGGAGATCTTTGACGTATTCGCAAACCTGGAGGCACTCATGGAAATCCAGGCTGGGTGATGGCTACAACAAGTCGTATGAAATTTCAGCTCGAAGTATGCTATCGGACGAGGATCACTGCCAATATTTGCGCAGTTCGCAAGTTTAGAGGAGCTTGTTCTTAAACCCTCCGAGGACAACATGGTGATGGAGACAGCTCAACGGAACAATTTGCAGTGCCTTGGTATAACCACAACAATGATACGGATTTGATCACGCTGATCAAAATGTCTGAGAGTACATGCAGAGAGGATACATATTACCACTATCGGTGACCTGCATCCATCATATATAAGGATTGGCTGCTGTCTCTAGCATTGGCTAACATCTTGGACACGAAGTGACGAGAGCTCGTCATGATACTCGCCACGGCAAGGCTAACAAGTTTCTCCCTGCTTCAGCACCTGATAAGCTGCTCACCCAAGTCTTCATACACGAGGGTGTAGGAACGGCGGCATAATCCCGCTTAGTTTGGCAAAGCACGAGAGATACTCTTTCCATTCAACTTCACCCCCATGAACAGCGCCGTCCAAGACAACAACAGAACTGTCCGCGGACTAGCCGCCCAACTCGCTCTCCAAAAGAACATCGGCATGTTCATGGAAAACTTGAACACTGCCAGTTGAGTGCTTGACAAGGCTATTTGGAAGTGTGTTCCTGTTTCGAACGGACAATTTTGTCCCTGCCTTGGCTTGATCCAACCAGCTCCCTCGACTCCTCCGCGAAGGTGCTGAGGTAGTGAGTAGTGATTCTCGATCCTTCTTCGAGCTGATACGCCGCTTGCCCTTCTCCACCCATGTCTTCACCGGATCCTTTTCCTCCTATTCTTCGTTGAGCTCGCGGGTCGTAGCATCATCACAATCTACTCCGACGTGTGATAGAAGATTGCTCGCTTCTCCTCTTGTCGGATTCCGTGTTAGCTTCCATGCCGCTTTGATGCGCCATCTTACACTCGCTACATCTATATATATGGAGACGATACCTAGGGTTGCGAGTAACCGCTCTCCCCGGACAGAAAACTACCACCTCTGTCCGGTCTCACTCGTCTCACATGCGAGCCATCCTCCCTCAGCAGAAGAGTCGTTGATATCTTGGCTTCTATTTTCGTGCCTACCTTCGAGCTTCGGGACTACTGCTGAAAAGGCAGGACAGCAGGGAAGCGTGCAGTATTGGCCTCAAAGGTCCATTATCTCTATCAAGTCGCTCTGCACGTGCGAAGATGCTTCCGTAGAAGCGGCGAACTTCAGAAGTGCGTCAGGAAACAGATATCTCAGGGTCAATACTGTCTTATGAGCTGGGAAGATCATGAAAAACCATCAGCAGCTTCAAAACGACGTCGATAATCTTTGTGAGGTGTCGCGGAAACCCCAGGAGTACGCGTAGCCGACAACTCGACAAAGGTTTTGGTGAGCAGCATCCCTGTGGCAGGACAGGTATTCAACTTCCAAGTTGCATCAGGCATGGTCATTGTGGATTATCCTGACATCACTGCCGCCCACCTCCAGGCCAAGTCACGAATCTGCCGTATCGGCCAAGAGGGGAAAAGCTAAGATTCTCATTGTCCTTGCTCACAACACCTTTGAACAGGTGATTGCTGCAAAAACCAAGGCCAAGCTTATGCCTATCCTCGCTGGTAGCGCTGCTCTTACTGCAGCCAGACACGAGATTGAGACTGTCATGCGCGGACAACAGCAACTCTGCTATTTATACAACCAACTGCCTCTACCAACACCAGTGACGACCTAGGCTGCTTTGAACATTGCTGTATCTTTGGCGACACGGCCTACTGGTTCCTGAATGCAATCAACCTGGACATATGGCACTCCAGCCCCCACTTTGCGCCAGGGACTATTGAGTCCGAAGAAAAATCAACTCCAAAGCCTGGTCTGGTTGAAAGAGACATTTTCAAAAAGTGCTGTGGTAATATATATCTGCGGGCTTTGTGCGGCACTTTCTTGAAGCTAGACATATGTCGCAACAAACCATCGCAAGTAAGTCCTCCTGATGTTCGTTCGCGTGTGATGCTGCCCACAATGCCATTCGGAAGGCGAGAGTATTGACTTCGACTTCGCCATGACTGGTGGGCGCCACCACTCGCCGACTTTCCTTCTTTTCCACAAGCTGTCATTCGAGGACGTATTAAGAAGTCGGGTCCTCAAATTTACCGTCAGGTGCAGAGGACCTCCCGCTCCTATGCGAGATCATGAGGGGCGTACCACAGTTAGAAGTGCTAGCGGTGAAGTAGACTTCGATTGGTCATTCTACGCACTCATAGACGTATCATTGGAATGCTTTCGTCGTGCAAAGTCACATTCATCGCCGATTTATCTTGGAAGAAGTACACCATCTACAGTCAACGCATACGCGTATTGCCATTCCTGACTTTGATTCCACAGCAGCGAGTACATTTTGCCATCCGAGGACGCCATGACCGAGGAGCAGAAGCACTTCTCGGAGCACTATCTGCTCTACGCCTACTACAAAGTTGATGAGCTCAGAGTTCCCACGCTCGAAGAAACAATCCGTGAACATAAGCTCGCTAAAGCAGCACTATCCGCCCATAAAGAGGAAACGTTCCTAGTCAGCGGACAAACTCAAGCTCTCCTCGATCGCTGCCACGCCGTCGAAGCCGCTCCCTGGAAGCTGCGCAAGGTATCTCGAGATGCGGACCTCAGAGGAACTTCTCAAAGCTTGCATCAGCGTAGCGCATCCATGGATGGTTCGAAGAATCTCAAGAACGAGGCCCATAGCCGTATGCCTTCCCTCTCAGGCATGCTCAGCACAGCCAAGAGGTTGCCTCCCCAGCGCAGAGGTTCTGATGAAACTGTCGTTCATGACCACCACCGTCGCTCTTGGGACGAAAGAGTCCACATTCCTGGCGCAATGTGATCCTCGTCGAACCTTCTCCCTGTGCTTATGTCTTTGGAGAAGCCCCGCATTCCTGCCAACTCTAACCCTGTCACCGAGCCTCGTGTTGGTAAAGCCATGCCTCCATACAAGCACAAAGCTTCGTACCTCCACCGAAGCTACCATTCCAATCACGCCTCGCGTCGGAGATGTCATGCCATCCATATATACTGCAAGAGCATGCAGGATGATAGCGGTGCATGGAATCGATAAAAGACTTGTTATCTCGCTTGGGGTATTCGTTTATGCTTTCAAACCTTTGTGCACCTTCTCCTTGACGCAATCACATCGCAGAAAACGCAGGTCAATCGTCGATCCTTCCACGGGTTCCTATGATCTCATTCCAGTCGAGACCTAACACAATCTCACATGTGTACGACGAGGGCCACAGTACGCATAACGTCTTGCCAGCATCGGGCTAAACCTCAAATCGACTTCCTGGCGTGGCAACGTGTCCCGCACCGCAAGATCCATGCCGACCAAGTTCGCAGACATTGCCGTTATGTTGAACCATGCCCGCTACCCAACCCCCTCTGACTGGATTCAACGTAACCACCGTCAACCAGATCAACCGACTCGGACCGAGCAGTGTACTTACCATCTACTTCAGACACTTTGGACGATTGTTCAATTCACACTATATATGGAAATCCACGAGACCGCCAAAGGATCTTGCGGTTGCCACACTGGCTGCTCGACCTCACTGCAACGCCCTTAGATGCTAAAAGACTGCGCTCCATCCTCGATTGACTGGCGTTTCACACGCTCCTAGCGTGCTAGAACACCTGTAAAACGCCACTGATGCAGTGGATGCATTCATCGAGCTTCATTCCTAAGGACAAAGGCAGCGGGATGCCCTTCATCTGCTGCTCGAGCTGCAACGGATATTCGAGCTCAGTTTCACGCCCTACTTGGTCGATATGCAGAAACTCTTGTGTAGAAAGGACGTCTCCCAAGGCTTGCGATTGAAGAATTTCGGGAAGCGCCTGTTATAGGCGAGGAAGGTGACGCCCGATTGAGCGCTATATACCAAGTCAGAGAAGTGAGACGCTCCTCAATACTATCAACTACCACCAGCGTGACATGGTTTAGCAGCCACAGCAATTCGCTTCTTGCCCCTCCCATCGTCTCGTACAACCCATCCGCTTTCGCAAGGACGCGATCAGATCATCCTTGAGAACCAGGCAGATAATGGACAAGACCAAGGGTGCCCGACACAGATCAGAAAGCTCTCGATCTATCGCCGTCGTCTCCCACAAACACAATGTCGTCAATGAGCTTTGTCATACCATTCAGTATTAGCAGCGACCGCTCTCAGCCTCTCACGTCCATATCGGACCAGACAGGACGTAGTCACTCTTCAAGACCGGCCTGAAATGCATTCTTCTTGCACCACTTTCCGTCTTCAATTCCCTGGCCACTCAAGACATCCTTCCCCAGCTCCGATCTCGTCGCCGGTAATAATCTGTTACTCTCGACTCAGATCTTGATCTCATTCTCCTTCGCCTGACATCAGCTACCCGTGTCTCCGCCTGTCACTATATATAAGTCTGGCCCGCATGACCCCGTCAGAAGCTTCCTTTGCCCTGCCTGAAACGCTGTTGTCTCAAAGCTGCAAATTACTATCATCACCGAGGAACCTCTTTACCAGATGACCCTAGAACCATGGTTTACGGTCCTCGCCAAGCTATACCGACACCAGAACAAAGTCGACTAGAAATCAGCCCTAACGCTAATCTTTTTGGTCAGCAATGCTCTTTCCCGCTTTCCACTCCAAGGAATAACCATTGATATTACGAACAATACAATCACAGTATTGAAGAAGTGCACCTCGTTTTCGCCGCCGATACCTCTGCTACTCCTTCAGCACGTAAACTTCTAAAGTCATGGCTCATTCGCACGTTGGGTTTAACGATCTTCCTGGCGATATCCGCTTCCTCGTTTAGGATCACGTATGCCGCGATCGCAAGAAGTCAATGACCGCGGAGAGAGATTCCGTGAATGGAGGAGAGCAGTGCTGCTCACCTAGCGATGTCGATTCGTCAGACCCGTCGTGCTCGGCGCATTGAACCTGTATATAACCTGGGCATTGCTTGTTGTTATGTTGCGCAAGGAGGTGATGCACCAGAGTCGACAGTCTTAGCCCCATTTCTCGTCAATGATGGAAGTACGCATGGTTCACACTCTATAGAATTCAGCCCTGAGCAGCCAGCCACTTCAGACACCGAGATGACAACCCACTCGTCGAGAAGAAGAAGAAATTCCTTCACGCTGATAAACTTCACAACTTCACAACTTCACGTTTGGTTCCAGTGCTTACCTTACCTTGACTGTCCAAAATGCACAGAAGGGTTTCGGTAACCCAATACAGTGCATGACGAGTAAGAGCTCAACTGGATCAGACTCGACCATCGACTCGGAGTCAGAGCCAGTATCCACATCATCGGCTTTGCAAGAGAACCCATTCAAGACTGCATTCGCCACACCGCAGTCAAGTGTAGTCAACGTTGTCCTTAGAAGGGCAGCACTGCAAGCGAGAGCAACAAAGTTCGTGGAGTGTGACTGTGTGAATGGTGGGCTCTGCGTGGGCGCAGGAGGTAGAGCGACATGCGACTATGATGTGGTTCCTCCTCAGGTCCCAGACACAAACAAATCCATGATCAATGATCAGCTCAACCTCTACAGGTGTCAAGCCCGGGCGGTCGGCATCTCCGAAAGCTGGCCTTAGATTCTACCCCGCAGCTGAGCAATCCGTGTCAGATCAAGTCAGACTCTGAGCTCAGTATCGTGGCGAGTCCAGAGACCCTGCGGTCTGGTTTAACGTGCCCTTGAAGTACCCATACTCATTGACTCGAATGTATAAACTATATATGATACTGGTGGCGTCACATCAAACGCAACGCAACCGACCAGAGTAGCTTAAATGCAACACTCGTCCAGGTGTCTGCCTCTAAGGCGCTAGACAAGCACAGCCGATGGCGAGCAAGAAAATGACCGTTTCACCGCGAGAAGTCCTTCAAGCCCATTCTGGTTGTCGCCCCATCGGGCGCCATGCTTCCTTGGAAGCTAGACTACATCTTTGGATTGATGAGCTAGTGAGAATGGAGGGCAGTCACAACAAGCAATAGAGGGTGATTTTATGATCCCATCATCCTTCTTTACTTGTTTCTCTTCTTTTGTTCCTCTATCTACTTGCTTTGCTATTGCATTCACCGCGGATCTGAAGGTACACTATTTCTTCGCCACGACTTCGACTGCCCGCACTGGAGAGGCTTCCAGAACGCTGGACAGCGGTATCGAGGATTTGATCGCTCACATTGACGACCTGGATTCGACCGATCCCACGACCACGAGTGTCGTTTACCTCACAACCGTGGGGACTTGGGCCCACCGCAGTTTGAAGGACAAGGGCCTCGCCAGGCAGAGCGACGCCGTATTGCATCAAGCTTAGAAAGTCGATTGCGATGTCGCCAGCATTCGCATAGGCATCTCGCGCCCCGACGACCTCAAGCAGATTGCCCAACAGCTTGACTAGCCTCCGGACGTTGACCTCACTAATTCTACTAGCCAGGACGGCGATTTCGAGACCGGTACCCAGCTTAAAGCAAGCGAGATCTGGCACGTACACATGATGGCTATGACTAGCATATCACTTTTGGCTTGTCGACATCAAGCCTGCTCAGATTACCAGGACCGACATTGAACAGGTTATCTGGAGTATCACGTCAGAGACGAGAACAACATCCCAGTTCACGTCGAAGATATCAGGCGAGGGGTGAAGCAGGGCCGTGGTCTGCAAAATGGTTGTCGCCATCATCACGGATCAATCATAGCATGCCGTACTTCCTGCTTCAATGCATGTGCTAAACGTATACCCACAGCGACCGTATCCTACATTTCAAGAACACTCTACGCAATTGACGAGTTTCTTGGTTACGGGTCCAACTGGTAGAGCACCTTGCTTTACCCTCAAGCCGTATGCCGATCCATCCTAAGTCTTGATAGTCCTTTGATTTCCTCGTCTCAAGCTCAGGCCGAAGTAGAAACCTCAACCGCTGACGAGTTTCTCCGATGCATGAGCTTGAGACCACGCCCGGATGGTCAACAAACCGTTTCAATGCCTGGGGATTGGGAAGCTAGATGCCGACGATCTCGCGAAAGGCTCTGACTAAGGTCGAAGCTTAGCACGCGCGTCTCTAAACAGTCCTTGGACATCTAGTTCTTCTATTATACCGCCATCTTTCTCGATGTCCCTAACGGTTCTAACACACTGATTTGGTGCATAGGAAGAGTGTACCGCATTAGCTAGAAGCACGCCTACGAGTTCTATGTTCTCACTCTCGATCACTCTTTCGATCAATGACTCCAGGCAAAGGCGTGGCAAAAATACATCCTACAGGTCGCCGCCAGAGCAGGTATGCAAATGGACCAGGGTCGTCTGATGTTGCAACTCCTGGCAAGACGTGGAGTACGAGCTTCAGGGGGCCTTCGATCGGCAGCAGAGCGAAGAAGAAGGCGTTTCTGGATCTCCCGTGTCAGCATCGGACAATCGAGAGAATACAAAACTATGACAAACTCACGGATCCCTGTCCCCTTTGGCTTCGCCGAGTTTTTCCCGCGCGCTTCCGATGTGGAAAACCGTCTTGCACAACAGGCAGAGTTCGAAGAAATGTCAAAATCCCGGGAGACAGACGATTACCTCCTCGCTAGGCAGTTGCAAGAACAACTGGATTCCGAGGCTGCTGTCTAGCTATTACACGATACGTCGCCTGCTTCCATGGATCCACCCACTGCTGGACCATCTGACTGGTACGAACGACGTGACCCTCACCAGACCGTTCGCCCATCCACCCAAGGAGTCCGAAAGGACCAGGAAGTCATCGACGCTGAAGCTTATCTTGCTTTGTATGCGGAAGCAGACTCCGACACTCCCAAAGCCCCACAACAGCACATCGACACGCTGTCCGGAAACCCTGCAACGCAAGAGCCCGAACGGAGATGTAAGACACCCAAGCAAGCTGTATCCAACTGTAAAGGAATTGATTTGCTTACGCGGTATGATAGATCATGGGAATTGTTCTGTATCTTTCTTGGAAGATCATTGTTGGCAGGCAGACCGGGGTATAAAGCAAGTAAAGCAGTGATCGCTCAGCTTGCCAGCACATATCTGAGTAGATGGGTGCTTGCTAAACACTCTATTGGCTATATGCGGATTCACGCCAGATTCATCGCTACATCGACTTGGTCCCAGTATCTTGTTGGTTTAAACTACTTGATATAGAGTCCAAATATGTCTTTACACTGCTTATAGTTCCAATGATTATTAGCAAGAAGATTTTCGTAGGATAATAGAAGCAGGATTTACTCACCCAACCGTGTCTGTGTTCTGCGCTTGATATTCACGTACTACTCCCATCATTCACCACTCTTCTTCGCAACCTCCCTCCCCATCCTTCCAAATTGACTTTTCAGACTTGGAGTATCGGCACTAACGAGAGTAGAAACCCAACTTTTGCCTCTCGTCCCTTCACCCTGTCCCTCCCCGTCACCACCATCATCTCCACCTGTAACAACACACTCCACCCTCGCCGCTCCCATCAGTAACGGCTGCAAGTTAACATAGATACTCTCATACCCACCCCTCGGCGTCACAAAAGCCTCGTGGAAAAATCCAACATGTTTACCTCCCTCCCTCTGAATCCACTCCCATGCTCGTCTATGTATAGGATCGTGAGCGAACTTGTTCAACCCTTCGACATTGCGGAAGTAATAAACCATCATTAGTGTATTATTGCTGCCGCGTTCCGCAGCGCGCCACGGTGAGAGACCGAGTAGACCGTAGGCAGACGCTTTCGCCAAAACAAGATCGTTGCATTTGGTAAAATGAGAAATTGTCTTTTGCGCGCCCGGGGAAAATATTCCCAAGGGGTGGGAAAAGCGGACGCCAAAGTGGAAGACCACGATGGCTTGGTCTGCAGGAACATTTCCGAATTTTCCGGTCTGTGGGTTTGGGAGTTGGGCAGATGTACGGCCGAGATGGATATCTTGCATGTATCCATACGTGCGTGGGTTCGCAGAGGCGATGGCGGTGGTGAGGACGGTGTAGGTGGAGAGGAGTATTAGTGGGAGTAGAGCGACACGGATGGGGAAGACAAGGATAAGAAGGGATTGAAGCAAAGCGCCGATCGAGAGGAGGGTTGGGAGGGAAAAGGCATCTTTGATGAAAAACTGTTTTTTGCCATTTTACGCATCAGTGTGATTCGTTGGTAGATTGGGGAGGAACGGAAAGTATAGAAGTATGCATACGGTGATGAGGTCTGGTTTTGAGAAGACCTGGGTAGGAGTAGATGGGATGAGGCTGCGGAAGTGTTTTCTGTCCATAGCCAGCCTGAAAATGCTCGTATAGATTGACGTTTTAGATGTCGATAGTGATGGGCCCAAAGGAGAAGTGATGAGATGGGCGACAGACAAGTGTTATAGGAGCAATGTTGCTATCGACGGTGCTGGGGTGGCCGAAGGATTCCCAGCTCAACGCTAGTGGTGGGGTGCATTTTGGTTCTCTTTGAGGGCGTCGCATGCCCGATCTGCCAGCGCATTCGTACACTTATATTCTGATAGAAGTCACGCAAGTACGTGGTTCAGCCAGTCGCCTTAGCTGCGGCCTGACCATACACTTCTTAAGGTAAAAGTGGTCGGAAGGCCAAGGGTAGACCCTGCTGCCTCGATTGTCTGTGGCGCTGCCCTATCAGGATGCGCCTATGGTCAGCATTTCCAATCCGACTGTACCTTGTACCTTGTATTTTCCACCGTACCGGGTTGACAAGATTAAGCTGTCTGCAAGTAGTTGGGCTTTTCAATCGTGAGGATGTGGAGTTTATTCCGCACGTGGAACAAGAGATTGGCATTCGATGAGATCTCCCTAACCACTTGAGATAGGGGTGAAAGGGAAGGAGAATTTTGCTTTTCGTAGAGGTGGAGATTTGATTTACTTCCCCTTCTTGAGCTGGAGTGAAAGATCTGCAATTTTGGATGATAACTGACTATGCGTAATCTGGAGGTATATCACTGATGATAACACATTTCAGCGCAATATATGTTGTTCTTTCACCCAGGGTAAAACAAACTTTGTGTTGAGAAAGCGGCTCGAGGAAGCTGAAAATCTTGTTTGCTTTGATAGTGGCTTGCTCAATTGTTTTCCATTTGGGCTTCGATATTGTCGCGGAAGCCGGGTCTTCGAGGAATGTACAGGCTGAAGACAAAGGTACGACTTCAAGATCCGACTTGGTCATTAGCAGACGAGGAGATCGTTCTGTGATAGGCTGGTCGGTGGATAGTGCGGGAAGTTCGCTGTTGGCAGATTGAAGGAATGTGGCGGTTTCCGGACGACAACGATGTTTCTCTATTTGTCCTCGGCGTCCTTGACCCTGGGCGCGTTCCAATGGTGTCCTGTTCCAGAAATCGAGAGCATTCTTGTCAGATCCAGCTTGAAGGAGCAACTTCACCACGCCGAGATGACCACCTCCAGCGGCAAGGTGTAGTGGGGTACCTCCATCTATGTCTCTGATACAGATGTTCGCACCGAGCTCGAGACAGCGTCTGGCAGCGGCCTCGGATCCGAGCTGTGCTGCGTGGTGCAACAAAGTCATCGATTCTCTTAAATCCACAATTGCCACGTCCTCGGCTGTGAGAAAAGGCGTCTGTAGTTCAAGCCTGGCTTTGCGACTTTGGGTAGACGCTAGAATCGAAAGCCATTCCACGACAAATTTAGGTGTGAGTCCTAGCAATTTTCGCACGGCCTCATTGTTACCCTCTGCCATAGCTGCCTCCAGAACATTACTATAGCGACGGGCTTTAAATTTCACACATTTGACGCTGTCGAGTAGAATACGCACGATTTCTGCGTGATCCCGGACTTTGTGAATCGTACCGCTGTCAAGCAGCATTCGCACAATCTCTGCATCGTCCCTGATGTACGCGGCTCGAAGGACGCTGCCATAATGGCCTCCTCGAACATTGACATCTGCGCCGCGATTTAACAGCATACGCACCATCTCTGGTTTGCCCTTTACGCAAGCAGCCTGGAGCGCACTGCCATATCTTCCACCTTGGGCATTGACATCCGCACCGTGCTCGAGCAGGATCTGCACTGTGTCTGCATTGTTTCCAGCGCAAGCGGCTTGAAGAGCATTGCCATACATTCCATTATGAGCATTCACATGAGCGCCATTGGCCAAGAGTAGTCGCACTATGTTCCCGCAGATATTCCTGGAGGCAATTTGAAGAGTGCTTACTGAGTTGTAGGCGTTGACGTCGGCACCCCAGTTGATCAAGAGCTTTGTAATGTTCTCATGATTGCCAGCTGCGGCAGCTTGTAGGGCGTTTTCGTATCTGCCACCGACGGTATTGACATCTGCGCCACCTTCCAATAGTCGAATCGAAACTTGCTCTAACCCACAGAGCGAAGCATGATAAAGAGGCTCTGGCGTAGGCAAAGAAGTTCTCTCGAATCTCCACCCAGGAGTATCCGGATCATAGACACTCAGCCATCGAGAACGCCTTCCAGGCTCCAGAAGAAGTTTGTCAATCAGGATGTGTAACCGTGTATCTTCGGAATCAGCGACACGTCCAAAGTGCATCCAATATTTTGCCGCATAAAAAGCCAAGGGGTATGCCGATGCGATTTTGTCTTGGGCAATTTCCTTCTCGAGACAAAGTAAATAGGTCAACAACACGCTTGCAATGGACGCCGCGGCTATCGGTTGAATCAGCCGAGCTTGGTAGTTGGCGTTCCGCACGTTGTCGGAGATAAGGTACTCTTTCACGGAGAAGTGAGCCAAATGGATCTCCTCTCTGAATCCACTTGCCTCGAAAAGAGTGAAGAAATCGCCTTCTACGTTATCGTCTTCAGGATCTAGACTCTGTGGTCCCAATGTCACCAACCCTGAGCAAAGCTGGACCATCTCATGTGGATTTGGCAATCGATTCTCCAGATCAAACCCGATCGGGCTATCTAGGTCCACAGCAAGCAAGTCCACGACCTCTTCGATGAGAAGCGGTCTCTCTGACCACGTCAACACCTGTAGTAGTCTGATCGTGTCTTGCAGATACATGGTAGGAATTCGATCCAGTATTCGATCATATGTCTCGTGTAAGGTCGTCGGTAACGTCAAGAGAGCGTCGTTGAGCTGTCGTAGGCTGATGCAGTTTGCAAGTGCATCAAGCTGACATTTTGCCCATCGAAACCTGTTATAACATTTAGAGCAAGTACCTTCACCGAGTCTCGGCTGAGCAAACTTACATTCCTTGAGCCTTGTCCATCAGATGCTTTTCGATCTTGTCTTGTACCCTGGGCTTGTTTTCCCAGCGCTTTAATCCTTCGTCGGCGATTATCCTCGCGCGTACGTATGTGCGAATATCTTCGTCCACCTCAGAATGTGGAATTGATATCATGGCATCAGTCGCCATCCACTTCTCCAAAGCCACTTGGATGTCATATTCCTTGCGACTCGTGATGATGATCTGGACATTCCTGGTGCATCTTGCGGCAATCTGGCTGAGCCATGGTAGTAGCTCCGACCTCTCGGTACATTCGTCTAGTGCATCAAGGACGATGATTACAGGACCAGATGATGCAAGCAACGTTGTCTCCAGAAGCTCTTTCAGCTTTGGGATCGAAGCTTGAAGTTTTCCGTGGTCGTACAACATCTCAAGACTGGCATGATTACCACTGAAGCTTTTCAGCTGCCAGACAAGTGAGCGGAGCAGACCATCCAGAGTCTGCTTACGCACATCGTTGAAATCAAAGTAAAAGTAGAGGAGTGTGGTGGACCGAGACAATTTACTCTGCTGTAAATCCTCGATTATAGATGCACTGAGAACAGTCTTGCCACAGCCGGCCATTCCACTCAACCAGAAATAAGGCACGCGACTTTGTTTGAAGGATTGGAAGAAGTCGGCTTCCACAAACCATCTTCCAGTTCCTGGATGGCGCCGCAACATGGCTTCATTGAAATTCGTTGAGGGGTCGGGGGGCAACAACCAGTTGTGCAGTCGTTGGTGCCTCACATCCAGTTTCACTTCAGCAACGGAGGCGTTTGTTCTTTCAAACTCCCACGACATGTTCTGCTCCACTGCGTGAAAATTAGCATTGAGCCAAGATACATCCAGAAAATTGCACTGACTGGAGGCCAATACGTCTACAATTTTTTTCTCCATCTCTACTTTATTTGGCGTCATGTGTACGAGAATATCTTTGGCAAATGCAGCTGCAGTCATCGCTGCATATCCTTGCCATCTCTTGTTCTTGTGTGAGTCTGAGTAGTCGCAGATGCCGCGTACCACGAGACATGGAAAGTGATTCATTAGACCCGCGGCCTCCATCTCGAAGCATAGTATGCCTTGTTCCTTTGCAAGAGCATCTCTTGTCGTTGCATCTTTCATGAGCTGATTAGCGGAAGCAATGGTTCCGTAGTGGATGGTCGGATTGTCCTCGCGGTCCTCTGCTTTGCAACGCTGAACAACGCCGCTTCCGCACTGTTCTCCGCAGTCGTTTTGATCATTGATTGGATGCGCGTTGTTTGCTTCGTAAAGACGATCGGTTTCCGGACTTGGGCGACCGTACTTCTTTCTCAATCTCGGTCTCTTGTCGAGGACGGCCTGGATACGCTCATCGATCTGATGTCCGTCTTCCTCGTACAAGGTCACAACACCATTGACAGCGGATCGCAGCACCGCCGGCGGCTGGTTGAGGAATCCAGTGTGCGTGAAACGTTGGCCTTGGAGAGACTTGCCGTAGTCATACTGGTAAACACCACCTTTGCCGTCTACCGGACTGCTAACCACTACATCACCAAGTCGGATATCATGCTTTATAGTCGGCGCACCACCACCAACACCAACCATCAAGCCAACTCTGACGTTTGGAAAGCTGTTCAGCATATCTTTGGCAACGCTTGTAGCACTGGACAGTCCGTATTCCCCATTTGGCAACACTGCGATCACAACATTGTGGCCAGCCATCTTGCCGAGAGTGTATTGAGTACCATCGTTTGCGGCAATACAGCAATTGGACCGATCATGTACCTCGTCCAGAAATTGACGTGCTGCGACATACTCCGTGGCAATAGCGCAGACCCAGCCTACAGTATAGAGCCCTGGGTGCGTCATGCTCTTGGCCATAAGAACATTTGGCATAGGCGTATCTTGAACGATTGAAGATGGATGGATGTCAACTCAAGGAGAGCTCATATTTGCGTGGGAGCGCTCGCCTTATCACGCATGTCTGATACTCATCTGCAGTCCTCAGCCGCAATAAGTCAGGCTATTTCCACCTGCAGAAATCAGGATCATGGCTTGCAGGACGTTCCCCACATGCTTCAGCCTCATTGTCTCGCATGCCGACGAATAGAGAGCCTCCGCTTGCCGCTCTGTAGAGCTAGAATCTGCTGATGCGTGTAGGACATGTAGGTTGGTTTGTGTTTTTACAAGAGGTCCAGGAAGTCACGCCATCACCGCACCCGCAATTTCTGCCGCTGTTTTGCCGCAAATTACCTCGACGACTCTTGGCGGTCCGGTCACGTATTCTTTGTCAACTCGACCAGGTGTCGGAGCATCATGAAAACATGGCTGAGACACAAGAACTACCATCCTACTTCCAGCTCGGTATTGCTAGTTGATGTTTCTTCAATGCGTCGCGAGTGAATCTGGTGTCCCACGCTCAAGCGTCCTTTACGCGATGAAGAGGAGCTTCAACGCGTGGCGCAGTATAGAAACAGAGGTGAATCTGGGCAACCGAGCTCTTTCGACTACATCGAACAAGAATGTTAACATTGTGAAACGATCCCTGGCCACGACTTTGTTGGACGCATAATCAGGATCACCATCACCCTTGCAGAACAGCTGCTCGTAGGATCTGTAATACAGACTGACTGATTGCTAATCAGCAAGCTTGTCATAAAGATCGTCATGATTTCGCGCTGAAACATGCACAAATAGACCAAAGGACCATCTCTCAATTTTCCTTCTTGCAACGAGATAGACATAACTCGTAGGAGCAACCATCCATCATGAAAATCTTCCTGTGCGTAGACTACTATACAGTGTCTAAGAATTGCGACTCACTATATTTCTAGGCTTGGAGCCACAGGCTACATTGGTGGCGATCTTTTGTACTTGCTCAACAAGACTCACCCCGAGTATGAGATTACTGTTCTTGTCCGCGATCAAGATAAAGCAGCGATCATCGCGGCTGAGTAACCTAGAGTCAAGATTGCGCTCGGTGATAACAACAGTGCCGATGTCATTGCAGAAGAGGTAGCGAAAGCGGACTTGATATATCGTGAGTCTTTCTCACTGTTTACTCGGACATGCAACCGCTGATTGTACAGACGCTGCAAATTCTGCCGATGATGTTTCATCTGTGCAATCTATCAGCCGTGCCTTACGCAAATTTTCTACCGATACATCAATTCACTACATCCACACCTCCGGCACCGGTCTCCTGACCCACGACGCGGGGGACCCTCCCAACCACGCCACGGCAAGATCTATAACGACATCACCGACATCGACGACATAACCTCCTTCCCCTCAGCAGCAGATCACAGAAACGTAGATGAAATAGTCCTCGACCTCGCAAACGCAGAATCAGAGCGCATCAAAACCGCCATCGTATGTCCTGCAGTAATCTACGGCACAGGAAGAGGGCCGGTTAAGACAACAAGTCTGGCTATCCCTTTTATAGCCGCGGATGTGCTGAACAGGGGGACTGGGATCGCGCCCGAAGGGGAGTGGGTTTGGGGAAACGTGCATGTGGAGGATATGTCCCGCCTGACCCTCTCGCTAATCGAAATCGCCGCTACCACCAACACCGCCTCCAACACCGCACTATGGGGCAAGGACGCATACTACTTTGTCGAGGCGAGTGAAAGCGATTGGGCGGACATCATACGTCAAGTCGTCCGCGAAGCCCATGAAGCTGGGTTGGTGCAGAGTGAGGAAGTCAAGTATCTGAACAACGCAAATGCCGTGGAGCAGGGTGGACCGGTATATGCGTATTTTTTCACTAATTCAAGGAGCAGAGGAAGCAGAGCGAGAGAATTGCTTGACTGGGAACCTGTGCAGGTTGGTATTGAGGGTACCATCAGGGAGGCGGTGATGGCAGAAGCGTCCAAGCTTGGGATGCTCTAGGGATTTTCAGCCTCATCTCCTAGGCATATGAGTAAAACTCCAGTTCACCCATTGTCCCATCATCGTTCCTCCCTGATAATTGGTAATGAACTCATCACCTCGACCATCCCATGTGCATATGAGAGGACCTCCAAAGCTCTACTGGGGGCTCCAAAGCGTTCTTCGGGTGATGCTGCAGCGCGGCACTGGTACTGCAGCTCGCAAGACTGTCAAATCGCACAATGGGCGCTGCGGAGGTGAGTGAAGTTATCGAGTGGAAAGATTATTGAGTGGCGCGGGAATGACGCGACACTGGATGATTTAACACGTGATAAGATCTGTCTATCTGGCTGTGTGAGTGACCCTGATCTTGAATTCACGTTGATCTGGGCAACCATGAGAGGTGTTAATGCTGTTGTCGTAGGGTGTTCTTGATTTGACATACATCTCGAGTAATATTAGACGTTATCAGATGCGATGTAACTAAGCCTGGATGTGGCAATGGTGCACGCGTAGAAATATGTTCCAATCAACACATGATGATCAATGCGCAGGGTTCGTGTCGGTCAGGTTTTGGTCAACATATCTTGCAAAATCTAGAACGAGATATGAGGCATCAATTTATGTTGCAATGCTGTACAGATAGTGTGTACCTTATGCTGAGGAGACTCTCAAATCATCTTTGTGTGTGATTGCCATGCCCGTCATGAGATTTAGCAGGCGCACACTGACATCCGGCTTGGCAGGCTAGAAACAATCCTTCGCCGAAGCCCTGTCCCTTGCCAGTCGTCTTTGATTCAGGCCAGGACACTACACTCATGAGACACCCTGAGAGGTTGATTCATATGAGCAGCATGAAGAGCGTTTGCAGCATGCTTCATTGCGACGGGGCCTCTCAGTCAGATTGGATTGCCAGATGGTCTCTCGAAGCTCTTGCTGTCCTTAGCTTTTGACCGAGCCACCGACCAACAACACTTTCAGATCATCTGTCGCCCTTGACACGGACCGAGGACCCAGACGGTGCAGCTGGTTCGAGTCAGACGTATCCACATCTTGACCTCGTACTCGGTCGAGTAGAATTCTTCTTAAGTCGCGGATAACCCTCATTCCAAAGCTCTACTTCTTTGACTCTTCTACACAAATTAAGCTAACTGCGACATTTCGAGGACAGACCAGCATATTGACCTGGTAAAGTCCGAGGAGCTTCTTAATCATTGGCACCTGGCGATTACACATTTCAAAAATCAATCTTTTGTCGAAAAGGCTTCCAAACATGAAGTCAATTATTGCCTGGATTGTAGCATCGATTACTGCCCAATGGGGCGGAGAAGATTGCGCAGTATCAACAGGAGCCTTTGGAAAATTCGCCTATAAATACTATGCAGTTGGATCTTCCAGCGATCCCTGTGCGACATCTTCTCAGCTTGGACGTATTGAAGAATCCCTCTATCACTCGATTCAGAAACTGGACCTCGACACATTACCTGACTCCACATGCATGCCTGTTGATTTTGATGGCCAGTGGAACAATGGCGCATGGAAGGGCTATCTGCTCTATGGTCCACTGGGCAAGGTGCAACTGGACGAGTACTGCGGGCCATCGCTCAAGCCCGAGCTCAAGCTTACGTCGACCAACTCGATCAAAGAACTTTAGGACATGACTTTGAACCTCGAAAAAGACCTTGAGCGTCGCGTCTATTGAGGCTCTACATTGCTACAATGGCCGAGTACCGATGAGTCATATAAGTCTTCGTCGGAGAGGCTGAGGTCGCAAATCTGCCAATATTTGAGCTTTGGTGAGTAGATCGTGTTCGCTTGACCAATATTGGTTATTCTTCCGAGATAGGACAATGCAGTGGATTGACTTGTATTAAGCATAGGCGACCTTAAATTCTTCTATTATATAAGCCAGCATATCAATCTCACAGACAACTGCACAACGTCGCATCGTCAAAATCGTTCTTTGCGTCTTCTTTCTATGCTCCGACAGCTCTACACAGGTACAAAGTTCACGCTATTTGGAGGCTCTACTTAACCGTTGTTAGACCATACCAAGACTGACCGTTTTTGACGTCAGCTCCCGTCCCCGCTCCCCGCTCCTCCGCGGCTCTGCCATACAAGAGCTTGGTTGCGTTCACTCCGAACCTTCGGTGGTCCCGCTCTGTGATGTTATTCCAAATCTAAGTCGAGTGTTGTCCGGTCTTACATAAGTCTGGTCTCCCAGCTTCCCGTTTGTCTCTCTTCCACTCAATTGTCACAATGCCTCCAATACCCTACCGCACCTATGTTAGAGATCATCCGGGCTCTTCCAAGGAAGAAATTGAGAATGAGCCTGACTGGAGTACTGCCAGGCACCATATCGGCTACCGAGATCGTCATGATCGCGTTCCTGGACTTGTGCACAGCGGTGATGATTCAGACAGCGAGGACAGCCAGGAATCTTTCCTCAAGGAAGCTCAGGAGGAATCCAATGAGCTCAAGCACGAGCTGCAGACGCATCAGTTGATCAACTTTCGCGAAGCCAAAGAAAAGCAAGAAGTGTGTACTCTCGTGGTGTGAGTATATATCAGAAGATCATGCATACTAAACACCATGTAACAGGATTACTACCTAGAAAAACCTCAAGCACATCCCAATGGCTGGCGCTACCGCCTCAACGAATCCGAGGACTTCATTAAGAACCAACAACCATGGCCTGCTAACCTGAAGCGTCAGAAGCAAAAGGAAGAGAAGGAGAAGGGGGAAAAAGAGAAAACAGAGCAAGAAGAGAAGCAAGAGCAAGAACACGAATGGAAAGACGGTGATCTCAACCGCCGGAGACACAATGACGCATATGCTTCAAGTGGCGGGCAAGACCAGCCTGATGATTCCGACCAGAAAGAAAACAAGTCAGACGAGAAGAACAAGAGAGATTCACAACAGGTGTCTCGGAGAGATGGACAAGCAGATATCAAAGGAGACAAAAAGCCAAAATCAGAGTACGAGAAACTCCGAGAAAAGTATAGCGTTCAGGAGATTGCTTTGTTGAGAAGTCTGCAACAGGAGAAGAAGAACGTCGAGAGTATCAAGCAAAGCGATGGCAAAATGAAGTCACCTTGGGCAGATCTCAAACCTACGGACGTTATTGACGACGCCGACCGTGCGAGTCCGGACAATTGGATTCCTCGAAACTCGAACATGATACGTCTGACTGGCAAGCATCCTTTGAACTGCGAGTATCCTCTCGCAAGTTTGTTTGAGACCGGCTTGATTACTCCAAATCGTCTTCACTATGTGAGGAACCATGGTCCGGTAAGTCACCTTGATTCGTGACTCTTGAGGACTACATCACTCATTTCAATGACCTTGCATATGGTCGCCATGATACTGATACTCATGCTGATCATATTCGAAAACCTAGGTACCGCACCTACTTTGGGAGACTCATAAGCTGGACATTGAGAACGGAAAATGCACATTCACCATGGACGACATTGCCTCGAAGTTTGGAAGCATCAATATCGCAGTCGCTCTGGCTTGCGACGGCAACAGACGTAAAGAGCTCAACATGGTCAAACGCTCCAAAGGCTTCAACTGGGGCGCCGGTGCTATCAGCAATGCATTCTGGAAAGGTGCTCTTCTAGCCGATGTCCTGCGAGCCGCTGGAGTCGACTACCCCACCAATGGCTCTGGACAAAGGAGATGGGTCAATTTTGCAGGGGCTGATCAGCCTTCTGAGGGCACTTATGAGACTTGCATCCCTTACGAATATGCTATGGATCCTGTTAATGATGTTCTGCTTGCTTATGAGATGAATGATGTCAAGTTGCCTCCTGATCATGGGTATCCTCTGCGAGTCATCATTCCTGGATATGTCGGTGGCAGACAAGTCAAATGGTTGAGCAAGATTTGGATCAGCGAGAAGGAGAATGACAGTCATTATCACATCTGGGACAACCGAGTTTTGGTAAGACGAGTGCTTGTGATTGGCGTTCACTCGTTTCGTGCTGACATACTATCTACAGCCCTCCTTCGTTACAGAGAAAGATGGAGAGTTTGCCGAGACGCTCTTCCGTCACCCAGATACAGCATGCAATGAGCAGAACCTCAACTCGGTCATCGCCAAGCCGGCTCATGGCGAGCGCATCGAGCTCTCCGACGTCAAGAAAGGCCACACATATCGTATTGCAGGGTATGCTTACGATGGCGGTGGTCACGAAGTACAGAGAGTGGAAGTCAGCCTTGACAACGGCGAGACGTGGCTGTACTGTATCAGACAGTTTCCGGAAGCGCCTGTCAGGCATGGACACAAGTACTGGACGTGGATACACTGGTATATCGATGTTGAGCTTGGTCATCTGCTCCGAGCCCCGAGCATTACCGTGCGATGCTTTAATGTCTTCAAGAATACTCAGCCCGAGGTAATTGGATCCACATTGTTGATCAGTTTGGACAAATTAATTGATGTACTCTCTATAGGTCGGTTCGTGGAACGTCATGGGCATGATGAACAACGGTTGGTACAAGGTAAAGCCCGAGATTGCTCAAGGCGACAACAACGCCTTGGAAGTGCTCTTCCGCCATCCTGTAGAGCCGGGAACCAATACTGGAGGTTGGGTGCAGCCAAGTGCCGACGAGAAAATCGCCAGCGCAAAGCAAAGTTCAAGCACACCTCAGAAACAATTCACCAGAGAGGAAATCGAAAAGCACGACAAGGAAGATGACTGCTGGATCGTGGTTGACGGTAACGTATATGACGCCACTTCAGTGCTGGACTGGCATCCGGGTGGTAAAGCTACCATCACGAACCATGCTGGTAAACTCAGTCAAGAGACGTCGGAGAGTTTTGAGTCCATTCATGATGGTTATGCATACAAGAAGCTCGCAGGTCAGCAATGAGTCGAAAGTGAACGTGTTTGATCGTCACTAACAGATCTCGCAGAGTGCATTCTCGGAACCGTGACCGACAAGGCCAAAGCACACATGAAAAAGGAAGCAGAAGATGCCGCGAAAGCCAAGGCGGAAGCTTCCAACAAAAAGACCGACTTTGTCCTTTCGATGCAGCAGTGAGTGAACTGTTGCGCCTTCCAAAGCTGCACCATGACTGATATAATCGATCAGATGGTACCCCGTAACTCTACTCAAAAAGAAGAATCTATCCGAGGACACCCGCTGCTACACCTTCAGTCTAGGCGACAAGACCAAAAAGCTCGGCCTCGGGACCTGTCAACATCTCCAAATCGGCTTCCACATGGCGGACAAAATGCTCGTGCGCTCCTACACACCCACCCAACCCATCATCGGCGCAGACACCGAAGACGGCACCTTCGACCTCGTCATCAAGACCTACTTCCCCACCGACCAACAACCCGGCGGCGCCCTCTCCAACATCCTAGACTGCATGGAAGAAGGCGAAGAAGTCGAGATCCGCGGTCCCACCGGCGACATCAAATATATCGGCGACGGCAAATTCCAAATCTTCGACCAAGAAGAGCGATTTGAGAATATCACTTTGATCCTCGGTGGTTCGGGTATCACTCCTGGATATCAACTCATTGCAAGAGTCCTGGCTACTGCGAGTGACAAGACAAAGATCAAAGTCATCGATGCGAACAAAGATGAGAAATCAATCTTGTTGCGCGAGGATCTTGATAAATTTGCCCAAGAGCATGAGGATAAGTTTGAGATTTGCCATATACTCAGTCATCCTTCAGACGACTGGAAGGGTGAGAAAGGGCATGTTGATGAAGACAAGATCAAGCAGTTTGGATATGCGCCTGAGAAGGAGAGTGGGAAGAAGAATGCGGTATTTTTGTGTGGACCTCCTGCTATGATCCAGAAGGCAGCGATGCCTGCCTTGAGAAATTGGGTAAGTGAATTGGTTTCCCATTCAGTAATGAAAATATGTGCTAACATCTACCAGGGTTACGAGGAGGGTAAAGATATGTTTGGGTTCTAGTTTGTTCTACTCATGCATCGTATTGTTCCGACAAATTATCCTGGATATACGTTCAGGTCAAACTCACATTATCATAGTTGAATGTTCTTCGTTGCCAGTTGTAGATCATCACCGAGATCTCACACATGTTCGCCGCACCGATGCCAGTCTACCGACACAAGACGAATGGTGTGGTTGACTTGAGTCCACGCTCCAAGTGACATTGCGAATTCATGACTTTCTCGTTTGCAGAGGCTGAAGACGGCGGATCATTGCCTAATTACCACTGTCCTTACCATGCCAACTAATCTGCTTGGTAGAGTAATACTCATCAAGACCCCACGAAGCATTCTGTCGACCCCAACCACTGCCTTTCATACCTCCTTGTGGCGCAGTAGCTGTAAGTCACGCTGTCAGCCACGGTCATTCTGTACAATGGGACAAGAACTTACGACTGATATAGACGGTGGAGCAATTGGTATGTACCTGGCCATACTCCAATTCTCTACCCATCTTGATGGCACGCTCCAAGTTTTGTGTGTGAATGGCGGCATTGAGACCGTAGGCACTACGATTGGCAAGTTGGATAGCTTGCTTATCATCCTCTACGATGTAGACACTGACGCTGGGGCCGAATGTTTCTTCGTCAACGATGCGAAGGTGCTCCGGTGATGTCTTTGGGTCCACGAGCACGATTGTGGGGTGGATGGAACACTTTCCGTCATCTCCACCATCTCCGTAAAGGAACTTTGCTCCTTTGTCTTTCGCGTCCTTGAGAATGTCAATGGCGTTTTGTGCAATGGATTTCGAGACTGCCATTCCGCCGGGTGTGCTTTTGAACTGCTCGATGAGAAGGTCGTTGAATCTGTCCGCTATACTGCGCTGCACAATGATGCGTTCGGTGCTGAAACAGATCTGTCCATGATGTGCGAGAGCACCTTTGGCGCATAGGGAAGCGGCTTGTTCCAAATTTGCATCATCTAGCACGATCGCTGGGCACTTTCCCCCCAGTTCGAGGAGTGTAGGTTTGAGGTGTTTCGCTGCTGTTGCGCCGATGATACGGCCGACTGCTGCACTTCCAATGAACTCAATCTTGCGAATGTGGTCATTGGCGATCATGCTCTCGGTCACAGCAGCGGCATCTTCTCGCGAGGCTTGTACAGTGTTGAGGACTCCTGGTGGACAGCCTGCTTTCCGGAAGATGTCTGCAATGATGGAATGGGTCAAAGGCGATAGCTCAGATGCCTTGAGGACTGCTGTACAACCAGAGACAATTGCAGCACTGATAGCACGAGTAGACAAAACCACAGCGGCGTTCCAAGGAGGAATGATCAGAAAAGGTCCAATGGGTTCTCTGAAGACAAATGTCATGGTGTCCGGCTTATCAGTCGGCGGTATGACACCCTTAACGCTGCTCACACACGCTGCAAATTCCTTGATGTAATTGGTCGATGCCAGAACGTTGAATTTGGCCCAGGATTCTTGACAGGACGTCTCCTTCATTTGAGCTTGAACAAGGTCATCGAGGCGTTCCTCGTAGAGCTGTGCGACTCTGAGTAGAAGATCACGACGTCGGGCCACGGGGGACTTTCTCCAGTCCTGAAAGGCCTTCCACGCGGCTTCGCAAGCTCGATCGCAAGTAGCTACATCTGCACCCGCATAGTAGTGAACGACTTCCCCGGAGGCGGCATTGGTGACTGGAAACACGCGGTCGCTGTTGATTGGCTCCTCGTTGTTATCAACCACAATTGGGACGACCTGACGACCTTGGTCGTCCTGTTTCAGAGGCATGCTGATAGGTAAATGAAGTTGGCTTATGGCAGGAGAAGGTGATTTTAGCTGATGAAGGCGACAGAGCACAACTGGTCCGAAAGCAAGATCCCAAAGTAGCGCAATACTGATTTGGAACCGGGAAAGAGCTGGTCAAAATTAGTGATATACGGTCTGTTATATCGCTGAAGCTCACATGTTACGTCAATCAAGATCTACGTCCAAAGACCCGACCAGCCGTGCAACTGCCGGAAATGGTTCGCGGACTTAGGATTTAGTGGGGTCATGACGCAAAAGTATCACCCAGACCGCATCCCCTCTTCGTTCACAGCATCAGTATGCAAAAGATTAAGCGTTGCGAATGAGCATGCTTTACATCGAAGGTTACGATGACATGCGTTATGCGTTTGTTGATCCATATACAACGAAAATCCCAACTCTGACCTCGCAACTTTCGCTTCAATCCACCACCATCGAACCCGCCACTTTCCTGCGATTATGCCTCGAACAGCTCGAGCACTGGTGATTAGAAGGCTCGGAGAGCCTTTTAAATTGGAAACCATTCATCTCGATGATATAAGAGATGATGAGGCTCTGGTCGAGATCTTTGCCTCAGGAATCTGTCGCACCGATTTGCACTGCGCGGCTGGCCACCGTCCAGTCAGCGTACCCGCCGTCTTTGGACATGAAGGTGCGGTTCTAACGCCGAGATGATGGCCATTTGAGATGTTGACTTGCTTTCAGGCGCGGGAACTGTTCTGGAAGTAGGAAAAAGCATCACAGCCGTCAAGCCTAAGGATAAAGTCCTTCTCAGCTACTCCACGTGCGGAAGCTGCGATCAATGCACTTCTGGACACCGAGCTTACTGCTCCAAAATACTTCCGCTCAACTTCGGCGGTAAGAGGTCAGATGGGTCCAGTGCTCTGTCACTTCCGGACGGACCTCTATTCAGCAATTTCTTCGGCCAGAGTTCCTTTTCGAATTTCGCCGTCGTGAATAAAGCCAGTCTGGTCAAAGTGCCCAACGATACACCCTTAGATCTGTTTGCATCTCTAGGTTGTGGTTTGCAAACCGGAACCGGAGCCATCTTCAACACGCTCAATGTCCAAGCGGAGAATACCGTCGCAGTCTTCGGCGTAGGGTCCCTCGGCCTGAGCGCCATCATGGCTTGCAAAATCCGTCAAGCGAAAGAGATCATCGCAATCGACATCCATCCTTCACGCCTAGAACTAGCAAAAGAGCTCGGAGCTACAGCTATGGTCAACAGCTCCGAGGGCGATGTGATGGAGAAGATCAAAACCATCTGCGGGACCACTGGACTCAACAAGGCACTCGATTGCTCAGGTGTGCCCGAGATCATCGAGACAATGGTAGATTCCCTCGGAACCAGAGGTAGGGCTTGCTCGGTAGGATCCAACAGACCCGGCACTCGAGTCAGCATAGATGTGCACAAACTTTTCGTCATGGGGAAGGAATATGTTGGTTGTCATCAAGGTGAATCTGATCCGCACGAGGTAAGATATTGTTCTTTTGCGTCTTCTGTCACCGAATCTAACCTTTCGCATAGATGGCTCCATTCCTCATTGATCAGTATAGACGTGGGAGATTTCCTGTGGAAAAGATCACGACTTGCTACAGAGTCGACGATTATGAGCGCGCCTTCGAAGATATCGAGTCAGGAAAGACTGTGAAGGGTGTCTTACTCTGGTGAGGTTGATCGGCTGACTTTTTGGACAAGAAACCTGCCTGTTCTACTTGTTTGTGGGATTGGGGAGATTACGATTTAAGTTTAGCCGCTCTTTGAAAGAAGACATGCACAATCATTACATTAGACGTCACGATGTCGGAGTTGATGCTAAGGTTCATTCGGGGGCATTTCTTTGCAAGATTGGGGCATGTTGGAATCTTTACGATTTGATCAATTGCATCTACGCAACGCCGCTGTCTTTTTTGACACTTTCCCATGTTGCTCCTTCCTTCTCTATCTTCTCCACCACGTCAACAGCATATCTCAAATTCTGCGATCCAGCCAATGCTCTGACAATGACAGTCTCGTTTCTTTCCGAGACCAGTCTGCCCATCGCGCTCGCGATGAATGCGCCGAAGTGGTCAAGTGGCCATGATTGAGATAACAGAGGCAAGACTTCAGCGACATCGAACCAACTTCCGAAGCGTTCAAGTAGCTCTGCTACACGTTCTAATCGCTGCTCCTTATCATCTAGATTGAGATAGCAGTGAAGCAGATGCGAGAACAACACTTCCTGCTCTTCTTTCGATGGTGTCGCGATAGGGGCGGAAGAAGCAGAGGCTGGGTGGAAGATGCTGCTGCCGCCGAGAAGGCAATAACGGACAGCGGTGTCGAAGTCCGCTAAGCCGTGTACGAGCAACTTGAGTGCTTTTTGATGTTCATCTCTGCGAGCGGCGAGGACAATCATTTCGGGGACGAGGACCGAGGAGTAGAGGTCTAGTCTGTTGCTTAGAGCTTCTACATCGTATACTGAAGAACCGCCGATGAGTTGGAGCAGTCGCAGACGATTCTGCCACCATGTGTCTGGGAGGCTGTTGTCGAGGATGAATTGACTGTATGTAGGTTTCGGCGGGAGGAGAGCACGATATGTGTGGTAGGATGTGAGGAGGATATCCTTTGCCGAGGTGGACTCCGTATCGATTGCTTCGGTGACTGTATCGAGGTAGAAGTAGATGAGGTCATTGGCGTATTGGTTTTGGTTTTTACCAAAGACGAGGTGCTCGAGGTAATCTTTGACAGCAGCAGGTGCACGCTCTTTGAGCAGTTCAACAGCTTCGGTAGGCGTGAATTTGACTCTGGCATTCTCGTCTGCGAAGATCTGGACTCCGAGAGAAGGATTGCGGTTGGCGAGCCAGGTACCGTAATCCTTGACAAGCTCGACATCTTTAATCCTTGTAACATATCTGCGTACGTCAAGTTCGCCGTCAATCAGCTCGCCTCCAACATCTTCGGAGGATTCGAGGATACGTCGCCAGGTTGACAGGACTTGACCGACCATTCTGCGGCTTTGGTAGAGTCTGCTGAGCACGTAGAGACGTTTGTGTTGTTCAAGCAATTCGACTGCACGATCAAAGCATTCGACGCCCTGGTCAACGACATCGTTAAGTTCAGCGCGAAGGGATCCTGCAGCTGCTGGACCAGGGAAAGTGTTGCTATCAAGCATCAAGAGTAGAGATAGTAATGCAGCATCCACTGTATGGAAAACCTGTTTCTCATCTGCGATACTGCCAAAGCCCTTTTTCCTCCGCCACGAGAACAGGTAGTGCTTGATGACCTGGAGTAAGTTATCTCCATAAGGTCCTTGAGGGTCTTGGTTGATGGAATCCGCATGATATTGTGCTTTGAATTTAACAACAGCATCTTTTAGACCTCCTGGGATCCAGAGACCTTGTGTGCCTTCAATCACCTCATTCGACAAGACAGGGATGATGGACAAGATAATTCTAGGATCAATCTCACCCTCGACAAGAGCGTCATGAGTTGATCGTTTGTCATGCTCGAAAGCAATGACCCCTTCATTCGTCTTGAGAATGAGGTCAATCAACAGCAGCAAAGAGGCTTGTTGACGGATGTAATTGAAGCCAAGAAATTCAAACTCATTCGTGGCTTCTCTGCCGCGTATTGAATTGATGACAGCTTGTACTTGAGTTCGCTGGACAGTGAAAGAGTTGGCCGAGGTATTGACAGCAGCACTCAATCGAGCTTCAAGCTGGACGACCAGTGGATTTCTGACCATCCACCAGATAGCATCACTTGAGAAAAGCAAGACCTTGCTTTGTACATTTGAGAAGCGGTCAATTAGTTTATCTTCGTCGTTGTTGCGCTTGACATCAGATTCAGTCTCTTCCGTACTGGGCTGGTGGAGGTATAGGCGCCTCAAGCTAAGGGCTTTGCCTACCGAGGGTAAACTCAGATTTGTGGCGGTGGTAGCCTCTCGCAAAGCCATGTGAGTCTTCGATGTATCGGGGTCGGGAAGATTGACATAATCTTTGTGGTATTGGTTGTCGGACGGGTCAACGTCCCAGCGTTGGTACTCGACAAGCTTTTCGACGATACCGTTCTTCTCACGACGTACAACAGCCAAGACATAACCCTCTTGAGACATGTCTCCAGGCATAGATGGCAACGAAGGATCAGACGCTTGACCGTCAACTACGATTGACTCGGGATAGCTCTCGAATCGAATAGTGCCTCTCACGACATCACCGTCTAAGTTGACAAACATGCCTACAGCAGGATCATCTGGGGAGGTTCCGGTAGTGAGGAGGAATTCGTTCGGTGTGGGAGTAGAGATGTGGGGCTTCAATGAAGCGGTGGCTCGTGGTGGAGGAGGCGGAGGTTGTTCGAATTGAGGCGTAGGAGGTAGTACTTTGCCATCGGTGTCCAGAGACGGGCTCGCGAGAGGTCTTGTAGGACTGGGAGAAAGAGCTTGACGAGAAGCTGCACGATGAGGCCACGGCGAAGGCGTGTCGTTGGGATGCAGACGGTCAGGAGTCTGACGGCCTGGAGTTTGTGGAGCACCTCCCACGCTGGCAATCCTGTCTTGATTACGCAGATCAGGCCTACGGATTGGACTAGTAGCGGAAACGCTCCTTGATGCCGGCCGTTGAATCGGAGGAGGAGCAACATCTGGACTTGAGCGACCTGATGGCAGGTCGGGTGAAGAAGAAATGGGAAAGAGGTCGATCTTGCGCTGGTTGACAATATCAAGCAAAGCATAAGAGGAGCCATCAGCGACGCAGGCTAGATCGGCTCTCCGTTGTATGTCCAGACAGTTGCCCAGGTCAATGTCCCTGATCTTGCGAGGAGAGCCCTGCTCCATGATACGAATGACACGCAACTTCTGCCTCAAGCAAATGACAATGATACAGCCATCGGACGGGTCCAGCTCTTGGCCATCCAGATCGCGATCAAGGCCACCAACCCATGTACAATCGCTCTGCTTGATCTTTCCTCCAAAAGCCGGACTGAGCTCGGGGAGTGTGTAGAAGGTCAGAGTACCATGGCACAAGACACATGCTTTTCCAACAGAAGGTAATAATAATATCTGTTCAACGACGGGTAATGCATCATTATGTTTGTTCGAGTGTTCGGGCTGCAGACGGGAAGCGAGGATGTAGGTCGGTTGGTCCGAGTCGGGAGATGGGATCGAGACGAAATGCAGTATCTCTCCAGCGGATGTGCCGATATACAGATTGCCGTCTGGCAGGAAGTCAGGAATGGCACTCGAACAGGAAGTCGCGACTCACCCCAGGCATCCACGCAGGTTATGTAGACATTGTGTTCGTCTTCTCCGTCGGGCGAGAGTGGGGCATTGCGCATCAAGTCGCGCAATACATAAGCGCCATCATTAGCTGCGGCTTCCATGCTTCTTCATGGCGCGATTGCCCTTAGAATAACATATTGCCTTTGGAAACTAAGGTGGTCGCGGAAGGAGCGGCGTCACTCTCACATGCCAAAACGCCAAGACGCGTCTCCACGTAACACCTGGCGACTCGACGAAGACTCCAAACATAATTGCTATGCAATAAGCTTTGACTTCTTTCCTTGCAGACTTGTCGGGTGCCTTGTATGCGTTGAGGACATACGAACATGGCAACCGAAGCAGTCGAGCCGCAGGTCGCTGGTGGCGCTACCAATGACCAGGACAAGGGGAACAAGTTTCAGCAAGCCATAGCTTCATGGCGGAGTGCGTTCATCTTTCTTCCTTGACCAGAGTCTTGTATCGTCTACTGATGCATCATAGATGTCGACCTCAGCTCCCTCATATCCACTCTCGACACGGCCGCCTCAGACCTTGTCACCCACCAACGCGACACTCTCGTACAGCGCAAGGAGCTGGCCCAAAAGACCAAAGACTTTCGCAAACTCGAAGATGCCGCTAAACTGGGCGAGATCAAGGCCCTGCTCAAGTCTTACCAATCCTTCATCGACCTGATCTCCAACCAGTCAAAGTCGACTCAGTCAGCCTTCCTCCAAATCTACTCGCCGCTGTCTGAAGCCCCCGATCCGTATCCCCTGCTCGAAGCCTCGATAGACTCGTTCGTCACGGCTCAAGAAGTCGTCCCGAAACTAGAGTCTGAGAACAAGCACTTGCAAGCAACCGTCGCAAACTTGACGTCGCAACTCGAAGAAGCCGAATCACAACTTGAACAGGAGCGTTCGTCGAGACAATCCTCACAGTCAAGTCAAGACACCAAGATCAAGGAGATCGAGGCTTCATGGAATGCCGTCTTGAAAGAGAAGCAGGACAACTGGGATGCCCGTGAGAAGAGCTTGGAAGGGAAGGTTGAGAACCAAGATCGTCTATTGAAGGAGCTCAAGGCCAGCTATGAGGTCTCGCAGCGCATGGACAAAGCAGAGGACGACAGTTCCAACACTCTCGGCGCATCGCAACAAGAGCTGGATCTCGTCAACCAAGAGCTGGAAAAGGCAAACCTGAGACTCTCAGAGCTGCAAGGACGCAACGAACAACTCCGCCTTGACCTCGCTCAGTCCACCGCAAACCAAAGCTCGTCTCAGACTGCTGTCTCGGTCGAAGATGACCCATCCTTCCTCCGTCTACGCTCCGAAAATTCTCAACTCCTCCGCAAGCTCGATTCTCAGCGCTACGAAAAGGACTCGGAGAAGAGCAAATGGGACTCAAGCATCAGATCATTGGAGCGGGAGCTGGACTCTCTGAAACAGGATCGTGAAAGCCTCAAGCGCAAGCTGGACAAGTGCAGCGACTATGACGAGGTCAAGCAAGAGTTGGATATGCTCAAGGTATGCTCATTTCTCAATCACAACGTACAAGTCAGTACTAACAGACATAGTCAATCGAGTTTGCGACAGGCGACGCCGACGATTCAGATCATGAGGCAGACACAACTGTTGGTGCCGAGAAGGGCGAGTCTTTGGAAAAGTTGCTCCTCGCCCGAAACAAGAAGCTCTCCAACGAGCTCACCATTCTCCGAGTATCGCACAACGATCTCCAGTCCCGTCTCGAGTCGTTGCAAGAAGAACTCTCGGGCACAAACATGGAGCTGGAGAAATCGCGCAATCTCACACAGACGCTCGAGGAGGATTTGTTGCAAGCCCAGAATGAGGCCAGCAATGCCTTTGACCCCTCGGCCATGTCAGTGGCAGGCACATACACCTCGCGCTACCCAAAGTCCTCTTACGCTGCCTCGATGCGCCGAGGAGGCAACACCTCGCCCACCTCTTCCATCATCTCTGGCTTCGATACTGGCATTTCATCCCCAAGGGGTCTGGACTCACTTCGTCCGGAAGCTCCTAATGCTGGCATCCTGCCAATGGTCACTGCTCAACGCGATCGCTTCAAGACAAAGATTCGTGAGTTGGAGACGAATCTCCAAGACCAGTACACACTGGTGTCTTCCTTGCGCTCCGAGATTGCAAGCTTGCAAAAGGACAATCTGAGCCTGTACGAGAAGAGCCGATATGTCAATAGCTACAACACAAAGGGTGGTGCGACTTCTGGTTACTCGAACACAAATCCGAGCACCATCACTATCGATCGCAGTAATCCAGGTACTGATGCTCGCTACAAGTCAGCATATGAGAGCTCAATCTCTCCATTCGCTGCTTTCAGAAGCAAAGAAAGCAGTCGTGCCTTCCAACGACTGTCATTACCAGAAAGAGCAGTACTTCAGGCGTCGAGACTGGTTCTGGCAACGAGGACAAGCAGAAATCTCTTTGCCATCTGGGTTGTAGGCTTGCATCTGTTGGTCTTCGTCATGTTGTTCTGGATGGGCGGAGGTAGCGACACACCACATCTAGCCCATACGGTTGCCGCCGGCAACGCCGCCATAGCAGGAGCAAAAGTAGCCGCTGCCGGACAAGGAGGTCCAGGGACGAAATGGGAACAACCTGGCTTCGGCGATACGTAAACAATTGGAATTCAAAAAAGATACATGTCTACCTTTTCAGGTGTTCCTCAACAGCCACAACACCAGTCAAGCCTCCCCAAGCTTTCCGAGGGCTTTATGGGCGTTTGCAAAGCATTCCAACATCCAGCCATGGGTGACATTCGATGTTCATCGGCTTTGGCAATGTCCGCGGGCTTTGAGCAAAAGTCAACGCATGGATTTCTCAAATCCGAAGACTACTCCTCACATGATGCGACGCCCAGTCTTTCAGCCAAACCACGCGTTCGTCTTTTCTTGTCATGTTCACAAAACACACTTTCAGAGGCGTCGGAAACAAGACATTTCAAGAGTGACCAAGACGAAACGGTCCAGAATGTGGACGCGGGGATACCTTACCCTATCCTCGGTTAACCTCTTCCGCCCTTCTACAAGCCTCGGCATCTTGACTAACGACTGATGCAACACCTGCCTCTTTTGTTTACGCGCGAGCCGCTTGACTTGGAAGCTAGTGGTAGCACCATGATGTCGGCCGCGGATGTTGGTATGATCCGGTGTCGCCGTCGAATGCAAGAGGGGACAGTCAATCGGGTCTTGCATTAACTGAAGCACCTTAACGACAGATGCTATACCGAGACCGAGCTGTCAAACATGCTGCTCACTGCTTCTGCATGCCGATGTATGAGTCCGATATGCAAACGTCTGTCATTGACGTGCAGATCGAGTCCAGGCTTCGGTTTCGTACCCACGTACATACAGCACAAGTCACCCCTGATGCATCCTGCAAGCCGTGTTTGACGGTTGTCGTCCCGTTTGTACGCCAGTTACTGCTAGCGCCTGTCCTCCGGGGTAATTTTATGTGGAGATCCCCCATGTGGGGGAGGGCGGATGATCCGGGGATTGGGTTCTTGATGTCTGGGGTGGCGGTCGGGGAGACTATCGACTACCAGGAAAGTCCTTCGGAAGAGGGTGTTGGGACATGTATAAGTAGGTTGAAGGATCCTCCTTGTGTTCCATTACTAAGTCCTCAAGAATTTCCTGTTCCTCCTTGTCAATCACTTTTTCTAGCCAATCATACCGCTTTTTTCAATTCACACAACCACTAGTATCTCTTCGCAGCCATGTCCACTGAAAAGATCGAACACACCATGACCAACGAGTATGCCAACAGCGGCAATGGCTCGCCATTGACTCGCCAGATGACTGTTGCACTCACCCCTGAGCAATACGAGAGATTGTTCTTCCAGCCTGAGGGTCCTAGACGTGGTGATCTGTCAAAGAGATTTGGTATGTTGATGACAGTTCAAATCATGGCTCGAGTCTTCTAACACGGTTTTAGCCAACCCAACACTCCTTGGTCTGCTCGGTTTCTTAATCCCCTACACATCCACCATCTTCACCCTCTGCGGTCTGCGAGGTGCTGTAGCGCCAACCAGTCTCATCGGTCTGAACGGTGACTATTACTTCCTGGGTGCCATTGCTATGAATCTTGCTGGCATTGCAGAGTTCATTCTCGGAAACAGTATGTCTTCTCCGTCGTCTTCAGCTCTCGAAGTCATACTAACACACGTTACAGCATTCCCTATGGCTGTCTTCATCATCTACGGCTGCCACTGGGGCAGTCTTGCCTACACTCAGGATCCTATCCACAACCAGCTCTCGGCCTTTGGCACCAACGGTGCCTTGGGAGCCGAATGGAACTCATCACAAGGATTCCACAACGTCACCATGGTTCTCGTTTCGTTCGTCTTCCTCGTCGCAACTTTCCGCGTCAACGCCTTCTTTGTCGCCACCTTCTTCGGGCTGGTCATGATGTTCTCTTTCATCGCGGCCGCCGACTTTGCCGTTCCTCACATCAAGACTGCTGCCGACCTCGAGCACGTCAGCACACTGTTGAAGATTGGAGGTGGATTCGGCTGGTTGGGTCTGATCTCGGGATGGTACCTCGCCATCTTGACTGCTTGTGCAGCTGTTGGCATTCCTTGCCCTCTTCCCGTCCTGGATCTGTCCAGCAAGGTCTTCTCCAAGGACTCTCCCAAGGAGGGCCACAAGGATGCTTAAGTGCATTAATGGTTCATGATGAAAAGACACGTGTGTCTGAGATGAGTAATCTTATGTTTCAGTTATGTTCAAAACGAATTTCTATTTCCCACCTTCTCCCCGCTCGCAAAATGACATGTGCTTCGCGTGGTCGTGTGAGACAATTGACTTCTTCCCTCGACATGAGACTTCTGTTCCATCATGAACGACACACAAAGGGATACAACAACGCGTCAGACATGTGATGAGACATGCGTACGTCTTACTCTTTATCTTCATGCTCCCTCGTCACGAAGCCAAACAATTAAAAGGGCAAAATCGCTTCACTTGGATCAACATCAACGATCTCCGTCAACAAATACATCAGGAAGTCGCAACCATGAAGCCTCTCAACAATGACAAGAGCAAGCTCACTCCGCCTGACAAGCTGAAAACACCGGCGCCGACACCCAGACGTTCATCAAATCCATCGCCTGCTTCGACTTTGAGTAAGGTGTCGCGTCGATCAAGTGCACCGCAATGTCGCTCTCCATCGTTGTCCCCTCCGGACGCGGCACGAAAGCCTTCACCACCAAGGCCAGATTGGCAGAGACCTCCGGGAAAGGCGTGCAATTCTCACTCTCCTACCCAGATTCCCGTACCCGTCAAGCCAGCTTCGGCGAGAAAGATAAATGGAAAGAGAGTAAGAATACCCAATGTTGAACTCACACCGCCTACACCATCGAATGGAAGTAGACGTTCTTCGAGCACGCCCAAGACACCGTCGCCTCTGCTGCATCAAGTCGAATGTGTGCATGTTGACTATTCGCCACCCACACCATCCGACCCGGCTAGGCGTGGCCCCTCCATGTCGATTCCTTGCTCACCAGTCGTCTCCAGAACTTCATCCACCAGGACATTAATCCCACGTTTTCGTACTCTCAAACTCAGTGCTCAAACTCACGCTCGTCCACAGACTCCAACACCGAGCTCGTTGCCTCCACACACGCCAACCTACAAAACACGTCCCGAATCTGCCATCTCGCTCTCAGAACACGACTCCCTCTCTCCGTTTTTCAACAAAGACATCTTCACCCACCCTCCCACCAACCCATGCCGTCCCTTTGCCCACCCACGCCATCTTAGTCCTACCCGCCCTCCGCCACCTTCGCCCTCAACCCTCCACCCCTACATTTCAAAAACCCACATCTCCCCATCCTGCACTTCAGGCGCTCTAACCCATCGCCTCCTCTGTGGCCATTTAATCCTAACCCCGAAACCCGAATTGTGCAAAAAGAACTGCGCAATTGAAATCATCGGGTTTGAGATGGCTAGATTGGAAGCGCAGGGTTTTATCAGAAGCATACGAGATTTGGATGGTTGTTTTGTCTGTCCTGTTTGTGTTGAAGAGCTGGTTTCTGGTGGTGGAGGGATTGGGGAGAGGGTGGAGGTGTTTGGGAAGAGTTTTGGAGGGGAGGGGGAGGGGTGGACGGGGAAGAGGAAGGAGTTGACAAGGATGTTGGGGGAGGGGAGGAGGGAGGAAGTTAGGGAGTTTGTTGTGGGGTTAGGGGTGAGGTGTTGGGCTGTTTTGGATGCTGGGTTGCTTGGAAGAACAAGCAATGATGATGTAGGAAAGTCTGTTGTTGCTATGGTCAAGCCTGCGAAGGGTTTGTTCAGGCGTTTGACGGATAGAAGGATGGGATTGGGGATTAGGATTTGATTGTGGCTGGAAGTGTATGGCAACGAGGAGATGTTTGGAGGTTAGGGCTTAGTGACGAATTGTTTGATTGATATGATGGTTGAATGGATATATGATGGATGCACGAATGATTTTCCTCTCATCCATTTCTTCTCTACTATCTATACTAATCATTGTACCTAGTAGCTAGATCGCACGGTCATCGGCGTCGTCATGTCTTTCCGTGTCTTGGTGCAACGGAGCGAGCAAGGATGAGCACGATTGAGGATATATGAGATATTTCCGCTTTCGGGGTACTTGGGTAGGAGATCAACAGATCTACAGCTAATTTCGACTACATCGGTCAAAATACTATCCCTCATGTCTTGATCACCTCTTGTGCGTGCCAAGTTTCTAGTGAGTATGCGCACACCTGTCGCTCTTGTTGTCCGTTTCATCATTGACCTCTTATGCTCGCATTTCGAGAATACTGAAGTTTAGCCATGAGTCACTGAAAAATCCCTCTTCATGCTCCATTCCATCCTCTACTTCTTTCCACCACCTATCATCGCTTTTTGCTTTCTTCTTCCCTTCCCCTTCCAAACCCCCACCACAAGAAAGAAAAAGAGGAAAGCAGATCAAGAACATGTCTTCCAAACCCCTTATATCCTTGACCAACAGAGCAAAATTATCTTCTCTCACTCGCGATAGATTCGAAAAACACTCCATCAAGCAAGCGAGAAACCAGCATCGCCCAAAGACGGCAATTTTAACCAAACCAATGTTTTGGCTATCCACTTTTCATCTTGTTCGACGGGAAAGAAAAATGCAGAAAAGGAATTATTGGAGATTTTCAACGAGGGATACGGGTTTGGAATTCAGGTTTGTGAGATTGATGAAGGGAAGGGATGGAGAATGACACCTGTAAGTTACTTTTATCTTTTTTTCTTTTTTTTTTCGCGCTGCTACAAACTTTGTGAAGAAGTGTAGTTTTTTGGAAAAGAGCTGAATGGATGCGTACAGGATCTCATCAATAGAGTTCAAAAGTTTATCGCATCTCGTGATGAACCTGGCAGTCTGAGTATAATTCTTTTCACGGGGTATAGTGTTGTTGGACCTTTGGACGCATGGATCTCTACACCTCAACTTTTCCTCGGTGGTGCGGTGGATACGGATAACAGGTTGATACAGCCGACGTTCAACTGGACCAGAAATAGCAATATGCTGGATTGCTATGAGGGTGGGGAAGTGTTGGTTTTGCTCGATTGTCCTTGTCTTTTCGTCCAAGGAAGTAATCATGCAGAAGCAGAATTGCTTGCTGCAGGAGTGTGGGATAACGACAACAACGCCAAGGATGCTTCTACATATGGCTTGACAGAAGCGATCAATGGTGTATTGCGTCGGGCTGAATGTGCAAGTATCAGTGCCGCGGATCTTTATGCTGAGATACTTGAAGAAGCAGCGAGCGACATATCTAGGGGAAAAGCTAGAGCGTTACCTATCCATCTGGTCAATTCCAAACAACACCGAAGCGTGGTTCTGAGGAGGTGCGATCGACAAGAGGAATCAAAAGCTATACTCTCAGAGGTCCAGAGGGTTGTTCTCTCGGTTTATCTTGAAAATGATGGCGAGATGAACCATCAAGATTGGATTTCGTGGCTAAAGGATCTTTCCTCGGATTCGACTCTAGACATCGAGATCATTGCGGCACACTATGCTTCTTCCTCTACTATTGTGCTGCTCTTTTCGATCCCGAGCAGGATATGGACATGTCTGAATACGGAGATCTTGGCTTTCCGCTTCGTCTCTCATGTTCAGGAAAGAGATATCCTCAGGGATATATCTACACTGCCTGAAGACGGTTGAGTGTGTTGGCGAAAAGCGAAGCTCGGAAGATGTGCGATACAAGGACCGAAAGGAGGGGTATCTGGACAGATCACACGACTCTATTTTTCGAGATTCTATGCGACCTTCCTTGGTATTGTCTGTTATGATGTCTGATCTTTTAGCGTCCAGGTCTGACTGTGTCCTAGTCGGGCTCTTCGCCTGCTTTTCCGCCTTCCTGCTCATCTTTTTCTTGCGCGTTTTCTACTTAACACACCTGTTTGTGGTTCTTGTTGCTCGGTTGATTGAGGTTCTGGGGGAGGTGAGGGGCTCAAGAAACAGTTGGGAGACAACTCTCTGTACTCGCGTTTGTTCAAATATTGGACGAAGCGGTAGACTTCAGATGTCGCTTCGAGATATGGCCAATAGCGTTTTGTTATTGCGAAAGTGACTTCGGATCCGCCGTCGCAGGGAGTTTCGCTGATAAACTTCAGATGTATACCTTGGCATTTCGGTTCAAGCCCGGCCCAGCTGAATGTGGTGTCTCTGTTCAACCATGCTTGCATGTCGACGTCGCAGGCATTCGGGATATATTTGACTTCATGGTACTTGTCTGTCCGTAGACGAACGCTGAACATGACGCAAGGCATCGGAAAGTTCCTAGGGACCAAGGTTTCCAGACCATCGGCTCCAGCACGTCGAGCTCTTTCGAGATCTTCCTCAAGCTGACTTCCTAGGATTGATCCTTCATTGACTCTTCTTGCTGCTCTCACAAGTAAATGAGTCAGCTGGGTGTCCCCCACAACATCAGGTTCGGCGACCAAGCTAATTAAGCTGATGTTCCGAGATGTCTCTGAGTGCTGTAGATGTTCCCAGACCGCCATAGGCAATGTGAAGGTGAGTATTGCGATATCCCTATTTGGATATGCACGATGTGCTGTGACGATACTCATCTCATGATTGCTTCCTGGCACGCTATTGTGCTGGTCCCATTTGAGTCTGGAGGGGTAATTCTCCACCCATTTTGGAAGAACGGCTGGGCTTGGTAGGTGCAGAGATACTTTAAGCATCGCTCTTGGATACTCGTAGTCGAAGGGACAGTCCTTCAACAGGATACGAGCCTGTCGCAACTCTTGCTCGAACATCTCGCAGCTCATAACGTGTGGAGGTGCCCCATGCATGAGGTCGGGCGATTGTGTTGACATACCGGCTCGAGCTGTCGTCGTCAAGTTGGAAGAGAACAAGCTTGCCAGTCTGGTGATGCACCTGTGAGAAAGAGGAATTCGCTGAAGATGAGTTTTGTGCTGCCGCCTATCGGTGACTAACCGAAAGGCGATACCTTATGTGGAGTAAATATATCTTATTCAAACTCAACTTACAGAATCTAACCCATGTGTCCAAACAAGTGCGTGCTGTTCTTTAGGATGAGCCCATTCTCGAGACAAGACCTGCGTCCATATCTGTTGGACGTTGAAGCAGGATGTCACCGTCGTCATCCACGGAGCAGAAACCGAATCCGCCGCCAAGAAAAGATAGCAGCACGTGGGCCACTTTATGCAGCAATTATGCAAGCCATCCGCGACAATAATCCTGTTTGTTCGAGCATCCACAAAAAAAGTCACGCCGGTCGTGATAACAGCGCAATTTCCTGAAATCGTGTCCTCTGGATTCTGAACTTGACTTTCACCTTCTTTTGTCAACACCTATAACAAACACCATTTCCGCGACACGTCAAAGGGATAGAGCGATTGCGCCAAGCCTGCAGAAACAGCTTTGTGCACGGAAACCGTTCATCTTGAAACCTGGCACTTCGTCACACATACACCAACGGCACTTTTGCGGTTATCTTGACTCTGTCGGACAGCTCCCAGGAGATACACCATGTCTCATCGCGACTCGCCCAAACTGCAGGGTATTCTGAAGAACGACGACAATGCTCAAACCGCGCAAGATGGCCAAGCTGTGTCACCGTCGACGCTGCTAAACATCCGACCCGCGCCATCACCCAGAGAAGGCCCTAAGTGTACGTATTTCCTCCCAGCTCCAACATCTTCAAGTGCAGACAGAACCTGTGTTCGACTGTGTTTCGGTCGCTAGCATTTCTGATCTCAATATCCCCATCCGTACTCGTCATCTCAAAATGCTTATCATAAGTCAGCCGTTTCCATTGATCCCTATGCAGAGACAATCTCTCCAATGATGCTTGGAAAGGACAAGGATGTCGATGATCTCGAGCTTGATAGAGTTCCCAGCGGTCCTCGTGCTTTCAAGGCAAAGGGTCCCAACTCCAAGCGACTGTCAGGAAGACGTGCGCATAACGCATCCGTCACTTCATTGCCAAGCCTTGAACAATCTGAAGGTGAGAAAGATGAAGAGCATCATCTGTTCAGCGGCGGACTTGTCGGTCAGATAACTGCATGGCTCCGTGAGGAGAGAAAGAAACGTGATGCGCGCAAGACGCGCAAGACTGCCGATTCTCAGTCCCATGAAGAGGTCCATTCTCATGAGGGTGCTGACATGGCTCATCGTTCTCGCCGTCGCAGCTCTGGCGAAAGTGTTGATCTGAGCCGACTTGAGCAAATCTTGAAGGAAAGCGTCCACTTCGAAAAGCCTCGTAGATCGTCACTTCTGCACCCCAGCATCCGAAAGCGCCCATCAGTCAAGAACCTGCACAAATCTTCGTCCAATGCCGGACATTCATCTGATACTGAATTCTTCGACGGCGATGCCTTGGTCCCCTCGGCCGAAGCCTGGCTTGATAACACCAAGACTTTGGCCAGTGCTGGAGGCGCCGCAGATCCAGCAGAGTCGACCGAGAGTCTTGGACTTGGTACTCGTCAAGCTTGGTCATCTTTCAAGTATGAGATTGTTCGTCTCACTCATACCCTTCGTATCAAGGGCTGGCGCCGTGTACCCATGGACATGAGTAACGAGTGCACCGTTGAGCGTCTCAGTGGCGCTCTCACCAATGCCGTCTACGTTGTTTCACCACCAAACACTCTTCCTGCCCGTCCCACAAGCGCCGATGGAAAACAGCCCATGCAACGTCCCCCGCCAGCCAAGCTCCTCCTACGTATCTATGGTCCTCAAGTTGAGCATCTGATTGACCGCGAATCCGAGCTGCAAATCCTCCGCCGTCTGGCTCGCAAGCGTATAGGACCTCGCTTGCTGGGTACATTCAGCAACGGCCGATTCGAAGAGTACTTCCACGCAAAGGCACTCGATCCTCAAGACCTGCGTAACCCGGACACTTCCAAGCAGATCGCCAAGCGTATGCGCGAACTCCACGAAGGTATTGACTTGCTCGAACGTGAGCGCGATGAAGGTGCTTTCGTTTGGCAAAACTGGGATAAGTGGTTCCAGCGTGTCGAGACTGTAACCATGTGGCTTGATGGCGAAGTCTTGAAGGAGCAACAGACCAAGAAGCCCACTGGCACGGATGGCTGGCAATCTCGCGGCTTTGTCTGTGGCACTGAATGGGCTGTCTTCAAGAAGACGGTGCAAAAGTACCGCGAATGGTTGGAGGCACAATACACCGAGCCCGGCCAACTGCGCTCTCGCTACGTCTTTGCCCACAACGATGTAAGTCTACTCTCTCACTCCTCTCTCTTCATCCTCAATCACTAACATCCACAGACTCAATACGGCAACATTCTCCGCCTTCTCCCCTCTGGCACCTCACCTCTGCTCCTACCCGCAAACACACACAAACAGCTTATTGTCATTGACTTTGAGTACGCCAACGCAAACACTCCCGGACTTGAATTCGCAAACCACTTTACCGAGTGGTGCTACAACTACCACGATGAAAAAGCACCCTGGCTATGCAACACCTCCTTCTACCCTACACCCGAAGAACAAGATAGATTTGTTCGCGCCTATGTTCGCCATCGTCCCCAATTCAACGCTCCTACTCCCAACCTCGGTCCCGCCGACAAGGATCCTCAAGAGAAGCAGAAACGTCCCGCAGGCCCCACATCCAGTATCTCAAACTTCATGCTTGATGCTAGAGGACCTCCTGAATCTGCTGCTACTACCGCAAAGGCGGATGCCGAGTACCAGGCTCAAGAGGATGAGCAAGTCGCCTCTTTGCTGAGAGAAACACGCATGTGGCGCCTCGCAAACTCGACTCAATGGGTAGCCTGGGGTATCGTCCAAGCCAAGGTCCCCGGTCTTCCATCCGACACTCCTGCCTCTGCTATCCCTCTCTCCGAAACTCCTGATGAGATGACTCCTACTGGCGACAACGATCAAGCATTCTCGGACCCTCTGGACGCTGAAGGCAAAGCCATGCAAGAGGATATCCACGACAAGAGACCCGATCCTAATGAAGAAGATGATGGAAAAGCAGAGGAAGAGTTTGATTACCTGGCTTATGCTAGAGACCGCGCCATGTTCTTCTGGGGCGACGCTCTGGCTTTGGGTATCGTTGAGGAGAAGGACTTGCCTGAGGATGTCAGAGCTGGTGTCAAGCGCGTGCAGAACTAGACACACAAGTCCAGGATGAAGATCGGAGAGAGAGAGAAAGGATCGGAGAAGACCAGAGGTGATGTCGCTCTACTACAAGAGGCAATTCCGAAATCGTAGGAGCATCTATTGCATTGCTGGAAATATTTTCGCAGGCCAAAGAAAAAAGTACAGAAAAACAGTTAGCAAGCATATCAGGGGAAACTTTTTGCTGCATCCATCTCACCTGGCAACTTCCTCTTCCGATGCAGTGCATCAGTAATAGCATCGAGAGCGATCTGCATACACATCTCCCAATTGGGACTAGTTCATCAATTCAGAGCTCTTTCCCTCTCATCGTGCTGGAGTTTGTCAATCTTGCAGTTGCACAGATGCACCGTGTTTTTGATAACACATCATCGTTCCGCGGAGGAGTCATCGACGTCAAACTGGTAATAAATTCCATCTTCAACGTAACATGATCCATGCATTTCTATATGCCTAAATGACCAGGTATGGACGCGGGAGCTGGAGGCTGAAGTGAAGGTGACATGCTCTCGCACATGGGAAGGGGACTATTAAACTACCTCATCGAACCGCGACTGACGACCATCAAAGTTCGACCCTTGGTTTGGTTTCGCTTTGTACTTCACCTCTTTCAGTCCCACATCGTCCGACTTTACCTGTCGCCACACTTGATTGATCGTACATGATGGACTTCAAGCAACAGCTGCAGCGCATTCCGGTCAAGCGCAAGAGATCACCGTCGCGCCCACCTGTTCTATCCGTTGAGCCCTGTCGCAGTACATTCATCACTCTCCTCGCTCAACCTAAGTGCTACGCACCAGTGTCTGATCTCCTTTTCGGCTATCTGGATGCCCCTGAGATCATTGCCCTCAGCCGAGTTTGCAAGGCTCTCTCTAAACTCTACGTCAACTGTATACCCACGCACTGGAATGTTGACCAGCGCTTAGCGTCTTTTGTCGAGAAACCAAAAACCCTTCGAGCACTTCTCAAGAAGCTCGATGCCTTGATTGTCGGCAGCCTTCCTCTTCAACTATTCTCTCGCCTGCACTGGAAAGATTCGAGCTTAGACATCCTGGTCACCTGTCTTGATGAGGGCAATTCTTTCGAACTCAACGCTCTGGGTGATTATCTCCGTCTGGAGCGCTATCAAAAGGATGAGAAGGATGTTTGCTTCGACGACGGCGACTACTACCAGACAGTAACAAATCACCGCTCCATGAATTGATCTGAGCAAACACCAGATCAGGCAGAAGTCTGGACCCATCAAACCGGTTGCCGCAAGAGAACCGTGAAGCTTCTTTCTGCAGCCAATCTGCCTCTGTGGTACTGTATGGATTCCGTCTTCTTTTCCACCATGGGTACCTGTTTCATCTCTGGCGACGCGGCCTATCACCTCTGTCCCAAATACACCTTCATCGATGGAAAAGTGCAGTTCACAGACGAACTCGCATACGCCGTCGAGGACATAGTATCTCGGTACTGTCAAAGAGGCCTAGACTTCGCCGCCAACGCACCACACGACACCGAGGAAGTGACATGCAAGGATGTGCGCAGAGACCTCGAGGGTACCCGAAGGATCGGCGACGCCAAAACGTGGAAAATCTCACTCGATTGCACAGATGAGCCAGAACACAACGACAACAAACGCAGCAACGGCAGAAAAGACACAGCGCCTTACTTGGAAACCTGCACTTTCAGGGTCACAGTCAAAGACAAAACTCTAGACCCAAATCTTCTGCCAGCATGGGTTCCTCTGTACTCCGTTCGTACATCCTTCTCGCTCACCTGTACCGTTTTCCGCTGCTGTATGCTCCAGCACTATTACATATTCGACTCCCCAGACGAATGCAACACCAAGGAGAAGGGTTTCGTACACTACCTACGATGTCAACTCCAGAAGCTCGCCCGCCCGCAGCTGAAACACCATTTGCAGCAAGGCACCTTTGTACCATGCGAAGAGCCATATCGCGGCGGTGGGTATAATTGCAGCGAATCGGGCAGTCAGGATGAGTGTGAGACTTTGGCTCAATGCTATGCTCAGATCTTCCAGCCGCCCGAGGGGTGGAAGTTTGCGGATGATCAGGTTGCAAGGATCTACGAAGATTGGAGGAGACTTGAGAAGGCGAGGATGGATGAAGCTTGAGCTTTGAGCGTTGGTATCAGCAAGCACCGGATGAAGGCGAACAAAGGACATCATGATCAGGAACCAGAGACACGCTCAGGCACGACCACACCCAGAAACAATCGTACTCAAAGATAATCACAGCCAATCACGAACACGCTCAACCACCCACGCCTTCAACGGCGGACGCCCTCACCGACAAACACAACCAGTAATACGTAGCCCAGTAATCAAATAATTATATGCTCAGGAATGGATCACCTTGAAGACGAAAACAAGACAGTAGAGACACGAGTGATGCACAGAAAGGATAAGAAGAAGAAGAAGCAGAAAAAACATGACATCTAACACGCGTATAAAACAACAGCAAAGCAAGGATAAAAGGCACTGAAAACAGACTACACAACAGAGTAAAACATAATTGCTTTATCAAGATGGAACGAAATAGCTTAATCTATACTTGCCAATAAGAAAGTCAATTAGGCCGCACTGTACTCTGTAATCTCCTTGACTCGTTGCTGTACCTCACTTCTCTTTCCAGATCATCGCATCGTGAGGACTCGATTATACCTCATTAGTTTTAGTGAGAGTGCTTGATTATCAACCAATATCCAGATCTACCAGGTACCTGTAAACTTACCTTTTCTCTCTCTCTTCCTCTTCTTTTACTCCCCCTTATGTTCACAGGATGACTCTTTGGAAGATGCAAGTTTTTGACATGAGTATTTACACCGTTCAAGCAGCATTGTCACTCGCCGCTTTTATATTTTTTACTTTGCAGCAAAGATGGTCGAGAATTTCCCACAGGGTTTATGAATGCAAAGGATGTTTATCCCAAGCATGCTTATGCTGTTGTTGTGTAGCTAGTGCCTCGGGTGGCGCCATCCTTGCCATCTTCGTTATCGGTAAGTTGATTAATTGTTGTTGGCCACATGAGTTATGGTGATAAGAGTGCTTGTGCATTAAAATAGATCTATCAATGGGCACGAAGATGTATCACGGTTGATTGTTATCATTGGTGGGTATGAGCTACTTGATTCGTCAAGCTAGAAGAGCAATGCAAGTATTCGTGTTCCGTTGGTCATGGCATTCTGAGCCCTTTTGCTAACCTTGTCTTTTTGATCATCGGTCTTCCATTTCCGAAATTGGTGTCTCGTATTAGTATTCAATCCTCCTTCTCCTCCTTGATCTCGGCTTTGACCTTCATTATGGCTCTGGAGTAGGGCTGGTACTTGCTCCAGTCCTCATGTATTTGAGGTATTAGGTCGTCAGCGTACTCCCAGCCATCGGGTCTTTCAAAACTTTCTCCGTCGTTGGGAATTGCGAGAAGGGGGCACGATTCATCATAGTTGTCATCGTCGTCTTCTACAATCGCCGTAGACATTATTTTGATTGCTGCACTAAGTTGTTTGTTCATCACTTCGGTCGTACCATCCACATCCTCGTATGAGTGGTGCTCTCCAGAAGCAATATGGTGAGCGTTCAGGTGGCGTCTGATTTGAGTAACGGCATTGTGACACAAAACGTATCTCAGATGACCGTGGAAGTCCTCCTCGGGGAACTGTGCGAGGTCAAAGGTGTACCTGTAGCGTAGCATACAGCATTCGAAGCTGGCTGTATGCATTTTGAAGCGAATGTGACCGGGAGCAGTATATTTGATGATCTCGACGCGGAAAGTGCATCTTTCGATGAAATTGCTATCGAGCTTGAATCGATCGTTTGGGAGATTGAAGCAGTCGAAAGGAATCGACCAAGTCTCAACATCGCCGATTCTGCGAGCGCCGCTAAGTTCGCGAATAGCCAATTGGCAGTCTTCGGTAAGATCAGGTTTTCGCCTGACTGATCTATCGCTGACAAGCCAGCCTCTGTTCTTGAATTTGGTAATGCTGGATCGTACAGTTTTGGATCTGCCTCCTTGACTGGGACGGCCGAGATGGGCGGCGAACATTGTTTTGCCAAGGGTGTGAGTGTACTGGGGGAAGAGGCAGTAGGCTTTGTCCCATGCGATAAAACAAGAATTAGCAGTCATGGATGCCGGGCCAACGAGAAAGGCCCAGATTGTACTGTCAGAGATAGTGATAAGGTTGACGGTAGATTTGGCACTGTCTCCTCTCGTGAATGGTGTCATCTGATCATGGTCAGCGTATGCACAAAGTGATCAGACGAAAATCAATTACTTCAAAGTCGAACTCCAGATGGTTCATGTCGAGTTTCTTGTACTTATGGTATCCTTGGCTGGCGATATAAGCCATCATGGCCTCGGCTTCAGGTCCGTTCTCGACTAGGATGTCCAAGCTGGAGTCCTTCCAGCTCAGACGAGAGAAGAACTGCATGGGTACACTGCCGACGATCAAAGATCTATTCAAACCCATATGATGGCGGAGAGCCTTGGGATCGGCAACGAAGCGGGCGAGGTGCTTGTCGACATTCCAATGCAGAGACACATAGTCAGTGTATAGTGTGGACAGAGCCTTTGAGACTCTGGTCAAAGCAACGATGTCGGCAATGCCGAGATGATCGTAGATGTTGTCGAAGATGGGGACGTAGCGATCACGCTCGATAAGCAAAGAGATGAGAGAAGAGCAATTTTGGTCATAAGATCTGTTGATCTGCTCTACAGGTTCATCATCTTCTTGCTTGATGCAAGATGCCGGAGCATGATCAGTTGGAGATCTCTTACGCTTCAGTGAAGACTGCTGGTGACTGTGATGATCGGCCATGATGAATGGTTGATCTGTGATGAATAACAAATTCGGTTGACGAACCTGTTGTGATGAGAAAGGAAGAAGGATGTGGAAGGAAGAGGTTGTGGAGGGAGGTGGAGATAGAAAGCAAGAAGAGGTTGATGTTGAAGTAATCAGAGAAGTTCAAGGAGATACAGGTGAAGAGAGGGTTGATGATGGACGGGGACAGCAGACTAGTCCCAATTAGGAAGTGACAGGAAGTCGGGGTTTCCCGGTGAAGCGTCGATTGTTTACTCGCTGTTGGACGAATGCGCCGGCGACGTTCCTTCCACAACAAGACAGAGGTCGATGAAAGAAGATGGCGACTAGTGATCAGATCAAGAATGCGCTGCTGACTGAGCACTTCCGATATACACCCTTGGTAAGTGCGCGCTTCCAATTCATGCTTGCTCTGATTACTGACAATCAACAGACCCTCCTCGACGACATCATCAACACGGTCAACGAGCTTGTCTATCAAGCAGTCAGCGAAATCGAGACGGCGCTTCTCAATGTACCGAAAGAGCAACTAGGCTTCCCTGCAAACGCGCCTGCGCAACAAGACGGAGCCGAGGACAACAATGGAGAAGACGCGTCGGAAGCTGCTGCAAGGATCGAGATTGAGGCTGGCATTGTCAAGCTCGAGAGTTTGTTGAACTCGACCATTGATAAGAACTTTGACAAGCTCGAAATCTACACGTTGCGCAATCTCTTGACCGTCTCCAACGCAAAGGAGGATGAAGGCCTAGAGAACTGGATAGTCCTGGATCACTACAAGGTGCGCCTTCTCTTCTGAGTTGTTTGAACGCAGCTGACACAGTGCAGAACATACAGCCACCAAGTGCAGACGGCAACGCGCCCACACCAGAATCAGTCAATCGCCTGCGACGCAAAGTACAAGAGACGGAGAAACTACAATCGGCCTTGAAAGCAGAGGCTGCTCAAAACGAAGCCTTGCTCGCCCAACTACGACCGCTCATGTCAGCTGCGCCAGCTGCGCAATCTTCTCTCAAGCCCGACCAAGACACGACGCAACAAACGCAAAACTCGTCCTTCTCTTTCCTCACAAACGCTCCGTCAGCATCAGCTCTGGGCGTCGGTTCAGAAAGACACGCCAATTCGCTTGCGCAAAACACGAGTTTCGTATACTCCCAAATTCCAGCCCTCCGAGACATTGTCGCTGCCTTGCGCACACACCTTGTGACACTGCCCGTCAAGAACATGGCAGCTACTGTCGACCAGTCTACCGAAGCAAGACACGCATACATCGAAAGTCAGACTCGTCGCGCTCTGGACAGAACTGGTGTGGATGCTTCAGTAACACCAGACACCGAGTCCTTGGGAAGACGCATGGGCGGAGACGAGACGAGAGCTTTGGAAGGTATTGTCGCTGCTATGGCTGCACAGAATCAAGCTTCGGACAAAATGGAGGAATAGCTTGTACAAGCGAGACACGAGTTACGACTGGAACATGGTGCATTGATGCGTTGGGATCAGGATACTGGCGCTATGGCTTTTGATGGTTAAGATACCCGACTTGCGAGAGAAATGCTATTATACCAAATGTTTGGCAGGACCTTCCGCAAGTACATTTTCTCTAAATTGCTGAAGTTCTCAAAACATGCATAGCTGAAGAACTGCAAGAGCTTTTCCAGAACAGAGAATCGTCTTTCGATAGCTCGGCGCAGATCTTCGCCCACTGGCGATTTCTTGAACTCGGTGAACTCCTTCAGCTATATGGCTCATGATAGCCGGAGTTGGAGCTCACTTGCCGGATAACAAGCCATTCCCTCTTGTCGTCCCCAGCCCCGCTATTATTCTGTCTTTGCTCAAGCTTCGATATGGAAAGCTTGCCATGCCAAGACGAACGTTCGGCCAATGACGCCGGCCAAACAAGCACGTTGTACCCTGGCAACACAGTCGTCCCTTCCGCCTTTTCCACAGCATCTCTCTATCTTGTCCCGCAGCCTTGTCGAAACAGGCAGGCCGGCTCGCTACAGCATAGAGCATGTCAAATCAACCATCTCCCATTGGCTTCGGCATCTATCCGACATCGTCAGTGGCATATTTGACATGGTTGCGGGTCCCGACATGAACACAATGTCACTGAGCAATCCTTGATCGATTCCACAGCTCTACCCGACCTCCGGAAGGTACAAAGACAAGCTAGATTCCCGTTGTAGATTTAAGAAAAGGTAGGAGCTATTCAATTGGCTTTCCACTGCAAGCACAATGCGTTCTGCCATCTCTTTGCTTTCCTTTTCGTCCCTCGCTCTTGCGAGCTGGACCCAGAATTTGAACTACCGCAGTCCTTCTGATCATCATCCTGGTCTCGGTATCTCTCTTCACAAGGTCAACAAGCGTAATGTCCCTGGTACTCAGTACACTGCTTCGCAGCTGAACTTTACCCATGGCGTTGCTTCTGGTGACCCGTACTCTGACTCGGTCATCTTGTGGACTCGTGTTGCTCCCATGTTTGATAGTGTCAACGACAACTCGACCGTCTCTGGTTACGTGCCGCTGTACAGCCACGGTGCCAACTTGACTGCCAGTACTGCTCCTGTCTGTGTTCAGTTCAAGGTTTCCAAGTCCTCAAACTTCACACATGTTGAGAGCAGCGGTACTGTTTACACTTCCTCCGATGTCGACTACACCGTCAAGGTAAGGAGAACAGTATTTCAAAGCTTGAGTCGTGGGCTAATCCTTGTGCGTCCAGGTCGAGGCCAAGAACCTGACTGCCTTCACTCGCTACTATTACCAATTCAACGTCTGCGGCTCCAACAAGACCAGTCCCCTTGGTCGCACCAAGACCGCCCCTGATGCCAACGACTATACTGCTGAGGTTGGACTTGCTGTCTACTCTTGCAGCAACTTCCGTACGCCAATCCCATCTCTTAATCTATCCAAGACTAACATAACTCAGCCTTCGGCTTCTTCAATGCCTACGGAAACCCTGTGCGAAAGGACTCTGTAGACTACGTCATCCATCTCGGTGATTACATCTACGAGTACGCCGGCGATGGTGATTATGGCTACGGCTACAGCATCAACCGTATCCCCAAGCCCGAACGCGTTATTACCACCCTCTACGACTACCGCGAACGCCTCGCTACCTACCGTACCGATCTCGATCTCCTCGCTTCCCACCAAGCCTACCCTTGGATCCCTGTTTGGGACGATCATGAGGTTTCAGACAACACATACCGCGATGGTGCTTCTGAGCTCAACAACACCGAGGCCTCCTTCGTCAGTGATGGCGGTGTGTCGGTTGACCAGAGAAAGATGAATGCGGTCAGAGCATACTTTGAGTGGATGCCCATCCGTCAAGTCGAGATGGACGACAACCTCCGTATCTGGAGAAGCTTCAGCATTGGCAGTCTGTTTGACTTGGTCATGCTTGATACTCGTCAATACGATCGTTCCATCACTGATTTGTACTGGAACACCGACTACGTTCATGACATCAGCAACGATGCTGGAAGAAGTATGATGGGCAGCAGACAGGAGAATTGGTTCTACAACCAATTGACTCAATCTGCAAACCGTGGTGCTGCTTGGCGTATCATCGGCTCTCAGACTGGTGGGTGACTTCCTCAAAATTTTGAAATTTTGCTAATATGTCACCCAGTCTTCTCCCGCGTCAACGAATCCGCCGCCTATGGCAACACTAATCCTTTGGACTACGATGTGAGTAAGCTGTAGGTACACAGCGAGTCGGCCTTGCACAATTGACTAGCATCGATGAGACGGGGTCCATGACGTCGTCTCGTTGGTGTCGAACCCAATTTGTGAGCTGGCTTGTTGAACAAGTACCACATCCCAAATTCTTCCATAGGACTCTGCTGACCGTACCCTTTCAAGGCGTGGGACGGCTATAACGCAAATAGGAACCGTACGCTCTCTCATCTCTATAATAATGGCATCGGAAACAATATTGTCATGTCCGGAGACTCTCACGCCTCATGGGTATCCGATCTCGTCTGGCTAGACCACGCAAGCTACAACTCCACCTCTGGCAACAACAGCATCGGTGTCGAGTTCGCCGGCTCCGCCGTGTCGTCGCCCTGCCCCTACGGTCAAAACATCACACTCACCGCAGCAAACAACGCCTCAAACTGGTTGGTCCACGCCAACGAAGAGTTGCAATGGCAAGACATCTACTACCGCGGTTACTTCGAACTCCACATCAACTACGACGAGGTCACGGCGAATTACTTCGGCCTGCCTACCATCATCAACAGAAACCCTAATGAGATCTCACTCGCCAACTTTACTGTCAAGAGTGGAGCTAATAAGTTGCAACGTCCTGTTGCTGGTGGCCTTGTTGAGAGTGGTGCTCTTAAGCTTGGGCAAGTTGTTCAGACTAATGCTACTAATAACACTGAGACTGGTGTTTGGTTTGTCAGTCATGAGGATGTCGAGGATATCTAAATCAATCAAGGTGTCAATGAAACGAGATGTGTGGGAAAGGAGGCCGGCCATGGTCACCTTGGTCCTTCATTGTCAACATTAATCAAGAATAACAAATGTATAGCAGATGATCAAATCATTGTCAGATAAAACCCAAACCAGACCTCCTCTTCCTCCACTTTTCGCTAGGACTCTGGGACTCTTCTTCCTTTTCCCTTCCTATCCATACCCCCACTCCACCGCTTTCACTCACACACGAAATCTAACCCTGGTGATTCCACATGGTCAAACAAAGCTCTCTATAATCAAAGCAAGTATATAGGTAATAAATCGAATACCCCTTCCGGGCCCTTCCGGGACTACATTCACAAAATATCTTTCACAATCGTCTTTCGCAAAGAATATACAAATACTACGCAGCTTTACTATTAGTTTGGATGACTTGGGTACTAACTCTTACACATTAAACATATTCCCGCGATGGTCTGAGAAAACCGAAATAGCCATGTGAAAGGAAGTATATCAAGAGCGATAGAGAAGAAGAGAATTGTAAAATGTCAACATGGTATAGAAAGAAACCTCAGAAGCCAGTGGAGAACGAAGTCGCCGGCAAATAACACGAAGAAGCAAAAGTGGTAGTATGAAATGAGATTAGAGAAAAACGCATTGGAAAAAACAACATCTTATATAGTGTGATGTACTAGCGTGAGATGAGAAAAAAGACAAGGAAAAGAATACAACATGTCTGGACAAAACCAAGATTATACCATCTGAAGAAATCTCAATGTGTACAAAAAACAGAACATCAGCAGGAGGTAAGACGCTTGTATCTGCGATAGCGGTAGCAAACTATGTCCGGTCTATGAGATTGCCGTCGGGTTAGAAACCAGTCATCTCCCACCAGCACCTCCAGTGGTTCATGAACCTGGCGGACGAGGTTGAGTCCAAGGACGTGTGACATCCTCAGCAGCCACTTGCGAATCGCGTTCGATGTTGACACGCCGCCAGAGCTCCGGAAGCTGATCGGCAGGCGGCTGACGAAGGACATAATGTTGATAGTGAATCACATTATTTGAGAGGTAGGTCTGGGCAGCCCGAGGTAAATGAGACATGCGTTGCATAAGAGCAGCTTGTTGGGTCTGGATGGCTTCAATCATGTTTCGTTGAACATTGGGAACGGCACGAAGGATATGTTCTTGGATGTTGGCGGGGACGAGTGTGATGCTGCGTTGTTGCTCGAATGAGAGATGGTTCATACGTGCTTGGATGAGGTGACGGGGCGAGGGGTCGCGGTTAGGGTCGAAATTGTTTAGATACGCCCGAGTGCGAGCATCATGTTGAGCCTGAGCTTGCTGGAAATGATCTTGTAGAGCCCGAGCCTGGGCCTGAGCTCGAGCTTGGTGCTCAGCCTGAGCTTGTCGTTCTGCTTGAGCTTGCTGTTCAGCCCGAGCTTGCTGTATAGCCTGATATTGTCGTTGTGCTTGAGCTTGCTGTTCAGCCCGAGCTTGTTGTTCAGCTCGAGCCTGTCTTTCAGCTTGAGCCCGCTGTTCAGCTTGGACCCCAGCTTGTTCACCCTCTTGGTTATAGTAACTCTCGAACTGCAGTTGATGATATCGCTCCCTATTCGCTCGGTGCCATTCTTCACGTTCCCATTCCTGCTCCCGATTGACCTGCTGGTTCTGCTGATGCTGTTCTTGCTGCTCGGGCGGTTGTGACTGCTGTTCAGGCTGTTGTTGTTCTCCTTGTTGGCGCTCCAACTCTTGCCAGATGTCCCGCTGAAGGTCATGATACCTTTGTCTCTCCTCGCGCCATGCTGTCTCGCGCTGTACAAGCAGACGCACACACAATTGCTCTGAATTTGCGATCCATAATGGTAAGCTCGCTCTATCGCCATGAGCAAGTCGATGCATGATGAAGAACGGTAGCTGATTGAAGATGCATAAATGCGGATGCGAAAGATGATGCGTTTGTAAAAGTTGTCTCGCGTGTGCAGTCAATTGATCCATCTCTTCTCTTAGCATTGTGAGCACTGTCGCCTGGATTCGATGGCTCTGGAAGGAAAGAACAAAGTCTTGTACATCAGCGTTCTGTTGCACCAGCATTCTTTGATTGGGTCCAGAGAGGTGAGCTATGCGTGGAACAAGAACGTCGAATGGTTGTGTGAGCTGAGTATTCGCGTCTTGAAGGATCCGACGCAAACGCTGTCGTCTTTGCTCACTGACATTGAGGTTCTGATCTGCAACTTCGACATTCTGCGGCGCTTGTACTACGGGAGGCCATGGTTGCTGGTATTGCTGGGGTTGCTGAGGGGGCCGAGGTGGAGGAGAATCCCCGTCGATCTCCATGTAGTCATCGTACTGACCGTTGCCGCGGGCTGCTCCAGTACGTAGACTCTGCCCAGCTCTTCGTAGAGCAGCACGTCTTGCATATTCCTGTTCGGCCGAACGTCGGTTCGCGTCCAATCTTGCTTCTCTGCGAACTTCAAGAAGATCACTTTGTGTCTCTCTGCTCATACTCAACACCTCTTCTATATCGAGACCTTCAGCGAGTTCGTCCTCGAGAGGTCTGTTGCGTGTGATTGTCATCGTGGCGACTGATTCTGCAATAACCCAGGTCTAAAATCGACCGTTGTGTGTAAAAGCTTCGATCAAGTTCAAGGCCAACCGGGCGCTCCCATTTGCATAAAACAACTTCGTAGGCCGCATTGAGAATAGTCAATTCTGTTTTGAAGTCTTTGTTCCCCAGTACGTAAGATGCAATTTGGACGAGCTAGACCAAAACGTCGAAAAGGCATCAAAGAGGTTGTACGGAAGCGTCGGTATGCCAAGGGGTTATCAAAGAACCATTGAGAGTTAAATTTCGAGTCCTTCGAGGGAATGGTCAGCCACTTGTGGACGGTTTGATCATCTCTTTGTAGTCCTTTGTGGTGTTGGTCAGAGCTTGGCGGTGATGTAGGTAGCTGAGGGTACTTGAGGAACGACGACTTGGTGCGATCTTCGGTGGATAGCGATGTATGATTAAACCCTATCAGATGGTCTGCTGGTCATTTTCAAAGAAAGAATGCGACGAGTATTGATGCTCGTGGATATTGTCAAGCATATGTGACAAGAATGTCATGTTTCAACTGTGCTCAGAACTTGAAGGACAGTTGCGATGAACCTTAGAAGCGGAGTTGCAACTACCAAGCTGCTTTCCAGAAAGTGGTGTCTGCGACTTCCGTGTTGAGACTCGATACTCCAAGCTTCCCCCTGTTTACTCTCATCCATCTCCAAACTTTCACATAGCGGTATCCACGCTGTAGAGATTCCTAATGTTATCAAAGTCGTCCGAAGAATAGGTGCCGGTTTTTGTGTTGTCCTTGTCAGCTATCTCCGGTAAGTAATGACGGGGTCGTTCGGATCCTAGAAATAAGCAATGCTTTCGGGCTTGGTGAAGTCGTCCGCAGAAGAAACGCCGATTATTACTGTCCGTATGAGCCACCTGCCACGCTCATAGACAGGATCTTCGGAGCTGTAGAAATCCACAACAACCTCAAAATCAGTACAGTCGTCCGCGGAGTCACACCGCTTACCATGCTCTAAGCAGAGATCTTTCGTAGTTGCGTGCATTTCTACAGCAGCTATGAAAAAGTGTGACACGCCGAGAGAAGGTCACAGCCTACCGATTTGCTCTCCTGCTATTCCACTTCTCCGACTGCAGTGACAGACAATACTGCACCCACCAAAACACACGTTGACTCCGAGCAAGACCAGACTCTCCATGCGAAGTGACTATCCGACTTTCATAATCGTTCTTGCTTGGAGAATCATTGTGCATGTACACAGCTGTGTAAGTGACACTGTTCAGTACAGGGGAGTGTGAAGTCATGTGGAGGATCTCCGCATCTTATCTGATCTTGCAGGTGTGACCCTGCTCAAAAACGTGTTTACTGGACAGATGACCCTGCTTGTCCCTTGCCTCGATCATTGGTGGATCGTTGCACGATCAATTTTTGAGAACCAGATTGACCCAGAGTAGTCTGCCAGACGGTCTGGCAGACTAGCTAGCAGACCCCGCAGCAAAGGGTGCTCGAAAACCCAATTATGACATTACACCTACCCTTAGAAACTGCCTCCAAGCAGTGTTCGGCTGATAAGGAAGAACACGACATAGGGAATCGCCCTTATGGAGGAGGCTAACACCTCTTCAAACAACAAAGGGAAGGAAGTTTACAACTCATTCATTACAAGAGCACTCTGGACAGGCGTTTGATGACTATCTCAATTGAGATACTATTACCCTCCTTACTACTGAAATCGGCGCACATGATTGGCCAGAATGCGTACTAGTTAGCGACAGCTCATACCCCTTGCGGGGTAAATAGCTTGAGATAATCAAATCAAATCAAATCAGATCAATTTTTGATGATGTATTTCTTACTTGAATGGTTGCAGGTCGCAAGATACGAGAACAAGTTCGTTTCGCAGCATAGATTGGGTTACAAGAATGTGCAAAATGGAAAAAGAATGAGAATGAGAGTTAACATTCAGTCTGAGAAAATTCGTGAAAAGAATGACCTGTTAGCAGAAGTCCAAGACTTCTTCAGAATGACCGTGCGGTTATCTAGGAATATCAAGACATAGCATTGTGATATCCTCGGTTGAGAAGCCATTTGGTCCGAGAACCGGATTTCGCCCAAAGACTCAAGTTGATATACCCGCGCTTGTGCATAGCCAATTTTTCTGCATTATCTTCGTTTGCGAATACAGGCATATCAATACCGGTGGGTAGTCCGCTCCATGTAAGTATATCAACTTGATCTTCAGAGCCGAAACTCAAGAACAATTGCATGTACTCGGTCGTGTGCGGCTCCAGGAACTGATGGAACAAGGGGTGTAAATGCATGATGGTCCTGCGTAGGTTCTTCAACTCGGTCGTACATTTTCCCATCAATTGCTGCTGCTACTCGCCATTGAAGTGGAGGAGGAACTGTTGCGTTTTCGGGACGACGTGCATGACTGTATCCTGCAACTCAGGCGAGAGTCGGTCCAAGGCAAGGCGATATCGCGGGTGGAACGCTTCGCGAGGTCGAGGTCGGGGCTGTGCTTGAAGTATCTGCCATTTCTCAAGACGCCCATGTCTCAGGCGGATCAGCGTTTCAAGCTGAGCCTCCTGGTCAGTGCGAGATAGGGCGATGAAGCGCTGTTGATCTTGAGTGGGAATTTCGGCGATGACTTCTCGTAGGCGTTGGGTCAGATTAACAGGGACGAGAACCATCGGCATCTGGTAAGGCCATGGGCTATTGACTTGCAAGTTATGCTGGACAGTATGTAGACCAAGGGCCCACGCGTCTTCCAGAGGCATCTGTGGGATCTCACCAGCCCGCGGTTGAAAAGCAGGACGCAGAGCGGCAGCTATCCCAGCAAAAGTTTGCAAGCTTTCGGACTCTTGTTGTGGAGTAGGAATCTCATAATCTTGTATCGGAGGGTTGCTTTTGACAGGCTGTTGGAGAAGCAAGTCAACTTGTCGAGGAGTGTCAGCGGTGTTGATAATTTCATTGATGCCGGGGACGCCGGCGATGGTTGGTATATCGGCATCGAGTCCTGCATCAGCAAGTCTCGCTTTGTTGGCTCTGGCTAGTACAACGCGAACGAGATCCGATTGTGACACACTGTCAGTGCGAGCCGCGTGAGATTTGTTCGACTCTGGATCGGACATGGCTTCTAAAGATGCACTCAATAATTGATCTGTTGTTTTGGATGATGCTACAATGATACGTTGAATGTTCTTGACCAGCATGGAATGCCAAGCAAGTAACCAAAGACTCAAGAGCTTCATGGCAGTCGCGATGGACGTTGGTGAGAGAAAGCCAAGCCGCGAGTTCATTGAGCTCCGAGGGAAGTAACGTTAGTCAAAGGATGTTCACAACCAACTTCGACGCGAGAAGGACTGACCGCATTGTAGTCTTCGTCTGTTGACTGTTCTTTCACAATGTCTTTGAAGCTCAGTGTCTCATCTCGAATTCCATTGTGTGATTGTCTCTTACCACAAAGACATTATTCTTTGTCTCACTCGGTCTTGTTTATAAGGTGACGATTCTCCCAACTTGCTTCAAAGTCAGCAGATTGACGAACCAAGTCCCGGTGACAATGACTGACCACAGCACTTACTCTCCCATCGGCGCTGGCTCGCCTGATCTTCACTCTAATCCAAGTGTTCCTTCCACTCCTAATGTTCCGTCGACTCCCGGCTTACCTTCCTCCCCTACTGCCATCGTCACAGAGTCAGACGGCTTCACTTCGTATCCCCCGACACCGCAAGGCTTGAGCAGAAGACAGTTGAACCTTTTCAAAAGACAAAGAAAAGCTGCTCTCAAACTTGCTATGCTCATGGCTACGGAGTTGGAAGATCCCACCAGTTCTCCTTCAACATTTCACCATGTCACCGACACCGAAAATGACACTGACATACCTGGAGACTACAAAAGAGGCGATCTTGGTCGTCAGGCTCGTAAATTGTTCAAATCCAAGGATAAGCATGGTATGTTGAGTCCCAATACACACAAGGTCGTCAAGCCTGCTGTTATCATGCACTACCAATACAAGAAGTGCTCCAAGACTGCCAGAAAGATGGCTGAGATGAGGGCGAAGAAGACAACCCGAATGGCTTGAACAACTTTCGCAAGGTTTGGCAAGGTTTTCTGTCATGAGAACAAGAACTCCCCGAGTTCATTATCCTGATACACTGCTGGGCAGTTGGTCAGTCTGATATATAATTATGAACGTTATGATAAGATACGAACAATATTTCCAACCTTCAATTCTTCAAGTGAACAATGTGCATATTGATCTCTCGACGTCCAATTCAATTCTCTGCGTAGTCCTCTCTCTCGCTCGTGACACTGTGCACGATAGTTGCTCAAGTTGAACGGCTTGACATATAGATGTCAAAATTACATAGGTTGAGTTCTGAGATATAAAGTTCTATCTACATCTGTATAGACAAATCGATTCGTTGCTAAGAAGATTCCAACGCTGGTGGTGCCAAAATTCTGATCATCAAGGACTCTGCGTGTTTCCAGCCTCGAGCGGCCAATCTCGAGTCCGTGAGGCAAGACAGCAATAATGCTGAGGTGTCGTTGTCGTCCTGAGAGAGCTGGAACGGAACATTGGACGAACCCGCACGACGACCCTCTCGTTCGCTTACCCAATCCGGACTAGTCTTCGAGGTTCGCTCTCACACATTGACTGTTATGTTTGCGCACACTTCTTCGTCTCCTCTCTTCTCCAAATCACGACACGCACAGAAACATAAGATCTTTCGCCTCTACTGATAGATCATCCACCTTCCCTATCACTCCTTGCACAAAGCATCATACATGCTGCAGCCTTTCCATCAGAGAATCATCACACGCGCAATCGAATCGAACACAACCAGAAGTAATTACACAATCACTCGACACGTCTGTATAAAAGCTTACCTTCCTTACCAGCCATGTTCACCACTTCAATCACCATCGTCGAGTCTGATCTCCACATCAAGACTCCTATCAAGAACAATGGCAACAACGGTGGCACTTCCAACAAGACTAAGGCCATAATCTCTGCCTCCCCCGTCGCCAAGGGCACTACCAATCACGACGAGGTCACCGACGGCACCAAGGTTGCTGGTCACTCTCGCCCCTTCGCTCCTCCCACCTTTTGGTTCCTGTCCTCCCCCATCGCCTGGAGCCTCGCTTTCACCCCCAAGCCTGAACCTGTTCCCGAGCTTACCACTCCTGAGCCTGTTGATGGTGCTGTTGGCCCCAAGCCTGAGCCTGTTCCTCGCCCTCCCACCCCTGACCCTTACCCCCCTCCCGCCCCTATCTTCTGGAGACTCCTCTGGCTCCAGATGCTGGCTCCTGTCAACCCTGCCATGTAAAGTGCTTCTCCAAGCAAAGCTCGAAGATATCTGCAGAATGTTGCATTGAGATCAGAGAGCATTGAAGCACTACATCGACACTATGGGACACTCGACACGGCAGTTTACGCTTTCTGGGCGGCAGACGAATATCAATTGGGCTTCTTTTTGGCCTTGCACGGTTTCCACTCTGGTTCACAGTAAGCATCTATCTCTCTATCGCCCCTAATGGTTCTCTGACTGACTTCCTATCAAGGCTTAACACGAAAGAACACGACAAGCAATGACAACTCACGTATAACGACTACACATACATTCAAAAGACATCAGCGTTGGCGTTCAGGGGCTTCATAAGTTTTGAGCAATGCACTTTCCATTACCGATAATATCACACCCAGTATCCATCACGTCTCCATGCCTCTCTATAGTGATCTCGTGATTCCTCTGTCTTCCACCAATCGCAGCCTACTATGTCTCATGTGTTCTCCGGCTCCCTCTCTGTTTTGATGTTCCCTTTGCAGTCAGAAAAAGACCAGTGCACATGGCTTTCACACATCTAATCGATCAATAGCTTTGTATCCCTGTAAACTTTGACAGATTGTACAAATTACTTCGAGGATGACCATCCCGCAATACTTACAAGACTAGATTACTTCTCCTCTACCAACTCGAGAAGACGCAAGATGATCGATTAGAATATGACAGTGCAGTGCGCACATTCTATCCTACATCAAGCTCCAGTGAGAAAGTGCAACAATTTCCACAAGTCAATCTCCCAAGCTTGGAATTATGATTCTTCCTAATCAGACGACCTCGCGTGAACACCATTGGTAGTCCGCCGGCTCGAAGGAAGTTGCGCCAGCAGGCCCACACGATTGATTTAGAGCCCTGGGTAGATCAGGATGTCCATGATTTATCCGTGTATATGTTCCGATACGGAGGCTCTGGAGGGGGTGTATTCAAGTTTGCTGACGGATAATTGTTTCGTATGGATGTGTGGTTGAGTTTTGTGAGTGTATCTGTTCTTCTTTGTTGCAATTCTCAATCTGGTATAGAAAGCAACACATTGCATCTCTTTCTTCAACTCTCTTGAACAAAGAAAGCAGCACAATCCTGATATGCTTGGTACTTTGACATAGTTGTGCATGTGGAAGGTGGCTTTGACGGCCCCTGATCCCCATATCTCTGTGGCCATCACTCTTCAACACCTCCATTACGATATTCTGAACCTACTAGTGTCATTATATCTCTGGAACACTGCGTCCATACCTACCAGAAGTCACACGGTCGTATTTGAAGAATCATTCTTTGTCCACCAAAATTTCCGAATGCGGACATTCCTCACCTCCGCCATGCCGAAACCATCACCACGAGCTCACCTACCACATTCGGACGCTCAGAAGACCTCAAGATGTATTCCAAAGATACTCCGCCGGATGATTACCTCCGCTCCAAGCAATGAGATTGTCGGCAGGAAAATGAGCGTCCGCAAACTCCTCGAATCACTCCCGAAGCGCGAACGTGATGCAGACAGGCAGAGCTCGGCATGCAGCATAAGGGCCAGGAAGGTTCATAGTCGCCGTAATGGTCATTCAGTGGTTGTGTTCAAACGGACTGGGACGGGGAAAAATAGGTCACCGTGTGCCTTGTCGAATTGCTCGCGCTGTGGTGTTTTCTGGAGTGAGTATTTGGATCCAATGTACACCGTATAGACGCTTGATTGCTGAATATAGTTAGAGATATATATCAGTGATCTTGAAAGAGCTGTACCTGGTCTTGTTTGCGAGCAACTTCGCCCATCGAGATTCGAGTCACTCTGCGACTTTGATGCACCCTCGACACCAGGATCTACTATGTCGACTTTGACGGAGTTTACGGAGGATCTTGAGATTCAACTTACAGTACCCACTTCAATCCCATCGTCCCCGGTGGATCGAGTCTCACAAGACGACGGTGCCAATACCTCATCTTGTGCTTCCCCAGCGTCTACTCTGACAGCCTTCTCTGGTGAAAATCACGCTTGCACATCATCTTTTCCACCATTACTTACTTCTCTGTACACCCTGACCGACCTCGACGAAATCTCAAACCCCTTCAGTGTCTCGATGTCGCCAGCGTCTTCTATGTCCGCACTGACCGACTTCTCCGAATACGCCTCTTCGATATCAACCTTGACCGACTTCACCTCGGTAGCCTCCTCATCAACACTCTCCTCGCCACCAAGTAGTCTTTCCTCCCTGCCTCCAACACTTTCCACACACATCCCTACGCGACCGCAAAGGGCCCACAGACACCGTACGCGAAGTCACAGAAATATGATTTGTATGTCTGATGGTTCGGAATGGCTACCCCCAACACTCGAACGTGTTCAAGCGTATATCGCTTCACAAGGCTCACGACGGCTAGCTAGATCTGCAAGGAGGGTCGTAGAGCAGAAAGCTGGAAGTGGCTCGAAGGTCGCGAGGGAGTATGGGAGGGATATTCTAAAGGTTGATTTGAAGGTTTGGAAACGAAGGGGACAATGAGGGGATTTCGCAGGATATCAAATTTGCACATGTGGCGGGGAAAGAGCAGTGATAAAAGATACGAGATGTGATTATATGACAGTTTAGAGAGAGAAAGCAGAGCTGGTTGGCGCCATAGGTCCCAGCTGTTGTTCGTTCTTGGTGACAAAATTTACAATTGAGTGTGGTATATACGATGCCTTGATCCAAAAGAAAGCCCGAGTAGTGATTTCTCCCATGTCCCTAACGACCCGAAACTCCATTTCCATGCAGACCTCTCTGTTCCATTTCAATTCCCCAACGCCCAGGCTAAAGACACATGTAGTAATGCTTTATGAAGAAGGTGTATACGCTCAAGAAGCAGGCTCGCCCAGAGCTCGTGCAAGCACAACGTAGCCAAAGATGAGGCCCAGAGCAACATACATTCTGTTCCTCCTCAACCAACTCTGCCCAGCATCGCGGGCAACATGGCCTCCTTCAACCACAGCGCCCAAACCAGGGTGACTGCCCACAGGTCTCTTCCTCAGCGCATTGGTCTCTGGCGAACAAGCAGTGTTCGCGGCAGGAGGAGGCACCACAACAGCCTTGCCAGTCTGAGCATCGATCTTGTGTTCTTCCATCCACTTCCAATTCTCCTCGTCCAGCTCTGGCCATTCTTCCTTGAACTTTACACCGCCGTCGCCAGCTCTGATTGCGCCGAAACCGCGGGTGTTGCTGCTAGGTTGGGTCGAGACTGCGGGAATGGTGCGGTTGGAAGAGCCACCGCCCGTACTGTTCCACCATTTCGAGCGAGTCGCAAAGACGATGCGCTCGGCCGCTGAGGCAGACAAGGAGCCAGTGGTCATTTCCTCGCTGGTCATGAAACTCTGCAGACCCAGCAGGATAGTACTGACTTCCCAAGCGGGATTGAAACTCTTGGGGTGGAAGTCGGAGATGCTGAGGCAGAGGCGTGTGGAGGGTTGGAAGCGACCGCTGGGGGTGTGCATGCGGATGGCGGGTGGGGCGAAGGGGTAGTCGGGGGGAAACACCAAGGTGCCCCAGTATTGACCGCCGGCGTAGGGAGTATCCTTGGGGCCTTCGAGGATGTAGTGCCATTCTAGGATGTTTGATTCGGAGGGGTGGGCTGTGATGTACGGCGGGGGGTTCTCTGTGATGTTTTTGTACTCCTTTGTGAGACGCTTATGGGCTGCTCGTGTGGCCATGATGTGGGTTGTATGATGATGTTGATTTGCGAATACAGAGTCGTGAGGTTGATTGCGTTGTACGAAAGTTTGGGAAAAAGGGTATAAATAAGAAGAAACAAGAGTGAAAGAAGTACGTAGACACGATAAGATGAGTAGGTGGTTACTAGTTGATTCAAAGGCAGCGATACGTCAGCCCCAATGCATCCCGACTTCCGGGAATCCATCTAGAACGCCATCCTGGATTTAGACAGCGCGCGTTTGAAGCACATCTGGATTTAGCAGCACTCATAACTCGAGGAATCAGGTGAGAACTAATTCAAGATTGGATTCATGTTGAGCAGCTTATTAGACTGGGTTTTGTGCATCGTGACAGGCCGATAGCAGACAAGATGGTATTGGAGAGCACGTGCTTGGCATGCGTCGGATAAGCTCCACGTTACGTTGTATAGCGATTCCCTTCCCCGGTCTCGCCTTTGCGATTGATAGTCAACTTTGCGACGACGACGGTGTGAAATTGTTGCGGCTCCAATGGCGAACAAATCCTCGGGCAGCGAGGTGAGTTGATGTGCGCTATCGGACATATGCGCAAAGGACTAACATTCCAACGCGCAGCTCTTCGCATTGCTCCAAGACAAGGCCGACCCCAAGAGACAGCAAGAGCTGGACGACCGCCTGGCTCAGCAATATGCCAAAGCACAGCAGCGCCAATCCGAGTTGATCGGCCTCAACTCGACCAAGCCTGTCACCATCTCGTCCATCCAGGTTCTGCAAGCCGAGCACACGCGTCGGGGCTTTCTCGAGCGCATCTTCAACCCTGTCCTCTCCCACAACCAGGAAGGTCCCTACACTCTCCAGGAAGCTTTGCGCGAGGTTGGCGGCGCCGTCGACAAACTCAACCGCTTCGGTATCTTCAAGGCTCCCGTCTCGACCTACATCGACCAGCCCGACCAGACGGATGCTTCTTCCACTCCCACCGATCTTTCCGTCTTCATTCACGCTCCCGAACGCTCGCGCTACACCATCAAGACCGGAACTGAGGCTGGCTCGTCCGAGGGCTCTGCTTTCCTCGATGTCGTCCTGCGCAACATCTTCGGTGGTGCCGAGTCCTTGAATGCCCACGCTTCGCTCGGTACGCGCACTCGTTCCGCATACTCGGCCTACTTCGACACTCCCGTCCTCAGCAGCCCCGATATCCGCTTCGAGATTGGTGGTCTTGCCAGCTCGACCCTCAAGAGCTGGGCAAGCCATGAAGAGCTCATCAAGGGTGGAAGCACAAAGCTGAAGTGGTTGAGCTCATGGGGCAGCAAGCACGAGTTGGGTTACTCTGGTATTTGGAGACAAGTTACTGGCCTCTCCGAGAATGCTTCTCCTACCGTCCGCGCCGACGCTGGTGACAGCTTCAAGTCCAGCATCACACACACTTTCATCAACGATACCCGCGATGCTCCTATGCTTCCCTCGAGAGGTTTCCTTTTCAAGTCTATCGGTGAACTTGCCGGCTTTGGTCCGCTTGCTGGAGATGTTGCTTTCGCAAAGTACTCTGCCGAGTCACAATTGGCTCTTCCCGTCCCTGTTCCCGGTGTTGCTGACAGCGGTATCTCATTCACTGCTGGTCTTCGTGGTGGTCTTCTTTACCCTTTGACTCAGGCCGGTGCCGATAAGCCTGCCGCATCTCGCATCAACGACCGTTTCCAACTCGGTGGCCCTACTGACGTTCGTGGTTTCCGCCTGGCTGGACTTGGCCCCAGAGACGGACAAGACGCCGTCGGTGGTGACATCTACGCCGCTGGTGGTGCAAGCCTGCTCTTCCCTGTACCAGGAATGGGCAAGGACACCCCTCTACGATTCCAAACCTTCATCAACGGCGGTCGTCTATTGGCTCTCCAAGACGTCGCAAGTGGTGAAAAGGGCGGCAACAACGTCCAACAAAGCGTCAAGAACACTTTCCAAGAACTCTCCAACGGCCTCCCTAGCTGTGCGGCTGGTGTCGGTCTCGTCTACGCTCACCCCGTTGCACGATTCGAGTTGAACTTCTCTCTGCCATTGGTCCTCCGCAAGGGCGAGGAAGGCAGAAAGGGTGTCCAGTTCGGTGTCGGCATTGACTTCATGTAGAACGATTAGTTCTCTTCTTCTTTGCCCAATAATGAGGTTGTACAGATAGAAAAAAAAAACTCAAGCCATTATTCTTTGTTTTCCTATAATACATCACACACCGCTTGAACTCTTATCTGATCTAGGCGACCATGTCTCACGCTATATAGCCCAGTGCACATGTTTGACAAACACCATCATGACTATAATCATTCTCTGATTCCAGCAAGCCAAGGGGTTACATGCTACGAGTAGATCATTTCCCGTTCCTAGTATAGACACGGCAGCCAGTTCCCGCAGTGCGATGCAGATCTCCCCCGTCCGCACTTTTTTTCGACCCCTCTTTTCCCACTTCCTAGAGCATCTGAGACAATACAAGATTCATCTTTTGGGAAGGAACTGTCACTGTTGTAACCATATCACATTCCAGAAGCAGGCTGTTGAGAAATAACATGTGGTGTGGTTGAGGTATCGTATGTCAAGTTTGTACCACACATCTGCATCTATTTTTGAGAAAGTGACGTGATGCAGCAAAAGCACAGGGTTCACACAAACGCACGCGTCTTCGTGTTTAGGAGCGTTTCAGAACAGGAGGCTGCAGAGAATGACTACGGAAGATGCAACCACGTTCGTCATGTTGATCTTTGGTTGAGAAGGCAGGGTATGTTGATGCTTGCAAGGTTGGGTGGGTAGGTAGGGTGCATAAGTATATGATTCATTCTTTCCTTGTCTCAACTCTTGACTTCTGCTTTACAAACCACAAATTACCTTTCAAACCACATCCAATTCAAAACTATCTCAAGGAATTGTTTCAACGACAGGATATCACAATGCATTTCTCCACCACCATTTTCGCCGCTTTAATCGCCCTCGCAACCGCTTCTCCCATCATCGATCGCGCTCCAACAATCAACACCACACAACCCTTCTACCTCCTAACAACCACCACGCCAACCTACACCTCCAACTCCTCCCTCCTGCCAAATGTCTCCCTAACCACCCTCTTCGACCCCTACTACCAACCCAACTATCTGTTACGTCTGATCGCCCCCGGCTATGGCTCCGTCCCCCAATTCACCATTTCAAACGGAGTCTTGCACACGCCCGGACAAGGCCCCCATGGCATTGGCAATTATATCTTCAACAGCAGTGACGTGCACACGGGTTCTGAGCTCGAGTTCCGCGCTCAGTTTGAGGGAGAGGGCGATCTGAGTCTTGAACGTGGGTATTTGTTGGGTGTCAATGGGTCGAGTGACGGGTGGACGATTTGTGTCGAGGAGTTGGGTCAGAGGGTGGTGAGTTCTTTGTGTTTGCGAGTGTTGATGTGTGTTGAATTGCATGCTGACGATTATACAGATTGAGTGGAAGGGCACTGATGAGGGGTGTACGCAAACCTACATTCAGGCCGCTTTGACCGTGCCTTATTAGGCTGACTGCTTCCTCTACGACAATCACGACATTTTCGATACAACAGGGTCCGCTGGGACGGGATGAGATCACACACGAATTTGGTATCTGGAGGGAGGATCGAGCATATGCAAATCATGACAAGGATAGCCAGGCAATTATGAATCTTGCCCTGGCTGGGAGGGAAGAGACACTGTAACAACATCGAACAACCAATAAATTCCTACTACAAACTTTCCCCTTTGATATAATAAGCCGTCTCATGGGTACCATACTTTCAAACCACGTACCACCTCCATCTATCGGGCTTTCTTCTGTGCCGCACACCTTCGCAGAGAAGCAACTCGATCATCGCGACAATAGCATCGACATCCAAGATATACTGTACAAAAATTCCAAACTCCGACATTCAATCAATGTATATTCCGTCATGTAATAAAATGTAGATTGACACCGAAACTCCTAGCCTATGACAAATGAAAAAGAGACAGAAGATAGAAACAGAAAACAGAAAACATCCCACATCTCTCCCCTCCTAACCAACAGATGAAGCCACAGGCTTGTAAACCGTCTCCATAGTCGTAGGTCCATCTCTCTTGGTTATGGCCAACAGATATGTCGTACACTTGTTACCGCCGATTACATTGAGACCTCCAAGACCAAGCACAGCACCATTGCCTCCACAATCAACAGAAGCCGCGTATGTCGTCGTACTGGCGCTTGTGGATACAAATTTGGTTGCTGAAGTAGTTACAGGTGTGGTGACGACTGGGGCAATTGACGAACTGCTGGGTACGACCGCAGTGCTCGAGGGTACGGAGGCCGAGGTAGAAGGTGTTGCGACCTGGCTAGATGAGGTGGTCTTGGGCTGAGTGGTTGTTGGTGCCACTGCACTCGTACTCGAAACAACACTACTGCTTGGAGATGCTGGTGTGGCACTGATGACCACTGTGCTCGTAATGGTTGACAAAGGTGTTGCAACTACCGACGTGCTGGACGAACTGCTGACCGAGACTGGAGTGCTAGAAGGACTGCTGACCGAGACTGGCACACTGGACGGAATGCTAACAACGACTGGCATGGTGGATGCACTAGTGATCACGGCCGGTGTGCTGGATGGAGTGCTGACCACGATTGGCACGCTAGGAGAACTGCTGGCTACCACTGCAGAGCTCGGGGACGAGAGAGCGGAGCTTAGAGCCGATGACGAACTGCTCTTCGGCTGGATAGAGATTGATGCCGCAGGAGTTGTGCTTCCGGTAGCAGAGGTGCTTTGAGGTACCACCGCAATGGTCGTGACTGCATTGACAAGCGCTATGCTCGGTGTAGATGCTGTCGCAGAAGCGACCGATGAGCTAGTAACCGCGGCTGAACTACTCGAGAGTGTAGTGCTCGAAGTAGGCGGCGAGACAACCTGGCTTGATGGACTGACCACTGGAGCCTGGGATGCTACCGAAGAACTAGCGCTTGTAGAGGATGCCAACAGTGCGCTTGTAAACACATTGACGAGTCCGGTGCTAGAAGTAGAGGGCACGGCAATGTTTTGCGAGGTCGAAGAGCCACTAGGCGAAGCTACAGTGTTCGAAGATACTGCGACCAAGCTAGAAGCCAAGGCAGAAGATAACCCAGCTTGGCTCGATGAACTGATTGCTTGTGCTGCGGAAGTCGTGGGAGAAACCACTGTCAGGGAGCTGGACGAAGTGCTTTGAGACGCAGCAAGTGGGCTTGTGACTCCGTTGGCTAGCCCGACAGTAGGAACAGACAGGGAAGTGATACCAGCCTGAGAGCTCGAGACGGTGATTGTCGCAGCTGCCGTACTCGGAGCAGAAGTCAGGATCGAGGACGAAGCGGTTTGACTAGAAGGACTAGTTTGTGTCTGCGCCAAGGAGGTTGAAGTAGATGCAGCGTTGGAGGTGACTGATGAGATCTGTGATGTGGAAACAACGACAGTAGTGCCAACACCCGAACTACCGACAACTGATCCGACAATAGTAGTCGCAGGGTTAGCCGCACTGGCAGAAATCTGTGTACTGGCGACCGAACCGGCACCGACGTTGACGAGATTACCACCGCCGGCTGTCTGGATAAGAGCCACGCTGGTACTACCAACACCAATGTTGACTGCATATCCAGTAGTTGTGATCGAGCTCGAGGCCGAGACTGAAGTGGAAGAAGTCGATGCTAGTTGGGGTGCGCTGGAGCTCGATACTCCTGAGAAGCTGAGCTGGCTGAAAGAGGTTGAAACACTACTGGCTGAGGACGCTGGCACAAGAACTGTGGGAACGACAGTCAAGCTAGTACTAAGTGCAACATTCGAAGTCGGCAATACTGAACTGGATGGGGAGCCGAATGGAGAGCTGGTGCTGATCAATGAGGCAGTGGAAGATGAGACGCTGCTGCTGGATGAAAAGCTGCTAAAAGGTGCTAGACTGGAAGGCAAGCTGCTCAAGGAAGTTGCAATGGAAGAGCTGCTTGCCAATGCTGTATTGATGGATGAGCTACTCAACGAAGTCGCGCTGGGTGTTGAGCTGATTGATGATCCTACACTGGACGATACGCTGGTTAACACTGCACTAGTAGGACTGCTCAGAGAAATCGAGATTGCTGATGGAGTTGTGACCGTAGGCAGGGTACCAACCACGGACCCAGCAGCATTGGTTGCAGAGATTGACGGGTCAATCACAGGAATAGTACTGCTGATAGAGGTGTCTGACGCACGGCTAGTTGTGGCGATTGAACTGCTAGTCGCGGCGATAGGACTAGATGTCATCTGGGACGCACTGCTAGCCAGACTGACGCTTGAGACCACTGGTAGAATTGAACTGATGACTGACTGGATTGGCTGGCCAGACGTTGTTGGCAAGTAACTCGTTGAGGCGACAGAAGAAGAGGCAATACTGGACGTCTGAACAGCCGATTGTGTGTATCCTGACGAGGTCGCGCTCGAAATGCTTAGGATGGGGCTGACGACAGCAGAACTGCTGATAACAGAGCTAGGAGCACTCATAGCTGACGAGATTATACCAGCAGACGTCTCCACCCCGGCAGAGGTGCTCAATCTGGCACTGATCAAGCTGCTTCCACCAGCAGTTTGTACAGCGGCGACACTAGTACTTCCAACGCCAATATTCACCAAGTATTCACTGGTATTGACCGAGCTGCTGGCTGTGGTAGAAGAGCTAGATGCTACTTGTGGTGTGCTGGTAAGCAGCGAGACTGAATCAAGCGTTGGAGTAACCGAAGTCGAAGGGCTACTCAAAGCGACAGAGTCTCTAGCAGCAGAAGAACTCTCAGCATTGACAGGTGTGGACGCAACAGCTGTGCTGGATGTGAATGGAGATGAGCTTCCAGAAGGCGATGTCGAGACTTGGGAAAGAGATGGAACAACAACTGGTACGCTTAGAGAAGATTCAGAGCTTGATGCGCCATTGGAGAGGGAAGGTGCGTGAGCCGTTGTGATTGATACTGATGCGATACCAGTACTTGGAGTGGTGAGACCGGCATCGACACTTGAAAGACCGCTTCCGCTTGAAGTCTGTATCAAGCCAAGGCTGAGACTGCCGACGCCGATGTTGATTGCGTATCCTGACGTGGAGCTAGTACCAGAAGAGGAACCCGCAGAATCTGTCGCTGGAGAACTTGCAGATGAGACTTGAGTAGTGCTTGAAATCAGCTCTTTGCTCGATTCAGTAGAACCCAAGGACGGCACGACCGCACTGGTAAGCGCAGTCTGAATACTGTCCAAGATCGAAGTCGAGACTGGAACGCTGGGAGTGACTTGCGAACCGGTAGCAGAGAGCTGAACTGTAGTTGACAAGCTAAACGAAGCACTAGGAGAAACTCCTACAAGAGATGTCTGCATAGGCAACGATATGTGTAGATTAGAGCTTGAGCTAGTGGTAGTCATGCTTTGTGAAGACGTTGCGGCAAGATCTGGTAGAGATGAGGCTATCGAACTAGCAATAGACGGGTAAGGCGATGAGACTAGAACAAGCTCGCTGGTGAGACCTGTAGAGCCTGTGTCGAGAGGTGTTGGGCTTGTGATGGGCTCGGAGGACGTAACAGACGTGTTGATCTCGGAGATTATGGCTACAGCTGACGAACTTATGTGAATCACTGACGTCGCGGAGGGGATAACCTCAGAGCTGAGTATGGCGGCCATGGAAGAGGATACCTGCTCCGGAATTGTCGTAACTTCCGAGGATGCGCTGACCGGGGATGGCATCGATGAAGCGATAGACAAAATTATTGACGAACTTGTCGGGGCCTCCAAAATGGTCGGAGCTAGGCTGACCTCACCGGGATTGCTTATTGGAAGTGTCTCACTTGCTGCGAGCTCCGACGAAATGGCAGACATAGTAGCTTCCGGGATCGAATCAGCGTCCGTAGAGACAGCAGAAACGGTATCGGCTGAGGTGGCAATCGTAGCAGTAGCCGAACTCAAGGGCAAGTCTGTGAGAGTAGTTGAGGGAATCTCTTGACTCATGGTGGGCTCTGAAGTCGTTTGAAGCTCTGAAGACGAGACGTAGCCAAGTCCAACACTGGGGACGATCATCTCAAAGGAGCTGGTAGCTGTCTTGGAGGAGAGTAACTCTACTGTCGAGACAGTCGGCAGATCTGTGAACGAGACAGTCGAGATCTGAGTGCTCTCACCGTCAATATCGGCCGATACCGAAGCTTCGGGCTGGATACTGGAGCTGGATGTGACGATTGGCAGATCAGTGGCCGAAGACAACGTATCGGATAAGATAACAGATCCAGTCTCTGTCACGGGATTGGTGGATATGTACTGGATGAGGGTGGGAGTGTCATTCAGAACGCCAGAGCTCGTTTCGACACTAGCGGTCTCGCTCTCATTCAAGTCCAATGCCGTTGTCACCGACGGGGGCAATTCTGAGAGAGTACTTGACGCAAGTGTGGTCGCGACTGGGAAAGTAGCACTGTCGGTAGTTGCTTCACTAACGTCGGCGGTCGATAAAGCGGGCACAGATGGGATGACTGAGCTAAAAGGTATGATTGGTAGGTCGGTACTGATCTGAGCCGGATCAACAGTAGGGATCGAAGAATCAGACTCAGAGAGAGTACTGGATATCTCGGGTAGTACCACAGTGGATGCTTCTTGCATTGTGGAGCTAGTGTCGACTGATCCAAGTCCAATGCTAGAGATTGTAGTCTCAGAAGACTCAGACTCTGTTATCACCGACGAAGGCGACTGAGGGAGGATGCTTAAAGGCAGACTGG